GTGTCACAGAGACAGCAAAATTGAAAAAGTAGGTTATCGTTTCGTTCCTGATTGCTATCTACCGGGAGGTAGGCAAAGCATCATTAACCGGTAAACTCGTTAGCAGCGGCTAAGGGCCATATTGTCCATCCCAAAGGTTGAATGGATGACGGTAGAGGCAATTTCGGCTCATTCCGTTCTTTGTTGTTACTACACTAGACTTTTCTCTACCTCTCAGTCCATTCAAACCACGGGATGGACCCAACTACTCTAATGTCACCAATTTTTCAACAGTAGTAGCTAGGTAAGCATGAGGTAAGCTGTACAATTAGTTCTTTCGAATTATCCATCCGCCATCAAGATATGTGTCTGTTGAGTGATCGGATAAGAGCAACAAAGGATGCCGTTTAACAAACTAGGTAGAATGGTAAATAAGTGCACGGCCCGAACCCCTTTGTTAGTTTTTCGGCCCCGACATGGAGGGTTTGGTCGACTTGGTCTCTGGGCTGCCAATGCTTGGCCGAAGACTGGAGACATGTTAGTTCTTTGATGACTTTTACCTCAAGCCTTATTCTGGCGGGTTCTTCCGTACATCCACTCTGCCGCCAAGTGAGAGATTTGACGGCGGGACCGATGAGGACAGCAGATGAAGGTAGTTTGGGGCTTGGCGTTGATCTGTCTGTTACCTACTTTTTGCCGGACGGCTGGGTAACTGGTGATAACGGGAACTGAAAGTGTTGGTGCAGCTGTCAGCCTGTCAAGTATGGGTGAGTCTAGATATCTCATGAAGGAACCGGGCGTAAGCCACTCGTTACATACTTGCTACCGGATAAATCGACTGTGTTCGATGGATAAATCGACTGTGTAGTATTCGCGGGCTGCCCCCAAGGTTAGTATTAGGGTTAGTAGTCAGGGTTAGGTATTAGGGTTAGTTCCGGGGGTGCAGGGGGCCGGGAGAGGTACCCGTATATGAATGAGAGTTCAACGCTTTAGAAAAGGTGGTTTTGAGCTCTTGTTGTCGTTGTTAAAACAATGACATTTTGGTGATGACTTGCGGTCGCGAAAGTTGGCGCGAGAGATGCCAAGCTTTGGGTCTTGGCTGTCAGTTTGTATGGGCTCCACACAGCGGATTCATCTGGGCACACAGTCGATTTATCCGGCTCGACATACTTAGCCCATCTCTCCTCGCTATGCGGGTCATCAGTTTATGCCTATCTCCAGGCAGGTAGATATAAAAAGAGTGGATAGACGTAGCCGAAATCCTTGAGCCAAGAAGGCCTCGGAATTGCCGGGGTGACCACTAGCTTCGGGCACGAGGTGGGAGCGCGGCCACGGCATCGGTACAGGCCAGATGTGTTGGGTGCGGTTCGGATACTAGCACGCACGTTTTCACGTTCTTGGCTGACTTTTTCATTGTCTACCCTCGTGGCTCCCCGGTCTGGGTCTTTCCACTTTTTTCCAGGGCTCTTCTGTTTTTTTTTCCTCTTTCACATCCAGTCCAGGACAAAGAGGCGGTGCTTTCTGATGACGGAAAAATGATGCCAAGATCCGCACACGTGGGAGACATGATAATCTCTTATAATGGATGTGGGTATCGACGGATAGATCCAATGTGGCTTTCTTCTGGAACCACTGGACCGTCTTAAATGACGCATTTGTTGCTAGCGTCAAGAGAAGGGGTGTGTATGTCAAATGAAAAGTTCGTGGCAATGCCATCGCCATCGTTTCCTAGTAGTGTACTCGCCTATGGTAGCGTCTAGTACGATTGGAAGTGATGACATCCAATGAAGGATGGCACAACCGGGCCAAGGCTATCTTGGCAGTTTTAGCAAGCGAGCGAGGTATTTACCATCTTGCTAACACCCGGGCAAGGGGACCTTATCCCTCTTTCTTTGTGATGCTTGTTCCTAGCCATGCCCAAGCTCGAAATCGGCGAAGGCTGAGTAGGTAGTGACCGAACAGAAGCAAAGGTGAATAGGAGGCAAGAGGGTGTGCTGATGTGCTACCGTCCTGCAGTCCAACGCGAAGACAAAGAGAGCTTAGGTAAAGTGAAGCAACCGACAATGAGTGGCAAGTTAGAGAGGGAAAAAAAAAAAAAAAAAAAAAAAAAAAAAAAAAAAAGGTGAAAAGTGTAGAACGAGAATGGCATGCATGTGACAACGACATTGGGCTGCTTCGGCTGCCATTCCTTGGCGAGCAGCAGCAGGAGAGGTTTATTACGCACGTTGACTGGCATCGCATGGGGGACTGGCACTGGACCAGGGGTTCGACGTCAAGACATGCAGACGCCAGCGTCCGTCCCTCTGTCCAAGTGGGGATGTATACGCGCGACCTTGCTTCAGGAGGCTCGTCCAGAAAATCAACAGCAAGGGGGGAAAGAATTCGAAAAGGCGAAAAGAACTGTCAATGTGATGGGAGGGTCCAAGCGTCATGTCCTGGGCTGTGCTTGAGATCAGAGGGACCAAGTCGGAATGGAACCTTAACTTGCGGTGATAATCAGTGGGTGCATTTACAGGCTTGTTGGTCGCCTGTCGATCTCCCGGAAGGGTACTGCATGGTGCAGCCCAGCCGCGGCCACAGGTGTCGAGATGGGATTCAGACGGACCAAAGCGAGAAGGAATAATGGCAAAGGCAGTCATCCATCGTGGCAGTGGACGGGAGCTGCCAGTTTGCTGCATGTCAGTCTGTCTGTCTGTGATGGAGGCGCGCTGGGCCGACCAGAGACATGACGTGAAAATTAATCATGGGTCAGAAATGATGTGGATGTGGGAAAGGGATCCAATCCCAGCTCAACCCTAGGCATTTCTCCCCAGTGAGGCGTCAGCCATGGCTTGCGATGGCTGATATTCCAGTTTTAACCGCACTACCATGGTGAGCTGCATCCGCACTGTTGGAATTTTGCGTGATCACTAACCGAAGTGTACCCTTGATCAAAACTTTTTGGTTTGAAAATAGCCCCTGAAGATAAGACGAGAACCGTGAGCAACAACAAAATAATATAAAAAGAGAGTGGTAATGTAGTGTATGGAAATACTGCGGGAAAGTGAGGTAGAAATGCCCTACGCGAGGCGACAAACAAGCGGTAACACCCGACGGGTGGGGAAACAAAAGAAGAGAAGAGGTTGGCAATGACATTACTAGAGAGGTACCTATGTCTGGTGAGATGGGCAAGTTCAACCCGTGGGTCACGTCGCTGACGATCTCTGGCACTCGAGTGGCGGGCCATACACTAAGTACACGAGACGGGAGTCACCAAGGTTTCCATGCTTGTACTGGTCCGTGCCCGGTACCTTACAGGGAGGTAAATCTTGAGGTTTGCTCGCAACCACAGGATAGTCTAGTCTAGCAACCACAACGTCGGGACTGGGGAAAGTGGATGGAGTTGGATGGAGCCTTTTTAGTCCTTGCCCTTTTGACGGTCACTAACGGGGATTGATGCCCTACTTGCCAGCGCTAACGCAGGCATGCGCAAGTGCGTCGAGTGTTCTAGTACGAACTGAGTGTGAATCCGACTGGGCAGGTGGTAGAAAGCGGAACTGAAGCCGACGAAGAACGTGCGGAGAACAAAACATCAGACGGAAGACAGGGAATGACCTGGTGGATGGGATGGATGAATGGAGGGGGAGAGGTTCTCGGCTGTCAAAAGAATCACAGTTGCAACGCTGCTGCAACTGGATTGGGGAAACAATAACATAAGCAGGCTCCATGGCGCCGTCTCGAGATCACACACCAAAATGAGAACATGATTGGCTTATCCGTTTACTTGTCTTTTCAGCCGCCAACCCTGGGCCTTGTCGAGCTCGTCTAGTGTACAATACACTACTTAGGTACTCACTAAGCAAAGTGAGGCTCCCTTAGTACGTGCCAAATGAAGGGCCAACGAGCCTTCAATTCTCGTTGAACATCATTCGATTCAGGGTGGAACTCGGTAGATCAAGAAAGGTAGAGCCCAGGTAGGCACCTAATTGAGACTTGGATCGTCTCCAGGACGTGGAAAGAAGGAACTGAAGTATGGGAACCTAACTCTTGCACTGCGGATGCACCTGGTCCCCGTTGGTAGGGGGTCCATGGCAGCAGCAGGCGGAGGAGTGGGTCACTCCGCTTTGACCTCGTCCCGCCTTCCCCCCGGGGCCCCATATCCCCCAGCATTTGGGGTGGATGCAGTGGTGCAGTCTAGTGCCATCGATACGACGCTGTTGGTGCGCTCTGGACTTCCTCGACTTCCACTTTCGATGTCCCCATTTGCACTTTGCACATGTACCTTCTGAGCCTTCATATCGACCAGCAAATGACCTGAACCGATTTGGACCGAATACCCGAACTACCTCTGGGTTAGGTTCCATGGTACCTCGGCCTAGCACTCCTCCTACACGCAAAGTAGAAGGAAGGACATCCTATTTGCAGACGGGAGTGCAGCCAGGCCAAAGACTGGAGGCGCAAAAGTGCAGGGCGGGCGCAGTGACCACGCATCCCTACAACATCATCCCTCTACTCGGCTCCATCATATGCAAATCAATTCAATGCATTAGGTACTTAAGGGAAACTCAAACCCTACCTAGGTGCACATCACTCCCGCGTCTTCGGATTTTACCAGAGATAGAGGTACCTCTCTACCCACCAAAGTACCACTAACCTACCCTACCACGCCTACCACCCGCCCGCCATACCTTTCCATGCCCGTGGCCCTTTGTCTTTGCGCCCCCCTCCCCGTCCCCAGCTTCCCCGGACCGAGTCTTCTTGTCTCTTACACCTACCTACCTACCCACCCCCCTCTTCCACGGCTCGTCTGCTGTTGTCCTTGTTCAGGACATCGCAGTCACACTAGGCACACGAGTCTCCTATAACCGCTTTGTCTTGCCAGTCCACGCGACCGATCCGTGTCCTATATATCCGTCTTTCTTATCCCCACTGGAACGCACCAAGTTCCTCATTTTGAACGGCATTGGATCGTCGTCCTCAATCACCCAACTGGGAGCCTTCGAACAGCGCCCTTCCCAAGAAGCACAACGTGCATACCCGCAATGGATTCCCTCACCCACCCCACCGCTGCGGATATCGAAGAGTTGGCGTAAGTCAAGCACTTTTGACACATCACAGACCATGGCTTTGTTTGATTTGGATCGACACGTGCTCGGGAATCTGAGCGGCGGGCCATGCCGACTGTCTCGGACAGGGAATTTGGGATTGGAAATTGGGAATGTTTGTCACAAACGTCATGGACTGCACATGGGCTAACATACATTGTCTCGCACAGGGAACATCTGCATAGCATAGGAACTGGAGGCTTCCCAAAATCCCCCCCTCGATATCGCGACTCGCCGGCGCTGCATGAGCGGCATGAACGGGATGAATTTTGGAACGAGCCGCATGACCAGCGGCGCAAGGTGGCATCGAGTGGTGGCTTCTCGCCGTCGCCGTCGCAGTCATCCTACCTTGCCGACTCCAAGGAGGTGGAATTTGGACAGCATTGGACTCCGCTGTCCGACTACAACGACCCTGTCTACGTTCCAAGATCCGCTCACTCGGTGAGAACATCGTCAAACAGCGTATCTTCATCGATCCGGAAAGACTCGAGAGCTTCGGACACAAGGAGACCGTCGCAGTCCGCTGCCAGCTACAGCCTCTATCCCCCGTCCTCTCCCCCCATTACCAAACCCCTTCCACCACTTCCCCTCGTCAAGAACTCACACCGCGTCTCTTCTCAGGGTTCATTTGATGGTTCTGATGCCACTTCCTCTTACTCGGCCTCTCGCCTCTCTCAGGCTTCCAAATCATCAAAGGCCACATCATCGGGTCCCGACCATATGTCGAATGATGCTATTGCGCCACTCTCAAGCCCTCTGTTCCCCTCGCCTCCTCTACATCCATTTTCCACGCCGAGTGAGGAACGATCAAAGCCCAAGCCAAGGCCACGAGCGGGCTCTGCCGCCATCGATCTGGTGCCCTGGAAACACATGATCTCGAACGATAAGGTTGCCAAGGATCCAACTGTTTTTTACTTTGACGTTTCGACCACCTCCGCCACGCTTGCCAGCAAACATGGAAATAACATCATCAAGGTGTGGTCTGTTGGAAGTGGGATTTTGCAGAGCACCATCAAATTCTCATGCTATACAGCCGCCCAAGCTCGCTCGCGCGAATACTTTGTCCGCAGTCACGCCATTCTTTCCGAGCCAGCCACAATGATTGCCATTGCCACTGGCTTTGGTGATACCCTTGAAGTATGGGACTGGGCCAAAAAGAAGAAGCTCCAAACTATCGAGAAAGCAGACCGATGGGCCGCTGTTAGGACCAGTGTTTACGAAGCTGGCTTCAGCCCTCTAGTTACCTATGCAGGCGACGCCGACACAATCGATCTTTATTCCGTCTCCCAAAGCAAGAAACCCTTCACCAAGAGCCGCACCATCGATCTTCGCAAAGCCAACCTCCCGGTTATTCCCCAGTACCCCGAGCTTGCCTTCTCTGCAACCGGTCCCCTGCTTGTCGCCGCCTCTGGACCGCGACCACCTCGTCCCGGCCATCCTCCTCCCGAGCACGAAACGCTTCTCGTAGCCTGGGACGTCGGGGACCCTACGGATGGCTCACAACCCACGTCTCATACCCCATACAAGTGTGTGACCCCCTGGGCGCATACAGAGCTTGAAACTGCCTTGCCGTCTGGTCTAGCAACTTACGGTTCGGTTGCCGTCTCTATCTGGATCCCAGCCTCATACCGCGCCGTACCCATCCCTGCCGCCCGCGGTGGGCATGGATACAATCTAGCACCTGTCCCTGTTCCCTATCGCCATGTTTTAGTGTGGGACTTTTCGGCATCTTCGACCAAGACCTTCCGCATCCCCAACGCAATATCGTGTGTCAGTCCTGACTGTCGATATGTAGCGTATTGCGATGCGACGGGGATTGACTTTGGTGGCCGCGGGTGCCTGGTGATCCTAGATGCCATGACCGGGACAGAGTTGTGGCGCTGGCCGGACCCAGAAGCTGGGATCATGGAAAGCGCACCAAAACAGGGGTATGAGCAATTGGAGGCGTTGAGCAAGGTCACCGAGTTGTCATTCTCCATAGATGGCGGGTTCCTGTTCTTGGGAGATTCGGACGGGGGTTGCGGTGTATACGAGGTTAGGGAGGCGACAGCGGGGGCCAATGGGCAAAAGCTGAATGTTAGGCCCATAAGGTGAACGGGGCTTGGGTTTGGTGGATTTGACGCTCTTGGTTGGTAGTTAGTTGAAGAGTTGATGAGCCTACGAGATACGGTGTTGCTACGATGTGGATGATAAAAAAAGTACAGTAAGGGGCGGATGATTGCAGAACACTGGCCGATGCTAAAAGGTCTTTTGGGTATATAATGGCATGATGATTGAGGATACCATAGTAAGTATGAACTGTTTTCAGAGCGATCGGATGTGAGCCGACTGGGAAAAAACTAGTATTATTATTTCTGTCTTGCTAAAGGCGCATTCATCATAATCCTTGTTCTGCTAAACATTCTCTGGGCTAACGTGTCAGTGAAATATGCCTTTTCTGAGCGCGGAGAGAATCATTCCACCCTCGTGCTTCCTTACTGACGGACCGGATCAAGTTATTCTACTCATCTACTACCAGTTGACAATCCTTCACGGCGCCAGGGTCATCTGCAAACATGATTTTCGGAATCCTTTCATACATTACACCTGCTTGGAGTATGACATCCGCTAGGGGGCGAGTGTTCTTATGACTCGAACGGCCGCGAGTTCGGAGTGCTGCCGTCCCAAGTCTAAAAGCAATCATTGTTTGAAGAATGTACGTGCAAATGGTTATTCTAAATGTATAACGCGGTTGCAGTGTTGTGTTACCCGCCAAGCACAACTTCCACAAACAAACCCTTTGTTGACAATGCCTGAATAGACGCTGAATAGAGGTGAACACATGCACTCTATATTTGGCGACGAAAGTCGTGGATACCGAGTATACCTAGGTACTCTATTCGCCATGAATCTCTAGCTCTGAGAACTCAAACTCATCGATCTTCCCACATTCACTCGTTTTCCTTCGTAACACCTTCAACAACCTTCCAGTCTGAAGAAATCAAACTGTGGCCTTGCGACATATACGCTCTTTCACGTTTCTTCTCATTTCTTACTTTGAGCAACGCGATTATTGTCATCATCAGCATCATCAAGATCATAAACTGATCACGCAACAAAACCAACAAGCACACCAGCCCTTCCCAATCTGGAGAACGATGATTTCCAATACTCCCATCCTCCTCCTCTTCTGCCTAAGCCTTCTTGTCCTCTCAGCAACCGCCTTCCCCAGTCCAGGTGCCTACGGTGGTGGCCCAACTTATACCTGGAGCAACCCCCCTCCGGCTGATGGCTCCAAAGTGGGAAACAACAACGGAAACCAAATCACTGGCTTCTCCTTTGCCAAATGGGTCGATGATGTCCAGCAAGGCAAAGGCATGACGCCTGAACAAGCGCTGGCTTCCTACAAAGCTAGTGAACACGCTAAACGCGAGGCTGGAAACAACAACAACGACGACGACGACAACGACGATGAACTTCCTCCTTGGTATTTCACCTATGGCCCCGGCGGCGGCGGCGGTAGGAATGACACCACCACCACCATTGTAGGAAAAAGAGCCTCGGAACCAACCGGACCAACCTGCTACTGGCACAAAAACGAGCGACCCAAAGTCGAGGATGCATTTTTCGTCGTCACCATGATGGCGCACCGTCCGGAACTGATTAGTATTCACAAGGATGAGGGGAGAGATGTCGCGAGACCGATCAATACTGCGAGTATTAATGTGAGGAGTGTCACTGGACTTAGGTATGCGGTGTTGGGAACGGATATTGCGCGGGCGGGAGGGTTGATTATGGATTATTGGTGAGTCTTTTTTTTCTTCTTCCTCCTCTGGTAGTCTTTGATTATTCCGCCGTTGTTTTCCCATGTCGAGAGAGAGCGAGACGGATTACGAAAATCAAGCAGAGATGCTGAATCAGAGACATCTTGCTAACGGCCGCGAATGATGAATAGCACGTGGAAAGGCAGAAGTGGTGGAGGAGAGTATGCGTGGGGAAATGGCTACCTTTATGTTACTATTGAGCATACGGGAAGGGGGGAGAAGACGATGCAAGAGAACTTGATGGATAAGAGGGAACAGTTGATTGGGCCGAAGAAAGCGGAGGAGGAAGATGAAGTGAAGCTCAAGTGGCAGATGGTTGTCAGGGAGAGAAAGTAGAGTGAAAGAACTCGACTGAGCAGGATTGTGTGCGGTATGAAAAGGGAAGGATGTTGTTGGTAAATATAATAGATGGGAGAGGAGTGGGAGTTCAATGTTGGATATACCCCCGAAGGGCTTGATAACTTGTGTTTCCCTTTTCTGTTCTTTTTGTTTAGTTTTTTTCTTTGGTAAGTAGCTTTGTATAATAGCTTCCTACGATTTTTCTTCTAACGACTCGATCATCCAACATGTCGAAATTTACAACAAGCAAAGGTTTGCAAAGGAGAACTTGCCTGAGTGCGAAAGCCAAGACAGCGAGACTGGCAAATTTCTTATCAGCAAATCATCCATCCATCCAGATTGCGGTTCTGACTCGTTAGTCGGTGAAGCTGTTCGGTGAGACGCGAGGTGGTGACTCGATGATGATCGGAGGGGACCATGACTGCCGGCATCCTACAAGATAATGAGCGCATTGCTGAACCCACGAGGGTCACTCAAACGACACATCCTATTGGACCCACGATTGGGTGAAGAAAATCACACCGACTGATTTCGAGTGCACCCGGTATATGAATTTGGATTTCAAGGATCAGCAATCGAAAGGAGGGGATATACTATGCCTTTCCAATGTCTATTGTTTCCATGACGAGCGTATTGTTAGTACGTGCGAGTGAAACTGAATGGAGTGAACGAACTGGAGCAAGCTGCAGCATGCATGCCTGATTTATACCTCAGACCTGTTTCTTCCCCACACGAAACGAAGAAGGCACACACGCTGTATGTGGAAGGATGGCTGCAACAGGAGGAGCAGAATACTGCTGAGGAAGGAGGGCATTGCTATGGAAAGAGGTTGAGCCGATAGCTGAGGTGATTGGGGCCCCGGTTGGGGACGACGAGATGTGCATTCCATAGACCTCAGCTAGGGCTTCCGGGCTTCTGGAGCAGTCATCTCTTCATACTTGACGAACAAGCGCTTCTGACACATCTTTGAATGTCTCCTCTGCTTGTTGCCTTATAATTTCAGCAGCGAATTAAACGACCTGCGACATTGTTGCCGTCAGGTCAGTCATGTCGGGCAAGTTGAACGTATCTTGTCGCTTATCGCGCCCCTTATCGATTGTTCAAAGCGATACCCACGTGACGGACGTGAGACGGTCGGCAGCGGCAGTGCTAGCGCAATGGGCAAGGGTCAGGTTTCGTTCGCCAGCCCGCCAACGTCACAGCGCCGGTAGAGACACGTGTAGTGTAGTCACCGACACACCGTCGAGCATGGTGATCACACCGTCACCGTGGATTTCCAGGGTCCAGTGGACGATCAACCCCTCGACCAGCGACCCCTCGCTCCTGTCCATCACAACCCCTTCTACATGTATGTACAGTCTTTACCCATGTTAATGCAACTCGATGCCGGCAGTGATTTATCTTGCAATAGTAGGGTGTTTGCACAAGTGAGATCCAATCTACGAACCCGAAGTATGTGCCTAGGCGTTCGGGCCAATGGAGGGCCGTTGACGGATTGGAATAATAGATCGATAAACACCGATATAGGGGTACAAGTGTTCACTTCCACCAAAACTCGACCCTTCTGTATGTTGCTATTAATATTACAAAAATTCGGCCATTATTGTTGCAACTAGCAGTTCGCAGTCCCAGTATGGGCCTGTAAATCTGGCCCTCGACTGGCTGTGCAATAAGTGGGTAGGATCACAGCATAACGGGGGGTGTTGCAACTGCAGGGGTAAAGACTGCACCCCTCTTCAGCCCCTCTTTTAAGCCCCTCGTCAATCTTCACCCCCTTTTCCATGGCGCCTTGTGACTGGCCAACAAGCTGTTGAGCTTTCATGAGCTGCCAACGACATGAGACGAACATGGTAGAACACCCAGAAGCTCTGCAAGCACTCAAGCGGAGCTCCCCTCTCCCGTCGTTCGCCCCTGTCTGATAATCAAACATGCTTCGGTTTTAACAAGCATGCCGTAAACATCAAGCCAGGTTCACAGGCCACGAGCCTCCACAGTCCAGGAAACTGTCAGTAGGAGAACTTGGTCAGCACGAGCTATCATGGCCGCACAACAGAAAAGGGTATAGTCGGGGATCTCCAACGACATGCTATGAGATGAACGTCGTCTCGAATCTCGAGACGTCGGACGAAGCTGACAGGGACACAAGCTCGACATCTCTCCACCACAACCCCTTCCACATGTCCACTCCTTACGATGTCGGTCTCCATTTACGATCCACTTCCCCTCGTCGACCACCCTGAGGCCTGACGAGCTGAGCTGCCCCAGACCCGCGGTGTCAAGTGCAAGCTAGATGTTACGTTGGTTATCATGCTGGTTACCGAGTCAAGCCAGTGCAAGATACACGTCTACGTATGTGCGAGGCAGTCGATGTTTGTTTGCTTTTTGTACAAGGCTTTCATTGCTATCGTGTCCAATGTCTACCTTGTACCCCTTAGTACCATTTAAAGATTATGCTTTACGACTATTCATTCCCCATGACATCCCGACGGTCCCTATGCGCCGCCGGCAACGGATTTCTTCGCGTGTGCGTCCGGGTCATTTAAAACTCTGGTGGGGGAGCAATTTGTCAGTTACTTGAGCGTTTCGACATCAGTGCTGGCTGGACGGCAAGTAGACTTACTGGCCTGGAACTGGCCGTTGACGTTCTCAACGATCTCGGTGAGGTTAACATCGCGGTCGTGGAACTCGCCGTTGCAGTCACGGAGCCTGGCACGGAGAATGGGCTGCTCGGCGGCACCCTCCTTGGGGTGGAAGCGGATATCCTCGGCGGTCTCAGTGAAGTTCTGACCACCCCACTGGAAGTGACCTAAAGACGAGTAACCATGTTAGATACTGTCTGAAAGATGCTGAGGATAAAGGATAGCCTGGACTACTTACCATCGTTGTTTCCGATGATCTGGTCAAGCTCGTAGCTGGCGTCGTTCCACTCGCCGTCCTCGCGGCGGAGGCGAGCAAAGAGGATGGTGCGGTTATCGCGCACCTCGATGCGAGCATCCTCAGCGGTAACGTGGAAAGACATGTTGATAGTGTTGGTTTGGGGGTGGTGTTGGGTATGTGGTGGTAGTTCAAGTTTGTGGATGAAGTTTAGAAGAACAACCAAGTGCAAGTTGGGAGAAGGGGAAACCGCCTTCTTATACACGAGGGAGACGGGGAACGGCCTCCCATCAACGTGGCTCGGCCAATTGACCGCCTCAACCGCTTGGACGCAGCAAGGGAAGGCATCACCCATCAGGGTTCTCTCCTCGTGGAGTATGACAGAAGAAGACCTACGCCATGATGCGGTCCACGACCTGTCTCCACACTCGACCTGTTTGGTTCCATCCCACTTTACACTATGTACAACACCACTTTCCAGGTGACAAGGTTCAAAGGTCAGTTTTGATACTTCAAACCCTCGCATTCTATTCTCCACAAGCCGATACGAAGCCAAACGGAGCAAACAGCCCCCCTTTTGGACCAGTTGAGTTGCGTGGACGCGTTGCCTTTTTCTGCAACGTAGATGTTACTTTTGATAGATCTGGACTGTTGTAATTCGAGGTACTTGGTCTGGCGGATCTTGGTGAAGAATAGAGACCAATGGTGAGCGGGTGTGTGTGAGCTTTCCAAGTCCTTTACGCCTTTAGGTATTGATACCCTGTCAAGCATTCGGCATCGTGTGTTGGCATTGAAACCAGGGGATGCCTACACTACTTGGCGTCATCTCTAGCCTCCATCTCATTACTCCCGTTCCAGATTCCATACCTCTAGAAGCGGCCTGCGAAACACTGGTGATGATTGAGGGGTGAAAGAATGAAGTGGAAGAAGTGGGGGGGAGGCCGCCGCCGGACCCAGCTTGCCCAGCTCGCAAGCGAAGCTCCAGCTCGTCAGTGTCCCGTGGAGTACATACCAAGATGGAGGAAGCTGCGTGGCTTTGTTGTTTCCATCTTCGTAGCACCGCCTCCCTACGCATCGACTTGTTGACCACTGCCCGCCAAGACAGAAGGGACCACAACAGAAGGCACGGCATGGGGGTCCGCAGGGGAGGCATTGACGAGTCGTCCGCATATCACCGTCCTCAGCTGAGGTTTCCCCGTGGAGTCGTTGACGTTGAACCCTCGCGGTTGCAATACTTGGCATGATTACGGCATCCACCGCTGCTTGGCAGCTTGGCATTGGCTCGGCCACTATCACTAGGGCGTAAATGAATGGCTCCACATCCGCCCAAATGATATCGACGCAAACGAGTCCCCGCTTTGGCGTCGCATCATGCCGAGATGTCTCAACTCTCTGCGTGTCTTGTATCATAACTGACCACAAACCTCTCTGGAAGCGAGTTATGCTTCTATGGATGGCACAGAACCCAAAGTCATCCAGCACCCATACAGATGTTGGTTCGTACTCGGACATCATGCAAGTTCAGAGACCGATTGGTTACCTCTTCCAAATCACTCATCGATTACGTGGACTCTGGACTCTCAACTTCCATCGAAAAGCTTGACCTAGCACTCTCTCCCTCCTCCTCCTCCTCCTCCTCCTCCTCTTTGGCGTCGAATAACCTGACGATTCCTTGCATTGCGTCTACACTACAAATACGAGCAGTAGTGTAATAAGGACTTGAAACGCCGAGCATGTCGAAACAAGTCGGTCGGTTGGGATCTTAAGTGACAGTGATCACTTATATACATGTGGAAGGCAAGTATTGGTTTCAGCTGTTGATATGGCGCTTTTTCATGGACAGACATAGGTATCTGCTGGCCAAGATGACAAGCCAAACCATCGTTTGAAGAAGATCCAAGAGTGCAGACCAGATCGAAGTCACTTCTCAGCCCATGCACGGCACTTTGAAGGCAACTCACAAAGCGCATTGAAATCAAGATCCCGAAAGGTCATCGAACGAGCCACACCGAACCGCCTTCTAAAAGTTTGGCCAGCTGAATGTGGGACTTGACTCTGGGTATCGTGAAAGACTTACAAGGCCTTCAAATGCATGGCAGATACCTACAGACCATCACCGACGTTAACTCCCACGTACCTAATTAGAGGTAACCATGCGGATGAGGGCTCCAGTCCATCTCAAGCGATCTTGCATTGACGAGATCATCAACACCAGTGGAAGCCCGCACGTCATCCTCCCGTACAGTGCCGCCCATTGATCTCCAAGAGTGCCTAAAGTCCGTTCTGGGGAGCACGAGGTTATGTCGTTTGGGAAAAGGTTCTGCAGCTGCATAAGATAGTTAGCAACTTTGGCGTTTGGGCTGAGGTAAAGTAGAGATGGGAATCTGAGTCCCCCCTACGCCTTCGTGTCATCGAAAACTTATGCTGACGCTGGCTTGAGGAATCACTCAGGATCTCACTTACCGATCTTGACCATCAGCTATGCCAGGTGAACGGTTCCCCCTCTGATAGCCTGCTTCGTTCCAAATCATACGCTTGTTTCCCAAGACCGATGGATCGCTGATCGAACGAAACCATCGCGATGAACTTCTCAGCACGCAAAGAGACACCATATCGCCCCCCTTCGCCTTCCAGTCGGATCCCTCTTCCAGACGATGCCTATGCTCTCCAGATCTTCACTGCTCGAAAATCATCCTCCCCATCCCCTACATCCTCCTCTTCCCCCCAAAGTCCTCAATAGTCATATCCTCCGCAAGGTCCTCAGCGAGGTCCAGCTCCTCCCCTCTTCCTCACCTCCACATCACCTCCATGTTCTCCTCCGCGATAGGCACCACCTCTACCCCTTTCAACCGCGCTCACCTCGCTCTCACCGGGTAGTCTCTCTGGGTTTCGAAGCGCGTCAAAGATGACAATGCGGATAAACAACACGGCGTAGACGAGCTCGTACAACGTTTCCAGGCACGCAATCATGTTGATGGCTTTGACGAGTCTTTTTTTTCTCGAGGTCTTGACTGATGCTCTGTGATGTTGCGTTGCGCGGTGCCGAAATGCTTTTCGTCGGAGACGGGATACGTTTGTTGAAAACCTTGAGAGCTAGAGAGAGAGGGAGTATATGTTTGAGGGCGAGTGGAAGGCGTACTTTTACCAGGTATAAGATAGTCGAAGAGTCGTGGGGTGTTGGCTGGAAGTTGAGTTCACTTGGTTGTATTTGAAGTGGGAGGGGTTGCTCTACAGAAAGGAGTCCGAGGTAAAAATGGTGGGGGGGTTGAGGAAGAGGAGGATAATATTACGGTTTTTTGGTATGAGCAAAGTGCAGTATTACACTTGCTTCATGAAGTGAGTTCGAGGTGAGTTTGTCTTGTATTTGACGTAACCCTGGATAATTACCTCTATCATTCTTTTTCCTTCGCAAGTTTACTTGCTCCGACTTTATACCTTGTGAATATTCAGGTTCTCAACTTCATAGTCCTACAGGTACTCTATTCAGCCGTGGAGGCACCCCTTCAAGTTTCTCGATACAATACAGATTATACCAAACGATGCCATACATCCATCAGCAGGTATCGCTGACTGCCTGCCATCACGTGGGTCATTGCCCTAGTCATTTTGTGCCAAACACTTCCGCCTTTCTCACCTGGTAGCTAGGTCTCGGAGGTTGACCAGTTTCTGTTACTGACCACATCCTCAATTCATCGCCATCTTCATTTTCAGCCTCACGGCTTCAACTAAACATCGACCGATAACATACCCCATCAAGCCCGTGCACAACTCCGAACTTCTCATACCTCAGGCATTTGTAACTCCCTTCCCGGCCAGGGTGTTTCCACGAACATCATAAATTGCCCCTGTGCTTCGACTCGAAGATCAAGGGAACCCGGAACAAAGATTTCGAAAACTCACTCAAAGCACGTGGCAAAGGTCAACGGGCGCCATGCCAAGACGGGACTTGCGGTTTACACAACGGCGATCGACAGGACCGGAAGAATGCATGCTTACGAGTGTGCACTAGTAACTGTCCTTTGTCGGGTTATGGGCTTTATCGATGTTGTGGAATTGGTACAGGGGTTGGACTCTCCAGTCTTGACCGGACTTGAGGAGATCACTAGTAAGAACTAAGTCGGATGTGGGACACGATACATTTCTTTAGTGCGAGAAGTTTCGATGTTCCATGCCGAGTTCATGTACCTATTCCTGGTAAAGCGAAATATCGAAAACGATATGTGTGGAAGATATTTCCACATCCTGGTGTTAATCTCCCGTCAGCTTGCCCGTCAACATTCTTGGCGTACTTTATTGGGTTTTCCACCCTGTCAATCCACGTTTGTCTCTGATATTCAAGAAAGCCACCGAGTAAGCCGTAGCTGGGTGGAAACCTTGCACTTCACTCGGAGGCTTACACCGCAAATCATGATCGGAGATTCTTGCCAGCGTGTCAATTTTGCCCTGTTCCCAATTGCCCATACACCGTCCACCATCGTGATCATGGCATTGACCAATACCAATGCCTCCCGTCGAGTCCAGTCTCTCTTCTTCAAAGATACAAAAACCTGAACCATCCCGCTCACATAAAGAGCGAGATTCCACCGCCTCCTGTGTTGGTCACCTCACCAGTCACCACACTTCGACTCGTCAAAGCCATCCATCGCTCAGTCTCGTGCCCCATTTCTTTCTTTCTTTCTTTCCTTCCTTCCTTTGGCCCCCCTCAAGCCAACCAAATTCCTTTGAACTTCAAGTCTTGCTGCCCAATACATACCCTTTTTGGCACTAGCGTGCTAGCGCCAGTTGGCTTTGCAGTTGCACTGACTTCCACTGATTTTGCACTGGCTTTTCGGCACTGGCACATCGATTGAAACCACAACGTACTGGGGGTGGTGTCATGCCATGTGGTTTGCATATACGCTGCGCTAAGTATTTGACCTAGCAAAACGAAGGGAACGTGTATTAGCGTTGTCGGTGCACCGTGGTGTATGTCGGTGTCGATCAGCATTGAACAAGGGAACTTGCAACAGTGAAAAAGCTTGGAGTGCGGGAGGGACGTGAAAGAATCCTTCTCTTCTTCTTTTTATTCATTCTACCATCGAGGTCTGAATTGTACTTTCCATATCCTGCAAACCTCATCCGTTATTTGCGTGTTGATACCTACCTGCTACTGTCGTTTTCAAGGTGTGAAATAACGAGAGGTTCCTGCCTACACGTGAGTGCTTTCCAGATTAGGGTAGTTGCGTTGGCGGCTGCGATGGCGTCGCTCTGGATGATGGACTCGAGCTAACTGATGAACCAGATACGAACCTCAAGCAACGAATGCATTCATACCTACATTAACTGATTTTTCACTACTCGATTCCAACCTTCAACACGCACCGCGAGCCTCTCAAACCTCACAGCCCGCTCATTACACTACCTGCCTCTACCAACACCTCCGCCTAAAATCAACAAACCTCAGCCATTAGCAGCCAGCCGCCATCAGCAAGTCCTTCAACAGCGACACCCGATATCAAGCATCCTCACCTACCTAAGGTACCTCTCACCTAGAGGTAAACACCTACCTCCTATCTACCTAGGTACCTACCCAGCCGGATCCCCAATCCTCACTCGTAACTCACCGATTCTTCAAAATCCACCGAGCAACCTCTCCACCAAACGACATCTGGGATCCACACACAATGAGAGTCCAGATCCCTACACCCGGCTACACCGCCTACATGAAACTCCCGGCCGTTCCAGCCAACATCCAAGCCGCCCTAGCCGGGGACGAGAACCAGCGGCTGAATCTCATCTGGATCGGACTGGTAGCGGTAGAGATCCTGATGGTTGTCAGCGTCGTGTTGCATGCCGTTATCAGGACAGTATATCCAAAGAAGAAACAGAGGTTGGGTTCGTGGTAGAGCACTGGGAAGGAATGGAATGGAAGCAGACAGGACGAGCGGGCCAACTTTGATTTGACGACATAAACTGGTGCCCGGGGCCTAGAGGATCTTCGTCCGGCCGTCGAGGGCAGTGTATGTTGGCCGATGGAGATATTTCATGATTGATGAGTTATAACGGACAGCTTGCATGGAGAATTGGTATGCATTGAAATACAAAAAAGTATGGCAGACGTTGGTTGAAGTTGATGGAAAAGGGAAGGAGTATCATGGTGTTTGCATTTAAAGGTGGGCGACAGAACTAGCACATCGCGATATAATACCACAACTTTCAATGAGCTAAATTCTCTCCTCCGTGAGCCATACCAAGAGGCAAACCTCACATTCAGTGCTCCCTGTATTGTATTTAAGCCAAGCCTAGCATCCATTGCTTAGGTTCTCATTGCCAATCATTCTGGCCCATCCAGTTGGACACAAAGACCGGTACCCAAGACTTAAATATTCGCTCCAACCGTATAGCACATTAGAAAAGCTGGAATGATTGTGATCAAGTTGTTGATGTCATTCAGAAATGTAGTGGGCTCGATTCTGAGGGCTGCAATAGCACGGTCGTTGAAGGCGGCATCCACCAGACAGTACAGGGGCTTGGGATCGGAGACATTGAAGATCCCAGTTGATGAACGTATCGGCTGTGAAGCCGTAGGGAAGCAGAGGCAGGGAGATGACGGGAGCGCTTTTAGAGGCATTGGTCTGGTCAGTTTCAAAGATACTAGTGAAAGCGAGGATGAATAACAGGGTGTAACATGGCAAGCAATGAGGTGGGAAAGGGAGAACATACAGGCTGAAGATACGGCCTATGGCGCCCTCATTCTCTGAGCGAGAATGCTCCAAGCGACGAAAATATTTAGGACAGCCGCGCGCTCTGCTATCTCGACGTGACCATTGACAACAACCGTGGTACCGGTAAGCCGGTCACCAGTCTGAACACCATAGTTGATGCCTACCTGGAAAGCCTGAGACCAAGCAGCGTCGTGAGCAGCTCTGTTCCTGAAGTGACCAGTCCTTACTTTCCTGAGGAAAGTTGCCTACATGGGAGAGCTAGGGTTTCCAAACGTGTCATTTGACTTCCCCAGGGCAATGGCCGTACCACGCTGGATTCCGTCAAGGACACCAGCGAAGCCGTATGAAGGTGCAATATTGGGATTGGGAAGATTTTTGTCGATGAAGTATTGCATTAGTCCTGCAATAGCCTTGAACTGGGTCTGGCTTTTGTTTTGGCCGCCGAGGAGTTTGACCTGGATGGTGACAAGGTAGATGAGCCAGTCAGACAAAGAGACATTCTAAAGGAAGTTGAAGTTGCAAGCCAGAGTGTCCTTGCAGGATGGCCACCCTAAGGTTGATGTTTTAGTGCCGGATACAGCATCGGTGGGGGCGGTATCCATTGTGATGGTGGCAAGCTTGGACATGACTATATCGACAAGGTTATGTTGACCGCTCACCGCTGGCATCTGTTGACCGTCCATCCCGGACAAACCCTCCAGCACAGCCAGTGCCATGTGGTCCTGGAAAGTTGAGTCGTTGATGTGCATGGTGGCGGCAAGAGCACCAGCGATGGACGCCACTAGGGCGTGGGCAAAGGAACGCATGGCTGCCAAAATCGAGCTGAGAGTGAGGCAAGTTGCGGGAAGTGAGACGCCAAACCGTGGACCATGGATGGCAGTGACCAGCCGACATTCTTCACATGGATGTATCGCACTTATAATCTTCCATGGTCAGCCATCCTGCTATGGACTTTCCATCCTGAGGTTACCGCCGGAGCTTCTGGATAACATTCCTCCTGTAGGCTGAATAAGTAATGTGTCGAGAAATGACCGTTTGGACAACCCACGCCAAATCGGCATTCTGTTTCTTTCCGTTGTCCTTTTCAGGATACATTGCCGAGCTCGAAATGCGAGACGCCGCTGGCATCTACTTCTGTAAAGGGCCATCCTCCAGATGTTACGTCGATCATGTGCCAGTGCTGTAAAGCTCCATAGCTGAGTTCTTGGGAGGCTTGAATGGCAGCCTTGAGAATTATTGCCAATCGGAATGTGACAATGGGACGGCCCGGGACACTGCCGATCCGGAAGACCCTGATGGCCAAAGAAAGGGCATCGATGTGTGCCCTCAGTTGTCACTAACTCCCGAAGAAAGATTTAGATCACTCCTCCACAGTGTTCGTGATTTGAGATTGGCACAAAGTAGTACTGAGACCACTTTTTGCCAAAGTTGGTGTGGGCCAAAGCCTACCTAGTATTGAGACTTCGAGGCTTGAAGATCATAACCCTGATGATTTCTGGCTCATCGCGGAGTCTTTTTGTGGTGTAACGCAGTTCATTAGAGATGGTCGTCGTTGGAGCACTCTTTTGGAGGAATGTTTTGGTCGTGGAAAGGTAAGAGTGTGTCGGTTCTGCTTCTCTGGCGAGGGTTGAATCCCTATCACACCTATGATTCGCGTTGAAAGTCATCTGCATGAAATGTTGTGAAGGGGTACCTTGCGTCCTGGAAGGCCATTAGGTACGTGAACTGTGGTAACGCGAGGGTGTTCAATGCGCTGGGTAGTGTAATGTCCCTGGGAATGTGCAAGGCTTGATGGCACGTCGCAACCCCCGAAGATATCCGCATTCTTTCGTGTTGAGACGAGCCACAAGAATGTAGGAGAAATTCCAGAACAGGAACTCGCGTTCCGGCTTGGTCAGTGTCGTAGATGGCCGATTCAACCATGAGGTTTGTTGTTCTTTTGATTGCTAGAGGTAGGTTTGGTTTCGAGACTTTCGCGGAATAACGCCGAGATAAGCAGGACAAAGGAAGGAGGAACTATGAAACTTCAGTGTTAGAAGCGTCTGATCACAAAAGAGGGTAAGCTTAGCTTGTGTAACTGGTGAGACTTTGTGTAGTGTTCGCGAGTCCTGCTGCGTACCCAATTGCGTCAGGCTGCGTGCCCTCGATGTGACCGCCGGTCTCATTGGAAGGTCGGCCTAGTTTGTGCGGATTGTCGAGACAGCATTTGATGAGGCTTTCTGAAGGCATAGTGGATTGTCATCGACGCCATCTTCGTTGCCGTTGCCGTTGCCGTTGCGGTGGTCATCGCTGTTTTTGGAACTCCGAGACTCGCGGCGTTGTCTAGTAGTTAGGTAAGCTTCGAGGACAAGACTAATACATACCAAAATGGAACTCCCAAGTGATTGCCAGCTCTAGGTCGCTTTCGGTCAGGACATCCTCGGGAGGGGGTTCGCTCGATTGGTGAGATGTCGACGACGGGAAGTGCGCGGGAGGACGAAAGTGGGGAAGTTGTGACACGGCAGCGTCATGCACGGAACCGGGCGGCAGGCGTCCCGTCTTTCTCCTCACTCGCTGCATGCCGTGTGGAAGCTCAAAGGACGGCCGGGCAGGTCTTAACTACCTCAGCGAAAGTAGCGATGAAGGCGGGGGAGTGATGCACTAACATCACAGCGGCAGGAAAGACACTTGCTGCTGCGGCCCTAACTGCATCGAGTTGACGTCGGTCCGCACAATGACAACTGCCAACTTCAATAGGACAGGGGCCCAAACCTGTCACTTTGTCACTAAGGCTATTTATTACTAGGCAGGAGCTTTTTTCCGGAATCATCTCCATTGATGAATTCGAGATGAGAGACGGATGATTGGGAAAGTTGGAGTGCCGGACTGCATTCAAGTTGTAAGTCCGAATTTATCAGTTGCAGTTCAGTCATGACTTCTTGAGGTAAACAATGGGTGTACCTTTCTCCAACTGTTCATCCCTCACAATTTCCACCATTTTGCACGAATTGAACAGCACCTTGACGGCTGCTGAGTGCTGCTCTGGACTCAAAATGAAAAAGTCGCATCCATCGATATCGAACGAACGGTTTCAATCGAAGCGGATGGCCCGGGGTGCCATGAGGAGGAATGGGGCCACGACGCCCCTGGCTGACCTGTCAGGTGGAGAGATCACAACCCCCCGCCCCTGGAAGGAGCCCCGCTCGGGACGATAGACGAAGACAAAACACGCCTGTTATGGATCGGATGGGGTGATGAAGCAATGAGAATCGCACGTAGGTCAACCATCCTAGGTTTTGTCGAGTTTGAATGACGGTGAGGGCCAGTCGGTAGTTTCAATCTGCTCAATGAACTCCCTTGATCATCATGGGTGTCGGCCATCCTTTATGTGCTCGAGATCAGGTCGTCTGCCATCTGGTTTATTGACCTCATCGGCCCCGGCACTCGACATCATAAGGTTAGACGCTAATCCCCCCGGAATAGCACCGGGGTGGTTTGGGTAGTGGTACCACGGCAGTGAGCGAGGTGGGCCGACCTTGTTCGTTTTCGTCCAAGTGTCGAGCCGCCACACGACTTCCCCGGATTGCTAGGCGATACCCTAACCCGCCCTTTGATTGGAGGTTCCATTGGGGGGTTTTGGAGAAGAGCCGTTGGAAGTGTAAGTGGACAGGAAGTGGAAGGACCCCGGTACCTCCGGGTCCTAGCAGGTCAGCCTATGCCATCATGTCATGATAATGTATTCATCACACGATCGTCCAAAAGCGGCCGTCTCCAGACTTCGTACTCGCTCTTGCTCTGCACCACCACCTGCACCACCCACGACCAGGTGATCTTCTACCTACCCCGCTGGGCGAGGCAGGAACGAAATGCAGCGGAGACACCGCGAGCCAATCTCGACTCGCTCAGCTCCTCTTGCTTGAGCGTGCAAAACCCCCTCTCCCTCATGACGCAGACCGACCTACGGACCGATCGGTACATCCAGTCCTATCACTTATACGATCTCCACAAGTGTAACCACCACTCATATCCCACCCGTGACGGCTACCCTGAAATGTACTCGCAGCTTGCTTGCCTGTCCTCTGCCCTTTTGTAACCACTGAAACCAGCTCGCCTTCCGCAACTGCCTGGAAGAGGGAAGGACAGTCCTTGGATCATCTCCCGCATCATTGGAACTTCCCCTCCCGTTGTCGTGCTCCGTCGTGTTCCCGCCCCCCTTTATCTACCTTGTAGCTCCCGTCTCGATTCAGATACTTTTCATTCTCCTCTTCTCTTCTCCTTGTCCAACAGACATCACTCTCCAATCTGTATCCATCTTTGCGAGATCCAATCCTACACTGTTAATCATCCATCCATCCTCATCATCAATCAGCTGTTATATCGTTATACAGCTGTCACACTGCCTGAATACCACTAGTCATCTGTAGCCAGATCCAACCAAACCATCACCACCATGTCGGGCGAACCACTCACCAAGGTCGACTCCGCCGTCCAAGGTCTCGAAGCCACATCACCTCCAAAGGAGAGCCACATCCACAAGCACCGGCGAGCAAGCTCGAGTGCCAATGGGGTCATGAACATCAACGACCTGGAGGCTCAGGGCACTGACCTCCAGATTGCCAAGGAGACGCAGATGTTGGGGTGGTAAGTCCTGCCAAGCACTCGGTCCCAGAGGCTATGCCGTGACCTGACACCTCGATACACTCGAGATACATGGCTCACACTTGTTTGTTCAATGACAGGAAGGTCAACACCTCGCCTACGTCGATAGACGACAAGGACTACCTTAAGGTGATGCTCACAACACCGCCAGTCAAGAAGATTGACCTCTATTTCAAGACGGGGTTGCACGTAACGGCACGAAATCTCAAGGGGGTAACCATCAGGGACGCCATGGATGCCATCCACAAGTCGTTCAAGAAGAGGGTAAGACTTTCTTGACTACCACCACCTGTTGATCCATGTGTTAGCAAGGGAGATTCCTTTGACTGACTCTTTGATGTGCTTCATAGCCGGATGATGAGCTACCCGAACCATACCTCAAGGGCTTTGAGTGGGACAAGGAGGAGTCATGGACATCGCTCTTGGTACACTTGTCGACGAACGCTGGCCCCAAACCCGCGGGCGGCTCCTCCAAGAAGAAGAAGAAGGCTGCCGCCGCCGAGGAAGAGGCTGCCTAAGCCCTTCACAGTCTGGTCCAGACCAACATGGTCTGCACTGGCTATCCCTGTCTCGGGGTTCATCGGTGATGATGACAACGACAGGATCTTAATCTGTATCATATAATTATCCCTAATGGCAGACTGGGGTTGATCCTCCATGTCGTCAGCGTCTATTTCTTTCGGTGCCCTTCTGGCGTAAGGAAACAGCTGGCTGGGTCAACAAGAGCAGCGGACACAGGACAACAAGTAGTGTCGGACATGCTTTTGACAATGCACATTACTTTCAGCCATGTTAGATCGACTGCTTTTGTGTCATAGTGATCAGTAACTTGAATGCCATTGTGCCTTGCATTACTGTCCATTACTTTCAAGTCTTCCACCTATGACGTTAACGTACACTATCCCCAAGATCTCGCGCCAATGATACCTGAATCTCATGTTTGAGACGTGCCCCCTGACCAACATTCAGATCTTTTTTGCGGGGTGATCAAAACGGATGAAATATGGTGACTGATGGATGGGTCATCCGTTCCACAAAAGTGGTTTGTACCGAGGGATCGGGTGGTAGAAGAACAGAGACGATGTTCGAAAAATGGGTGTACCGTATGGGCTCCGAAAACCTGAATTTAGAATACATGGTTGCCGAAGGTCTCCGGCGACCAGGTACATGGTTTCCGACTGCCGCAATACTTACTCAACTGACAGAGTGCGTTTCTGCACCTTTGGATTCTGGCTTTCCTGATTTTCTACAGGATGAGCTTGTTGTTCCCTTCAATTAAGCCTCATGTTGTCTCCCATGGAGCGTTCGACGGTCCGGGGGTTACTTAACCCGCCCTTCCAGGCCCTCGAAATTCGAATTGCTGAGGTAGATGAAACGTCCATGTTCTCGTTTTATTATTCCTAGATATGAGTTGAGTGAGTGTGTCGTAGGCTCGGCCGCAAACTTTTTCCTTCACATCTGTCGTCAAAAAAAAAAAAAAAAAAAAAAAAGGAAAAGAGTTCCAACATGGAACAAACCGAGGAAAGACAGAGCTAGCCAAAATCGATTCTGGGGAAGCGGGGTCGATGCAGAGTTTAGTGCAAGATATGGTGGAGCTCGGGAAACCAGTGGGGACGTGAATTATGTGGAGAAAGGTCTTTCCCCCCGGGTTTACGATCCCCACTCGGCCGGCGCAATTAGTGACCGCATATCTTCGGCTACTGGCGGTCTTGCATCGCGGTCTTGGACGGGCGGAATTTAAGAAACTTAGAGAACGATTGCATCGAGGCACAAGCACGACACCAAAGGATGACGAAAAACGAAAGTAGCAATGTGACCTCGGCAACAGACAAAATGGATGGGTTATTTGGGCTTTCGTTTGCTTTACGGAGAGAGATAACTTGTCTCTCGAGCCCTCCGTCTTTTGCTCTGCCCTTGACGTGATTTTCCACCTCAACATTCCAGTTTCTCGAACCATCGATACCTACACTAGAGGTACACTCAAGCTGGATTCATAGAAGCAACCGTGAAAATGCCAGTCACCAACTTTGACTTCAAGGAAAAGTACCGCTACCAGAATGGCTTCGATTCCTACTTAGAGTAAGTCTCGTTTTCTCTTCCACTTTCAAGTCTCACCTCTACTTACCCAAACTTCCAGGTCCGAAGCCGTCTCCGGCGCTCTCCCCATCGGCCACAACTCGCCCCAGAAGCCTCCTCTCGGCCTTTACGCCGAGAAGCTTTCCGGAACCGCCTTCACAGCTCCCCGTCACGAGAACAAACAATCATGGCTCTACCGCATCCTGCCATCATGCTCGCACCCGCCCTTCGTCCAGGCCACTCCACGTAATGGTCAGGAGCCCGTACTTGAGCAATCGCCAGCCAGACTGCACTACATTCCCAACCAACTCCGATGGGACCCCTTCGACCATGAATCCGACACCGACTTTGTCTCCGGCCTGCGTCTCGTCGCCGGCGCCGGCGACCCCACCCTCAAGCAAGGTCTGGGCATGTACATCTACGCTGCCGGCAAGTCCATGTCCGCCCAATCAGCCTTCTACTCCGCCGACGGCGACCTTCTCATTGTAGCCCAAGACGGCGTGCTCGACATCCGCACCGAGTTCGGCTGGCTATTGGTCAGGCCCATGGAAATCGCCGTCATCCCGCGCGGCGTGCGCTACCAAGTCCTCCTCCCCTCCGGTCCCGTCCGCGGTTACGCACTCGAGCTTTACCAAGGGCACTTCCAGCTCCCCGAGCTCGGCCCCATCGGCAGCAACGGCCTCGCCAACGTGCGCGACTTCCAAGCTCCCGTTGCCTGCTTCAGCGAAGACCACGGATCGATCGCGCTCGACGGGCCCAACAGCTACACCATCACAGCCAAGTTCAACAACACCCTTTTTGAGACCAAGCAGCCGCACACCCCCTTTGATGTTGTGGCGTGGCACGGTAACTACTACCCCTACAAATACGATCTCGGTAGATTCAACACCATCGGCTCCATCAGCTTTGACCATCCGGATCCATCCATCTTCACCGTCCTCTCCGCCCCTTCAGACCACGCGGGAACCGCCATCGCCGACTTTGTCATCTTTCCTCCTCGCTGGCTTGTCGGGGAAGACACGTTCCGCCCACCTTGGTACCACCGCAACACGATGAGCGAGTTCATGGGACTGATCACTGGAGCATACGATGCCAAGAAGGGAGGAAAGGGGGGTTTCGTTCCGGGAGGCGCGAGTTTGCATAATGTCATGAGCGGACATGGCCCCGATGCGGCGAGTTATGAAGGGGCGAGGAACGCTGAACTGAAACCGCAAAAGGTCGGAGAGGGGAGTTGTGCGTTTATGTTTGAGAGCTGTTTGATGGTGGGTGTGACGGATTGGGGACTCGAGACTTGTCACAAGGTGCAGGAGGATTATAATGAGCATAGTTGGGGTGGGGTTAAGGTGCATTGGAAGGGCATGCCGGAGGGCGAGAAGGGGCAGGGGCATTTGTTGTGAAGAGAGCAGGAAGGGGAAATGGAGGGAGAAGGGGAAACAACTGATTTGAGGGGTACTTTGGCTAGGTGTGAACATGAAAATGGGACATGGGTGCCCGGGCTGTTGTGAAAGAAGGAGTATACCGATAAGCAGAGGACTTGATAGGGGAATGGGAAGACTATACCAAACGCAGTCGTTAAGCGAACAATTGATTATTATGCCATGGCACTCGAAATCTAATATGTTTGGCGTCTTCGGATCCTGCATCGCTGTGGGGTTATCGAGCCGCGGTTGAGCGTTTGGATTTTGCTCACTTGGCGCCATTGGGAGTTGGCGGCGAAAAAGTGCAGGGTAAGTGACGATTTTCGCAATCAAGCTAGAGCTTGGGCACAAGCATTTTTGGAAACCGAAGATTGCTCGGTGGGCCTCAAGCAGCTGCTTCCCATGCCTGTGTGTAAGTGAACAACGGCCAGCAACCGGTATTTTGGAAAACCCTTCCCAAAGGATATCAATTATACATTAGGTATGTAAAATAGCATTTAACTTCGTGGCTTACCATGGTCATATCTCTCAGAACTTCATATCGGTCAACTCATCTCATGTCATTTACCCAGACCCTCCTCCCACCGCCGGCCCCGGTGGCACCGCAACACTCGTATGCAACCTGCCCTGAAACCTCTTCCTCATCCTCTCGAACCCAACCCTGAACGCCTCCGGAAACCACCCTCTCAACTCCTCATTATCTCTCCCCTCCATCATCTCCACCAATGCCGTTGCGCACATCCAGCACAACACCATCCCATGGCCCTGAAAACTACAACTCATCCAAAACCCGTTCTCTCCCGGGACTGCTCCGACCATTGGAAATCCATCGGGAGAATACCCCATGATTCCCGTCCACTCCTTTTTGATTCTTCCATCTGGGTGATCGTCTCCCCAGTTCCCATTTCGATCACCACCACCACCACCACCACCACCAAAGTACCTCGTCAAAGTGTTCTTGAGGTAAGTGCTGATTTCCTCGTTAACAGTCGTATCATCCGTAGTTCCGTACTCCCCCAGCCCTTCTTCCTTAGCCCTCACTAGCCCACCACCAATGACCAAGTCCCCTTCGTTTCGACTTCCCTTTGGTCGTGGAATCATGTACTCGTACCCCTTATCGTAGATGAAGCTGTAGGTGGTCGGTAGACATCCTTTCTCGGATAGGTTGCTACCCGGTCTTTGCGCCGTGACCTGTCCGCGCAGAGGGACTATCACACCTTGGAAGGTAGGCGCAATGGCGGCCGTGTACCCGTTCGTGGCGAGGATGATGTCCTTAGTCCAGATGTTTCCACGAGGGGTTCGTACGGTCCAGGTGCGTTCGTCGCGGTTTTTCATTAGGGAGGTGGCGGGGGTGTTGGTTTGCAGGTTCAGGCCACGGGATAAACAGAGCTTGAGGAGACCAGTGGTGAAGGCGTAGGAGGAAATGCTCCCGGCTGGGTAGGAGACGCCACCGTAGAGGGTTTGTGGCTCGCCGGCTATTGTGCCGGCGTCAAGGGCGCAATGAAATTTGGACTGAACTTCGGCCGGGGAGTGGAAGGTGTACTCTGCTACTGGGTCTCCTTCGGGGAACGCGACCTTCATAGCAGCGACGGCTTCGTGGGCGGCGGTCCATTGGGCTTGGTCGTATATGATGTCAATGGTGTGGCAGGGGTTGGAGTCGCAAGGAATGTTGTGCTCTTTGGCAAAGGCGTGGATGGCTTGGATGTTATCGTACTCCAGGCGGGCAATCTGGACCGCGGCTGGAGTGCCGAGGAGAGAGGCGTGCTCGAGAAAGGAGCGGTAGGAGGCGGCTTTGGTGTGTCCACCGTTGCGACCAGTTGCGCCAGAGCAGGCCTGGCGGGCCTCAAGCATGACAATGTTTCTGGACCCCTTTTCCCCGGGGCGGACATCCTTTAGGAGGTTCCATGCTATCGCGGCGCCCGTGATGCCGCTCCCAATGATAATGATGTCGACATGGCTTGGAAGGTCCTTGGTGGTGCGCTGGTCGGCAATATCGTCCGGAGGATCTTGCCAGTAACTCGGGGTTGGGTTTTCTCGAGGAAGAGTGACTCGGGTCTTGGCGCGTTCGTCCATTGTTTAATGATTTCTTTGGCGGCAAGCAACAGGCATTGGGGGATTGGAGGTTTTGAACTGTAGTCTAGACTTGGGCGGTCTTATGCTGCAAGTCATCAGTTTCGTACTACACTACTCGCTCTTCCAAGCTGAAGGGAAATTCCATCCTGTTCATGTGAGACAGCTGACGTATCTAGCTGAACACCGACCCCTAAAATAGGCCTATCAACCCCACGGAGTTCATCCCGCAGCGCTTGCTATCTCCACCGAACGATGGGGTCTTTGGACCTTCCCGTCAACCCACACTCCACCTGGTCCGCGTCTTTCCCGTCGATCATTGCTGGTACGAACAGGTACACTAGTCATGTCACCATCGAGATCTCTGAGGATTGCCGCCTTCGATGGAAGATCATACAAATAGTGTAGAAGCTGAAATTAGGTACCTAGCTTGCCCTCCCCACACTTGGAGCTTGAAGTTAGCGGTAAGCATATCCCGAATCTCATCGCGCAGAAGCCGGATTCCCTAGAGACAGACTTGAGTTAGCGAAGCGTACTCATTGCAGGGTTGACCGTGTTGAGAACTGAAACGACGAACCTTTGAGCGAGATCAGGAAACGACTGATCCTTTTGATGTCAAAGAAAACGACCTGATGGTTCGGAGTCGGGACGGGGCGACCGGCATGTGATGGGAGCCCAGGCACCAGGGCAGATACGAAGGGACCTGAATAGGTATGAAAAGAGGAAAAGGAGGAATGGAAGGCCAGACCCTCCTCCGACTGGGGGTGGCCTGACGGGCATCGAGCTCCAGCGCTCGTTCGGTGAAAGCCCCACTGAAATTCACAGCTCCAGGGGTGTCCAATCCAGGGCACCCATAGAGCTGCAGTGCCTGCCCTGGTCCCAGTAGCCCACTCACGCTGTCGGGAAGGTGCCTCGGATTCACAGCGGGAATAGACTTTCCCAATCTATAAATCCTCTTTCCAAACACTGACTATTTGTACATCTACTATGGTACGCAATTCCATTTCTCCACGTAGTCCAATTCACTTAACCCACCTTCCTCTTCTGGTCGTCGATCGCTTTGGCCGTTATCTGTCTCACCACATTCAAGTCCATTGGGATTACCTCGTCTCCATACTGACCACTGCAACATCCCATCTGTTCCCAGAACCACCACCATGGCCATCATAACATCATCTTTGTCCAAGCTTTTTCAGATCCAATCCAATTTCTTTAGACTTGCTCCTTAGTGTACACACGTTGCGGCGACCGGAAGTCTCCTTCCAGTCGAAAATCATGAGCGAAGCCGCCGGCTTGCCTTGCGCTTCAACCAGGTCCTTTACTCTGCCTTCCTCTCAGGAAAAAAAAAAAAAAAAAAAAAAAAAAAAAGAGCACTTCAAAACACGTGAAAGAAGGCAAGTGTCCGTCACTTTGAATTTCCTGATGTGCCATTCCATTTTCCCGGGGTTCAAGGCATCATCCTCCGTCCCAATTACCCGGTGTAACCTCTCCGAACTCAAAAGCTACGTCGGGATACGTTCCGATGTCGTAGCTAGCTTCAGTCATGTTCATGATGCTACACTGTACACTACACAGTATCTGCAGTCGCTTAGTTGTCCCTGGCTCCCGACCCCGAGGTGTGGTCAGGAGCGGACTCTAGTAAAAATTGCCCAATCAAGAAGCCATGCAACTACAGGGTAGTCACCAAATTTGGCATTGCGATATTCTGTCCCCTCGCTCGCTTTCCAAACTTATGTAGTATTTTGCATCCCAAAAAACATCGTACCATGCTTGAGCCGACGATGTGCGACTCTCCACGCATCGTTAGGTTGGGGTTCAAGGTTGGCTCTACATGGATGATTCAACATACTTAAGTCAGACGGGTTCCCTCTCGTTCATTGACGCCAATGACCCCTTCCTCCTCATCGTTCAACCACCAAGCTTTCCCCCCACTTGCCGCAATCATGGACTCCAGAAAGGAGGATTCAAGTTCTTCAGCACATCTCTCCTCTGGCTCCGCTCCAGCAGCTTCACAATACATCACGCCAAGCTCAACACCAGAACACGACTTTTGGACAGCTGCTGGACTGGCGAGCTCCAAAGCACAGACCGGACCCTCATTCCCGAAACATCTGTCTGAAACTACTCCCCAAGACTTTGGAAATGGCGATTCTCTATTTGAGTTTGACGACCCGGATGGGATGGATTATTCGAGCTCCATTGCCGACTCGATCCGTGGCCATGTGTATGAGTGTGGCTTGAGATATCATGCTTACCATGCGGGTAAATACGCCTACCCCAACGATGAGACGGAGCAATCTCGTGAGGAAATCAAGCATACCATGTCAGTTATGCTCTGTGACGGTCGATACTTCTTTGCTCCTGTTGAGGAGGCATTGGAAAAGGGTGGACAGGTCCTTGACTTGGGTACTGGTACCGGAATATGGCCTATGCAATGTAAGGAATTGGCGATTTACCCAGGCACTCGAAATTCGCTTGCTAACACCAACCCGACAGTGGCTGAAAGCTATCCGGACGCAGTCATCACGGGAGTTGACCTATCACCCATCCAGCCCAGCTTTGTTCCGGAAAACGTGCGCTTCTACGTCGACGACTTTGAAGACGAGTGGGTGGACCCGGTGAACAAGTACGATTACATCCATCTGCGCTTTGCACTACACACCCTCAAAGACAGAAAATCACTTATGCAACGTGTAATGCGGTAAGTCTCGCTCATTCTCTCCCTTCTTCCATCTCTCGATCTCGTGTAACTGGCGATCATCTAACCAAGTCAACCTTAGACACCTCAAGCCAGGCGGCTACTTTGAAATCCAAGAGATCGATGTCAGTAATCCAAGTTGCGACGATCACACCCTCACACCAGATACTCCATATGCCGTCCGCGACGCCCTCAAGCTCCTTGGAGCCGGCCTCCAAGCCATGGGCGCCGACATAAGCGCCATCCAAAAGACTTCTCAGGAGTTGCGCGAGGCCGGCTTTGAGAATGTTACCGAGATTACGAAGAAGTTGCCCCTCGGGCTCTGGCCGGCGGATAAGAATCTCCGACTTTGCGGTCTGTTTTGGCGGACGTCGATCATGGATGGCATGACGGGACTGTGCAGCAGGCCGTTTCAGGCTGCAGGGTTGACGCCGACGGAGATCGAGTCGTTCCTGGTTGAAGTGAGGAAGGCTGTGATGGATGGGAGTATTCATACGTACTTTCCTTTCATTACTGTGTATGGGAGGAAACCGTTGGGCGGTTAGATGTCGGGATGTCGCTCGGGGTAGTTCGGCACAGATACGCATTGCACGAGATGGGTGATGAAACTGCACAAATGAAAACTATGCTTGGATTCAGGATATACATAGAGCCTTAATGCTGATGGTGCCTACTATTCACATTGTAATGTGTTCACTCCTTTGCCTACGAGCAAGTCACCGACCGCTCCATGTGCAACTTTGCGCATATCATCCCAACTATCATCATCACAGCTGCAGAATATTTCAATCACAGAATCAACAGCCCCACAAGACTCCAAATAAGCCCGCTCTTCATCAACTCTAGACTGATAATCCCAACAATCTCCAAACTAGCTGTCGAGCCTCGCTCCCACCTGCCCAGCGACCTCTTGTCCTCGACCTGGACCGCGGCAACGGCCAAAAAGAAGAATACGAAGAAAACATGAAGAAAACCCAGCAAAAAAATGAGGAATACGCGGTACAGGACTCGAACCTGTGACCTCTAGCCTATCGTTCGTGACCCCCCTTGCGCCACTCCCATACTACACTTGTAGCGAGTATATAGGGCCCTCGGTACGATCACTTGTGAACGGGCTAACGCTCTACCGACTGAGCCAACCGCGCAGTTGGTCTTGTTGTTGTATTATGTGCACAAAGACCTAATACAAATACCGTGATTCAAGGGCTTGGGGAGGAGGAGGAAGAGGAAGAGGAGGAGGAGGAGGAGGAGGGCGAGGAGACAGAGGTGGAGAGGGTTAGGGGTGAGCGCGGGCGTGGGTATGGGAGCCAGTACTCGTGCTGGTGATGATTGAGGATGAAGGCTTGGCGAGTTGGTATTTGAGTGGGACGGTGATGGTGAGCTGGTGGAGGAGGCCTGTATTGGGCTCGGAGGTGAAGCTCGTGGGCTGATGGGAGAGGCATGGTCGAGCGGGAAGCTTGGTGGTTTCTTGCCGTCGGTTCAGTTTGGGTGAGGCTGCTGATGGTGCTTGGCCGTGACTTTCTTGCCTGTATTGCTGCCATGGTGTTGACTGCTTCGTCGTCTCCCATCGTTCCTTCCTGTTGGTTGGCGCCTTCCGTCTTCGCGGGTTCCCCGAGGTTGGTGCCTTCCCGACCGGAGGTTTCTCTCCCTCCCGTCTCCCGTGATTTCCCAGAATGAAGTATTATAGCTCAATCTCGCACTGCAACTTCGAGGGTTCCTTCTTTGAATTTGGTGTTTAGCTTTGCAACGCCTCGCTGTCTTCAACACACTGACATCGAGTCAAACAATGGCCATTGTGGCGACTTGCGATCAACGATACAACCTCCACAAAGCAAATGTCTATATATTCCATGTTTCACAAATTTTCTGTCATCGCTAACCCAAGAACTGCATATGGATTCTTGCCATCCTTCATCGCATTCACGTCTTCCATCGGTTGTATGGCTTGCACCAGGTCTCTCCCTTCACATGAGCCTCCGTCGCGACTTCCCACACCATTAACGAACAGAGCAGTTTCAACAATCCACTCCTGCATTGTCCTTACCTAATCCTCCACACTTTGCTCTGATAATTCAAGCGGATCAGTTTGTTTCCTTCTGTACTTCGTTCAGTTCCGTCATTCTGTCCTCTGAGGGATACGCGGTACTCTTGAAACCGAACAAAAACTAGGTTACAAGTACCCTCGTGAAGTGCACAAAAGTACATGGGAATGACAAGTCTTTTCATGGTGATAATAAAGCATACTCGGCTACTTTGGCTACGCGATATGGTCATCCAGCAGATGGTGATCCGTCGTTGCGCAGGGCATGGTGTTGCGCAGGGCACCAGTCGCCAAAGTGGGGACAGAAATTTGACATGATCGTTGCACTTGCCGGAGACACTCAAACAGAAGCACCTCACAACTCGACTTTGTTTAGGAAAAAGTCTCACCAATCTCTTTGGGTGAGGCTCGAAAATCATTCAACCGTTAATTCGATATTGAAAATATGTTTGGGACGTAAACTGGGTCAGCACTCCCGGAGTATTGATTTGGATCTTCCCATTTCTTGTACAAACCTGATCGACCCATTTTCTTAGCGCAACTCTCGCGCGAAACCGCCGACAGGGCACAATCTGCTGGGTGCTTTCCACTGGTGAAGTCTACCTCGACTGCGCAACCAACACGTCAAACTTCATCCAGAATCGATGATTGAACCTCCGAATCTTCAGCTCTTCAATTCGAGCATAGGTTTCCGGGTGGTTGGGGAAGCACATCAGTTGAACAATTGGAGGAAGTGCAACCCATTGGCTGGGATCGCGGATGCTGTCAGCTGCATCCTTTGCTTGGCGCAGCACTAGCTGTTGCATGGGATGGATGAGGATTTTGGGTCACACAATGTTCAGCTCACTCAAATTTGAAATGTCAACACCGGCCCATCTTCAATATTTGACATCTGCGCGACCCTCGGTGCGTTCAACGGCCTTCACACCTCGAGGGAAGGGCTCGCTGCAGCACAATGCCATTGTTCTGCATGCTGCCGCACCAACATGTCGCAACCTCCACCAGCTCCAGGTCCTCGCGATGAAGATCCTCCGACATGGCCCTTACCTCCCCGCCGCAGTCACACCTTTCCAGAGCAGCCGCATCAACAACAACAACAACAACAACAACAAAAAACCTTCGATGATTCATCCCAACCAGCACGGGCGCCATCATGGCCCCGGGAAGCACCTCAGCCAGCATACCCCCAATCGTCCGGATACAACCCTTACATGATGCCCTATTCAGTCCCGTACTATCCCATTCATCAGCCTCCAGTCGTTTATCCTCCACCATCTGTCCCTACCGGAGCAACCCGCGCAGCCCATCAAGTCCATTTCGAGCCGTATAACGAGTACATCCAGCCAGGCCAGCAGAGACCACCCGTACCTTTAGTCGCTCCCTATGACACTTGGGTAACACCACCAGGCGGCTATTACGGACCGGGAGACACCCTCTCTCGGCCCATCCATCAGCCCGTGAGAAGAAACATCAGACGCTCAGCATCACCGACACCTGCGTCTTCTCCAAGTAGACGCAAAAACAAGCGTCGACACAAGACCGTCAAGTTCGAGCAGGACAGCGACGACGACATCCTCCATCATGTCGAGGAGTACCCCCCACCGCAACAGTCACATGCTCCTTCTGCAGAGGCCTTGTCTCCTGGCGCAGAAGACGACGACTCGGATGGGGATCGAAGCGACGAGTTACGATCCAACTCTACTGTGGAGAGTACCTACAGGCCTACGCGAGGAGCCTCTACTGTCAGAAGCTACGGGTCTTCAAGATTCAGGGCTACGCCAGCTCTAGTAACCGAAGAGTCTGGGTCGTCTGCCTACTCCTTCGCTGCTTCATTCCGGGCAGCAAGGACGGCATCGGTTGGGGGTTCAGCAGACGGGGAGCAGAGCGAGGACCCGGATGCGACGCCGAGCCAACCATCGCCAAAAGACGATCAGAGTTCCGAAGTCGCCCACATTCTTGCTTCGTCCTATACTGGCAAAGGATACACAGCTGCGGAAGGCCACCACTCAGCAGACTTGCTGATAGCCGCAAACCCAGCCCAGCTACGGCACCTTCAGCCACTGTATCGTTGGATGTAAGGTATCTGCTCCCTAATATCTAGCGAATTGGGCTAATCATTGCTGATAGGCATCTTACTCGACCATCAATGTCCCTGGAAGACCTTTCTGTAAGCACTTGCTGGATGAGAAGTCACGCAAATTTCGGCTAACAGAAGGATCAGACCCAGATCGCGCGCCTCTCCGTCCTGACGGGCATCGAAAGGAAGGCTGTCAATGATATGCTCCTCCGTCTCAAACAGTCGTCCGTCAAGTTTATTCAGACTTCAACAGGGAAGCCGGTACAGCACATGGAACCGGGCTGTCTCGACTATGTCCTACCTCATGACAGTGGTGTCGGAGGGCAAAGTCGAACTACCAGAAGTGTAACCTGGATTTGTCTGCCATACTTCAGCCTCGAGCCATACTCTGGCCTTCTCTCCGGCGCCGGAAACTCATCAGCATTTCCGACCCAGACCTTGTTACAGGCACAATTTTCTCGGACTGCCAAAGAACGCGACATGCAACAAGCAGTGCGACAAGTTGCTCAGGCCGGCCCAGGCCTCTGTTTTCACATTTCGCAGCTTTGGTGCATCATCATCAACAACTGTATGTATCGGGTACGGTGCTGCCTAAACGGCTCTTATTGACATACGCTCTCTAGCATTTGTGATCACGTACGGCAGAATGTCCGAAGATGTTCTATACGGCGACTCGATTACGAAGTCAGTCAAGTCTCTGAGTAATCTCTCTGAGCAGCAATCCCAGCAAAAGTTCTGGGTCCGGTTCGGGGGTAATGTTATGTGGACTTTGCCGGTAAAGGATTGCCAAACATGGTTTGTGAGTGTGGCGATTGTACAAAACAAACCCATCTTTGTTTCCTGGTCGCTGACTATTGGACTTGCTTCAAGGACTTCATTTCCCATTTCTGGGAGTTCTGGCATCTGCCTCTGAGCTTCTACCGCAACAAGCGTGTGATCTGCCCGGAGGATTGGCCCAAGATCTGGACATCAGCAAGTCAGAAACACTCACACACGATCTCATTTGATCTCGAGCTTGGGTGCGTTCCTCTACTTACTCGGTATTATTACCGACGAAAAACGAACTGCCACTAACTGAGCAATCACAGGGCGACGCCTAAGCTTCCGACACCAGGGCGACTCGTGCCAATTCAGCCCCAAGCCAAACAGACCGAAGGGACTACAATAGAAGAGCCCAAAGATAGCGAGGGGACCAACGCCAAGCAAGAAACCCAGGATGAGAAGGCACGGAAAGCGAAATACGTACGGCCTCCTACAAAGACAACAACGTCCGGGTCTCCAAAAATCTCGCAGCCACCCCCGAGTTCCTCTTTTGCACTTTTCACGTGCCTCGACGACGTTTCGATGGCCCAAAACGATACGATTGACGAAGCCAAATTCGAAGAGCGCCTCCACGAGATAGAAACAATCCTGTTGCACGAGACAAGCGTCAGCGACCAACGGGCATATAAACGCTGCCCAAGCGCCAGCCGACTCTCAATTTATCATATGCTTAAACAGGAGGAGCTAGAGATCGTCCACCCTGAAAGGAGAATACGCTCATCCAACCCGCAGGACTACGAAATACGAGCCGACATATTCAACTTGGCCGACATGATTTTCAAATTCTTTTTTCCCGTCACAACTGAAACCTCAATGGCGGCCAAGTTTTGGGGTGCCGTGAAGGACCAAGTTAAGGTATGTTTCAAGCTGAAATGGCGCCTGCCGTTTTAGAAGCAATATACTGATGGTAATCGTAGCAGCACGATGACGAGGGCGTGGCCGACGATCGATACCAGCTACGAGCTGTGCTCAAAGAGCTTGCCGTCATGATACTCTACTTTACGGAAACGTTCATGCATGCGCAACATTCGGATCGTGTCCAAATCCATGTGCCTGACCAACTAATTGATGGCTGGCTCCATCTTCTTCTGGGCCTTTCTTACATGTCAACGGATCCGGAGAGAGCATCCACCTTCCTGGATCTCCATACAAAACCTCTTATCAGCCAAGGACTCAACGCCATTGTCAAAGACATGGCTAAGAAGCCTCTGCTGGAGAATTCCGTCGTTCTTCCCCAAGAGCTAGTCTCCTTAATAAGCATGAAGCTTCTCACAGACGTTACCCCCGGTCTGCCGAATATCAGCCAGACATATTCGGCGTATTTGAGTGCCATTGTAAGTGCCAAAAGCAGAACATCCGGTGGTGTACTGGCTTGCAGTAGTGGCTAACTCAGACCACTTCAATACCCAGGAATCAGACATCACCGGCAAGCAGTCTGACCGATCACACGAACAGCGCCTCGACCTTCTTGACCAAGAACTATTGGTAGTACAGAAGACTGTCAGGTCGCAACGCGACATCTTCGAGCGTCTGGAACGATACAGCCAACAGTCTGCCTACAGAATGCCAGCAGCGGCCCGTTCGCGGGCGGCACCCATACAAGGCCCATCACACCCGGTATACTACTCAGGAGCACCGAGAGGGGCTCAGTCGGTCCCACATATGCATAGGCAGTACAATCATTACGAACAACCACAAGTGAGGTCGGCGCACGGCTATGGGCAACAGGGACAAGGACAGTACTACGAGCCTCCACCTTTCTACGACGAAGAGGTTACCGGCTCGATGGCAGTGGAATCGAAGCAGCTCTCTGCACGAGATCCAGGTGGCTTCCGTCAACTATTCCTCAACGAGTGTATCCTGCAACTTGACCAGCGCGAGCGGGAGTTTGAGGAGTACGAGCTTCACTCCAAACAGCTGAGGGTTATGGTATGGTTTCTTTCCTTGTCGCTTATAAGTGATGTACTCAGCCCAAGCACTGACAAGCTCTCTTTCAGAATCGTAACAAAGTGGACATCAAGAAGGACCGCCAAGAACGTCTCATATACGCCTTCACGGTAGTCACCATCATCTTTCTGCCTCTCTCGGCCGTCTCAAGCATCTTCGGCATGAACACCAGTGACATCCGCGACATGGAAGTAGGGCAGTGGGCTTACTGGGCCGTTGCCATTCCTGTCACTGCCGCCGTTCTCTTCCTCGGCTTCCTTTTCACCGGCGATCTTGGAGCAGTCTTCCGTTGGGTATCCAGGATTAGTGGAAGTGGCATGTCGTCTTTGCCAGGATCCGGCTTTCAGGGCAAGCTTCCTTCACTGAGGCCTGGTACAGAGAAGTGGTGGATTGATAAGCCAGGTCAGATGGCCTTGGGGAGCGGTCCAGAAGAAAAAGATTATGGAGAACCGGAGATAGAGTATGTGGTGCCGAGAAGGTCTGAGAGTCTGAGGCGAAGGTCACATACTTTCTACGAGAATGGGGATTATTCAGGTGCCTACACAAGGTATGGAAGGGGAGAGATGACTGGGCCAGGCCAACGGGGAGAGAAATGGGGCTTGCCGTATTGAATGGGGTAGAGTGATTATCAAGGGAGTTGTAAACTATAACCACTTCGGCGGGCGTTGCTAGAGATACGCTTTGTTGCACTTTCGGTCTTGGGCGGACCTTTGGCTTAGGATCTGTTGCAGTGGATGGCGCATAGGCACCGATTCGAAGAGGGTTAGTTGGTTGAGTGTAAGGTTCAAGAGTCAGACAAGTTGTAGCGGTTCAGGGAGGTCTGTCTCATCAGTCACATCGCACATCATACTGCGTCTTGCACGCATTTGATCAAGAAGCTGGAGTTTCGGGCCCCCAAAAGAGCAGTCAATTCATCCAGTCCCCTCAGTCCCCATGGACTTTTGCCAACCACCTAAAGCCCCAAGCCACCTCCGATATGTCTTCGAATCCTCCACTTCTTACATTTACCCATTATCCCCATTCCCCATACATGTACTATTCCTCCCCTTCCTACATATACCAACTCTCCACCCTGTTGTCCCCACGCCCCTATGCACCCCCCATCCCCTTCTTCATCCCCCAAACCCATATCCCAACCCTCATCCTCAGCAACACTGGGATGATCCTCCGCTTCCATCCCTCTTCCTGGCAACCAACGACGGCGCGTGGTGCCCACTGCTTCCAGTCAACGCTCAGCGTCCAACCTCTGGAAGCTGGCGGAAGTACTCCGCCGGAATGGTGGCGAAGCGAGGGTCACGGCCCAGGGAATCCGAACCGGCGAGTTGGGCGGCGGCCGGAGGCCTGGCCTTGGCAGGGGCGCGAGGGAAGCCCGGCGAGCAAAACGACCAGGCGAGCCAGGCGAGCCAGGCGGTGACAGGGCGGGCGGCGAAGGGGCAGGCGACGAGGCAGGCGACGAGGCAGGCGACGAGGCAGGCGATGGGGGAGGGGTAGGCGCAGCGGCCAGACCAACCGGGAGAAGAAGAGGGGCCAGGACCGGGGCCAGGATTGGGACCGTTGGGACCCGCAAAGACCAGGGTGCGAGGACGGCGAGGCGCAGACCCGCCTCCCAGGGCACAGCTTGCTAGGCTGGGCGCCTGGTGGAGGGGGCCGCGGGAGCACCAGGAGCGGGAGCGGCAGCGACGGCGGCGGCGGCGTTGGCCGTGGTGGTGGTGATGGTGGTGGTGAGTGGCTGAACCCTCTGGGCGATGATGCCCCAAATTTGAGGGGCCAGGCGCCCCAGACGAGTGGCTCCCCCAAGGGTGAGCCGGAGGAACTCTCTGGCGGCGGCGGCAAAAGCGGCGACCATGGTGATGGCCGGGAGGTTGGGACCGGCGGAAAAGGAGAAGAGGCTGGTGATGATGGTAAATGCTGGGATAAGAAAGGTCAGCGCTTCCGGTCTTTCTTTATCGAGTGTCTGGGGGCAATCGATCAAGCTTTGTAGAAGTAAAAGTCTGTGAAAACATGATCATGGGATATTGTGGTGGAGGAGTGAGAATATTGTGAGGTGATGGTCGAGATCAGCACAACCATGGAAATCGAAGTTGCATGTTGTCAACATAATCGAAGGTGAACATTAAAAGAAATGACATGGACTGTTCAAGCCAGAGATATCCCGAGAGAGCCCGTTCTTACCTTTGTTGGCTTTGCTTAGCCGCGGGAAACGAGGTTTGGAGGGTATGGTGCTGGTGGTTAGTTGTAGTACTGAAGGAAGAGACGCGTCAAGACACTTGCGATATTTCAGTCCCTGGAAAAGTTTGAACCAGACGCGAGTAGAAAGGGGGAGGGGCCAACATAGATCGGATGAAACATTGCGGGCAAGGTACCTCTACCTACTACCTAGTAGGCAACTCCCCCAAGTATCAAGTCTGCGCTGACATCAAAAACCATGCTCTCCTCCTCCAAGAACGGAGAGCGGGCAGCCACCGCATCACGAAGCCAGATTCTGCAAGGGATCAGGTGTTTTGCGCTTGTTTCTGGTGGCTCTCTTGTCTGTTTTTTGTAAGAAGTCCAACTGGGCATGTGAGAGTCTGCTTCTTATTCAAGTACTCCTAGATCGGGCTTGCGTCCTGCGTTCTGTAGCTGACGGAAGTGGCGGGTAGGAAGATGACACCAGATGCCAGTGATTTACTCGAGCGCCAGGGCAGAAAACTCGGCCAGCTTTCCTCCTCCTCTTGCATTATAATACTGGGGTACCTCAAAAAGGAAGCGGCTTCCACCTTACTGGTATACTTCGAGTCCACGTTCCAATGACACACAAGGTCCTGGCCGTGTACTCACATACCATGGGCCTTCTGATCACTGAGATCGCTGTACCTACCTTTGAAAAAAATGCTCGAACATCTCGGTATCATGGATCAGAAGGCCGTTCCAACCGAAGCAGCTACATCCAGCCCTTCGACTATACCCATTTATTAGCAATGGGTATCTTCATGCACGGCGATCGTGATAACCTCCCTATTATATGTTCGGAATTGATCGATGTCCTGCCTTTTATCTAAGAAGGAAGAAGGAAGGAGGAAGAAGGAAGAGAACGATCACAGGCAAAGAACAACGGGAAAAAGAAACAAGACAGTAGTACAACATGAGCGCTGGAATACAAAGACTGCGCACTATAGAGGCACGAAACATGTAATTGAAAGGTCTGGTATCTCGGGTGACGAAGTCGAATTGGCCATCTTCTGGTTGTGCTGGGGTATCAGGGATGGAGGCGTATACGTGGTTCAAGTTGTGATACCTATCCGGCAGCGGGAGGGTACCTCTAGTTACTCCGAACCAAAACAGAGCGTCCGACTTTAGGTATTTCGCTATTCCGTTTCTAGTCGTTTCGGTACCAGCTAAGATCGGGTTGTTCTTGGGGCTAACCGTGAAGCATGGGAACGGGGATAGGTAGCGTCTGTTTCCGGTTAGCGAAGAATAAAGAGGATTGAGAGGACAAGATGAGCTGTTGAAGATAGGAGAAGACGGGAGAAAGAAGGAGCAACAATAAATGGGAATAGAAAGTAGACCCACAGTGGCCAAAGGCCCGTCCAGCCCTCAGGAAAAGTGAAGGCCCAGTTGGATAGGAAGACTGATAGCCAGACAAAACCGTAGGCTTACTTCTGCCATAGTACCATAACGAGAGCGGTTGCCATCGTCACGTAGATAACGTCGAATGAACATATTTGAATCGGTTGTATGGGTACCTAGGATTGGTTGTGTTGGTGGTGTTGGTGGTTGTGCCCGTCCATGCCTTTGGCATGGAGAGATGAATGCCCATGGGTAACGAGTCAGACAGGGAGTTTCCCCATCCTGGAGAGGTCACCTCCAACTCATCAATTCAGAAAACATGACTGTTCATGACAGCCTACGCTCATTACTTTTGGTGACTACCTTCCCTTTCATATATCTCCCTTCTCCTATTTTCGTATACGTCCGCACATACCTCTAGGACTTGGAGGTCTCCTGGTACTAAACAGGTATGGATCCATGATATTAACAGAAGTAGAAGAAATGGGAACGAAAGGGAAGTCGTGATTCCGGATAGAGGTAGGTAGGTAAGGTTTACATTCAAGTTTTCAAAGGAACAAGATATTACTTTGATGAGTTACATGTACTCAATCTATCCACCATACAAGCGCGGAAGAAAAAAAAAAAGAGCTGAATTATCACCACCGCAGAAGAAACACAAAAGTGTCTCCAATTCTAAACTCGATCTTCTTTTGGTAACATGGAGGAAGTGCGCAGCCAAAAGAAGAGCGAAGGACCTAAAAAAGGGAATGCGGCGACGGTCCGGGAATTGAACCCGTGTCTTCGCTCTTGCCGGGAGTGCCATTCTCAATCCGGTCTTACGGAGCGATATTCTGGCCATTAAACTAACCGAGCTTTACAGAGAAATCGAGCCAGTGACATAACCCATATACTTTCTGCCAGGGAAGGAGCTACCCAGAGGGGGAACAGAGCACACAGAACCTCACGGGCGGCCCTCCCACCACGCCGGGACAGCTGGCAAAGACGGGAGCGAAGGATTTCGACCCGGTATCAGCTCGGATACGGAAAGTACCTAGTACTCCGGCCAGTTGCAGTGGAAGGATCTCATGTGAGTGGTCTGGTGGTGCCTACCTCTAGGTGTACAAGCCCTTATTTTGCGGCTCACCAGACACTCACGAATCTACCGGGCACCACCAGTCGGCTGCAATGACGCCCTTACCCAACACCGATGTGTTTATCGTCAACATCTCAGTTCACTTTTCGATTACCCTCTGGACAAGCACAGCAAACATCCTCAAAATGCCCGCCCGCAAGGACTACAAGAAGGCTCTCGAGCAAATCCACACGGCCTTGTGATCCGTCTCCAGTTCCCTGTCCTTGAATCATCTCGACACACGGGGTTATATTTGCTTGCGTAAATACCATTCGGCGTAGAGTAGCAGAATTTGCTCCGCTCTTCCAAGTTTTATTGTGGTCCTTCTTCTGGCATGGGCTAATAAGGACGAATCAGCTCCAGTGCTCTTTTTGGTTATTTGGTTACAACCTTCCGCCATCAACACCACAACCTTCCAGACCTCGAAGTTTCTCGCGGTTAAGCACAGGCCTCGAAGCCTCGTGAGGAGTGAAGGCCATGATCGTGTGTTTGCATATGCCCACTGGAAGATCGTTGTCCTCCACCGACAGCGCCAGCAGTCAAGAGGGGCGCCTCCTTCGAGTGAGTTACATTTTTCTGTGTCCAGACAACCCATCACATTGCAGACATCATTAACACAAGCTAACAAATGCAGGGCAGCAATGTCAAGACCTCCCGCGTACTGTCAAAGAGACACCTACGTCCAAGCCGGCCACCGTGGCCTTGCATCATGATTTCCCGTCATGTCTCAGCGGAGCAACAACCAGGAGAACAGTACATCTCCGTGTCGTGGTCTTTTACGCGCCGCCATTCCTGTGGAGTACTTCCGCCAGCTTCCAGAAGGGGGACCCCAGAGATGGCTCAAACGGGTGCTCCAGCACGAACAGCCTCACGAATGCCGGTCCTAGTAGCGATGGGCAGTTTTGGAAGAGCACCTCACACAACGACTGGCAAAAAAAAAAAAAAAAAAATACCGCACCGAAGGTTCCGCTTATTCCTGATGCGAGATTTCCCGTAGTGAAAGGTGCTACCCAGTGCCACTCTGGCACAGGCTACAACGAAAAGCCCGTCAACTGGGTTAGCAGAGATCTCAACCTATCTCTCTAGGATCATCATCATCATCAAGATAGCTGAATCAATTGAACTACGCGCTACGCTGATTCCACGCATCAATTCCTGTGAGTAAAACTTCAGGAATGGCTCAATTTCTCGACCCATCTTGTCATTAGACGCCGTCCGACAGTGAAGAAAACAGCTCCAGGTGCAGCTTCCACTATCTGCTACGGTGATTCACGGTAGGAGGAGGTTTGGGGATAACTCTAGATTGACACCACCGGACGTGAACGGAGGCAGGAGGGGACATTTATGGGGATTTTGTCAGATTGTTTGTGACATGGAGGTAGCATCAACTTAACAATAAAACAAAGTTAAAAAGTCGACTACGGGTACATCACGCCTATTGCTGTTTGTGGACAAGGGTTCGGTGAAGCGCGCCACGACCAAACGAACATTTTGTTGCTTCAATCAACAACAATTTCTCACTTCCTGCAATTTGATACCCTTCAAACCGCCCTTAACCAACATCTAAACCTCGATTCTGTATGTATGAGCTCTTGGGTTGTTTCTGCCGGTTCGGTTGTTGAAAATATGAGCGAGTGTCTCGTCTGTGTATTGACCCACTAGTGGGCAGTTTTGTGTCCCATGATCAGAGTCGAGCCAACCTTAATTCTCGCGAGACAACGAGACAACGATCAGGTGTTGGGAGCACTTCTCACGTTGGAGACAAAGGGATGTAGAGGATTCTACCGAAGCAAAGAAACACCGTATGTATTGTAGCTGGCAATATTTCGAAGAAATCACTTGTGGGCGAATGTCATTCACTGGACCAGACAATGAAATATCAAGGTGAGAAGTGTGAGGTTGAAGAATTAAGATGTCGATCAGCGATATTGATCAGCTGTCGTAGTTGGCTGAAGGCGTTCAACGCCGAAATATACTAATGCACAAGAATAACACAAAAGACGAAGCGAAGAATACCTGTAGGCATTATGTTGGGACTCCTTGATCTTGAAGCTACCTCCAATGCATGCAAGATTGGCTCCTCCACGTCCGCCGGCTCTCCCTCTCCCACCGGCCCGACTTTGAACCCAAACCCAAGAACACAATCGTACCAGCAACGATAGCACTGGTAGGCCGCCTTCGTCGTTGTCGTCGTCACCCCGGAGCATGGGACCGCCACGGCCACCACCGCCCACCGCTCACCAGCGACGGCTGTTGCTAGAGCGACGGCTGTTATCAGCGCGCCACGGCGGCGGCGGGACGATATTCTCCTCGTCAAGGGGCTCTCGACCCGAGGTCCCGCGAGGGCCAGGGCGGGGAGGTTGCAGTTGCTGTGGCTGCTGCCACGCCGGCTGTTGATAGCCATAATATCCCATGGGAGGGATATGGGGAGGAGGGCGGTTAGAGAAGGGGGGAGGGGTAGGAACCGCAGTGGTAGTGGTTGTGGTGGTGGTGGTATGCTGGTAGGGCACCACCGAGCCCGAACCAGGACGGTTCTGTTGCTGCTGCTGCTGCTGCTGCTGCTGCTGCTGCTGCTGATGGTGTGGGTGGTGGTGGTGGTGGTGGCGGCCAGTCTGCTGGCGGTGGTTGCCGCCACTTCTTCTTCTCCTCGCCGAGGTGTTGTTGGCGGGGGTGGCCGAACGCCATCCACCCTCTGGTGTGCGTGGCCTCGCAGGGAGGCTTCCCTCGCCAGGGGCAGGGCGGCGCACCGCTGCAGCGGTAGCAGGCGCTGGTCTAGCGGGCAGGTTGGGGCCGGGGCCAGCCGGCGGTGTTGGCTCGTCGTGGCCTCCTTGTCTGAGGAGGACCAGGCCGGCGGCGGCCACCATCTCGCGATGGCTGTAGATACGGCGCTGATGGAAGGTTCCATGTCAGCACAGATTCTTGACTTCCCTCAAGGTTCAGAAATGGATTTTGATCACTTGCCTCCATTCCAGTTTGGTTCATTTTGGCGGCGCTGGATGATGGCGCAACCAAGGACAACTTGGTAATGAAGACCTCTGATCATGAACAGTAACTGTGTTAGATATGTGAAGCGTCACAGTAAACGCGCAGGAAGAAGCCTTACCGACGAAGGTTTGATGGTTGCAGTTGTGCCAAAGAGGCACTGGTGATGGTGGTTGATGTGTTTGATTGTTTTTCGAAGGAAGAGAAATGAGAACGGGGAGAGAACACAAGAGGGGGGGCCTTTTTAAAGAAACCAAATTTGTGGGCGGCTCAAGTTGTTCAACTCGTTTGTTGGGTAGGGCCATTCACTTCACTTGTCTTCGTCATCAGGCAGAGACGAGATGAGCAACTCGAGTGCAGTTCTTCAATCTTAAGATAAAAACGGAAGGAGCCAGCTTGCTCAGGTATTGCCAGGCAGCTGGCAGCTTGGGGTACTCGAGTACTTTCTTGGGAACTGGCACTCAATACTGAGAGCCTGGCTTTCACGCTCTGGATGGCAGGTACCATCCGTGTTTGCAAAATTCTGCTCGAGTCCTTCAAAGCATTATCATCCAGCTCAGGGAGGAATAAGGGAGACCGGATGATATGAGGTTGGTACTTGAGCCCAGGACGTGACACATCCAGTTGTATTATCCGACCAAATCAGCTGTCATCTCTATCCCAAGCTTCATCACACTGTAAGGATTTTTGCGATGTCCACGAGATATGTTCCACAAGAAGACAAACAGAAAGCTCGAAGAAATCAATGGAAGACGAGAAAGAAGATTTGTTGTAAAATACCTCTACCTGTCGGTGATCAGTTGAATCAACCTTTCATGACGTAGATGTATGTCTGGGCCGGTACTTCACCAACACTTGTGACTCGAAATTAAGTGCTCAAAGGTGTTTCCAGCACAAGGTTTCCTATCATGATTTCAACACTGTCAGCCTGGGACTGCCGTCTTATTTTGTGATTAACACCCAACTTAAGTGGTACATAGTACAATAGGGAAGGCATATTTGTGATGGAAATTCCAGTCCTGGCAGCAAACGAGGGGGCCCCTCTGCAAGATACATAGGACCAAAATGAACTTGGGACCATTGTTCGATTCGGAGAATGTGGTTCTTCCACCTAGAGGTATCTCTTCTGCCCCAGGCATTGTTATCTTATTCACCTACCTCTACAGTAGCATGGTGTTGTGAGTGGTATCCATGTCCAGCAGCTTTTGACGTGCGAAAGAGCACAGTAGCAACTCTTGATTTTTGAGAGACAGAGGGAAATGAGGTACACACCTCTGTGCCAAGGCTTTCCTCTGCCTGGTTACCTACCTCTAGGTTTACACAGCTTCACAAAACGCAACTTGTTTTCAACCTTCAAGTTCAACCTGCTGGTGGCCAAGATGTGCTCCCACCGCCGGTCAACCTCGTGGTGTGAAAGTATCGGCAAGAATCTGACACAGGAGACGGCTGTACCTCGTCATGGTGCACGGTCCTTGACGCAAATATTGATGGCGTGGGAAGGAACTTCAGATATAGGTACGCAGTGGAGTCAAGGATCCAGACCGTGAATTCCTCAGCTTTCCTGCCTTCCACTTGACTTCCACTTGCCAGCTCGGAGCGATGCCAAGGTAACGGTCTGGTTCTGTCGTTTGTCCTAGTTCCTCCAGGCAACGCCGTGTAAGCTCCACAGTAATAGCAACCTGAAAGCCAGTTCTCCAAGGTGCCGCACCGTTGAAGCTTCACTGGCATACCTCCAGTAGCTCCCCATCAGCGACAGGTAAGGAGGGACAACTGAAGGCTACCCCTCTACCCACCCAATCTGGTTTTGTCCTTGAAGTTCCCCTGCTCGTCCTCCAAGTTTCCCTGCTCGCCCTCGGAAACAGACTTGCCCACACTCAGCACCAGCGCCTTCACCGTGATCTCCAGTCCTCTCTTCTTGGTTACTGAACTTGAGATACCGATGATTCCGATCATCCTTCGATACGCCCACTCGTTCTAAGACCGGCTTCAGCATAATTAGCCTCGGCTCCGGCTCCTGCTCCAGATTCCGTTCAAGTTGTAGTACAGGCTGGACTCGGATCCGACTCCAACTCCAGAGACTCCATGCCGCACCTGACCTCTCGCCGTTCACACAGACCAGCAATGCCAGCTCGCGAAGCAGTACTCGGTACGACTTATTGACGAGCATAACAATCCAGTCGTCTTCTGCGACAAGGACTTCGGGGAACATAACCAATCAAACTCGAACTTGTTCTCTCCACTCGTGGCGGCTACTGTCTCGACAACATGCGTGAGCGCTATGCAGGCGAGAAGCTCATTGTAGCCCGCGACAAGCTTGACCTGCTGTGAATCCACAACAAAAGGGTCTTCACCTAGGTAGGTAGGTTTGCATCCCGTGGGGGTAACATGTCTCAAGTGGTCCATCTAACGGGAGTCTGGTAGTTCAGCGGTTGAAATCATCATCGTTGGTAAACGATCTCGCTCCTCCAAAAGATCGCGCGTCTCTTCCCGTCGAACAAACCGGCCGCCGCACTCCATCCGCCCGATCACAGGTCTCGGTCCCTCCTCAAGCATCACCGGAAGCGGCCTTCGAAGCTCTCTTTCCGCGAAGGGTCATCGACAAGCACAAGCCGTGACCACAAAACAGATCAATAGTAGAACAGTGCCCCACAACCACCTCTCCGAACTCAAAATCACCTACCGACAACAAGGGCATTCTCTTCGTTGGGCGATTTTGTTTGATAACCGATACTGAAAACCTTGCCGTAAATGGATTTAAAGCAAGAAAGGGAAAGGGCGAACTTGTCACATCATAGTCATTCCGGACCCATTTGATCTGGAGATCGAGGATTGGAAGTCCTCTCGATAGTGAGGGAAACGACTGAGCAGGAAAAGGGGGGGAAAGCGCAGCACGCGGAGTGTAGCAAAAGCAGAGATGCAATTCTTTAACAAGCTTGCAATCGGTTCGTCAATGCAGAATGCCTGTATGCTTCTCGAACGGTGCTGCATGTCCCCGACCCAACTGTCGAGCAATTCTGCAATGACCAGCCCATATGTGCTGCTGTGAACCTGAATGCCGCGCTCCCCACAACAATACAGGCAGCCCTTTTCTGGACCTTTGACGTCCCATCTCGACCTTGCGACTCGATTCAGTGCACTTCAGTCGAGTTTCTCCGAGTCTTGGTCTTATGCGCCGCATCAGAAACAGAGAGGTCGCTGTTGACGGCGATAAGATTGTTGACGTCACGACCGGCGAGAAGGTAGGTAAGCATTAGCCCTTTTGCGCAGTTTATCCGGCCAGGAGTGACCGAGCACTGATCCCTTCCATTGTTTCCAAACAGTACCCCAAAGCAGACAGCACGACCACCACCAAAGCATCGTTCATGCCGCAATGCCGATCAGTGCTCCTTGCATCAAAACAAAGCATGTCACTGCGCAGAATGCTTCCTGTCCCTTTCTCCTCGATATTCCTTGCTCAACCTTTGCCCTTTGACGACGCTGGTATCATCATACTACCTCTACCTTAGATACCTAGAGGTGCCTTCAACAAAGTCTCTGGAAATCGTTCCATAACTCGATCGATTTTTACTCTTTGTACCATATACTGGGGCTGTCTTTACATCGTTCAAGGCATTCTGTCATTGATGACATGTACCCTGTCGTTGGATTTGGGTTTGTGAACAAGGGTATCGTGGCTCGGCCTGCCGTACCTGCATCAACAAAGGAACCACACCATCGAGTCACCGACCATCGACCGCCGTTGCTGCTCAACAGCGACACATCCATCGAGAGTCGAATATGCCTTTTTAAGAGCGGCCTGGTCCATTTTGGCACGTCCATGTTACCTTCTTTTGAAGGCATTACTGGCAGAATCATGCCGCCGTCGTCCTCCATCTTCCAGTGGTCGACCCCTGAACGATGTCAACAAACCACCCCTGTTCCATGCTTGGCAAGCGCCGACACCACCTCAAGACTGGACCCTTAATTTTGGTGGCGCCGGAAGCTCCAGTGGGCTTCAGGCCATTGGCCAACCCCCTGCATCGACAATCACAGATCAAAGCAAATTGGTGAGCAATCTGTCTTGGCAAACGTTTTGTTTACGGTGTCAGGGGCATGTTTCTGGTTCACTCTTGACGTGGGTTCGAGAATACAAGAGAGGAAGGAAGGACGAGGGCACGGTTTTGGGAGGTCTAGGTATTAACTTTGGGCATGGACACGGAGGTTGGAGGCGAGGGTATCAGGGGTCGGGAGACGAGTGTTTCTGGACGACAAAATCATCGAAGCCGAGCAGGTAGCAGATGAAGATACCGAGAAAGGAGAACAACAACCGTGTGAATTTATGGGATCGAGTGAGGGACTCTCAACGTTGACTCTTACTCTATTCCACTGCTTACCTCTACAGATCTTCGTTATGGCCTTGTTTATCGAATGTACCTAGTTGGAGGTAGGTCTCAACTCAACCCGTACTCCAGTCGCGTGCCAGCCCAGCCCAGTCCATGACACTTCTCCTACTCTGATCTTCGATCGCGTTGCTTTTGTATCGGCTCCATCACCAGCTGAGAGTTCCGATCGTGTTTCTATTATATCGAACGCAAAAGATGTGATGCTAGTTTCTTGCATTTTGAGGTGTTGTGTCTTGTACGAGGCGGTCCTTGTCACGGGTCCTGGGTGTTTTGTGTTTGATATTGGAGGTTCGCCCGCCACGCTTGAGGGGATTGTCAAGCTGGTCATCGCTCGAATAGAGGTAGGATCGAGGTGTTTGTGGACCTGTAGCGCTTTGTTCTTATGAGCCGTCGTGGTAGTTCGCGGTTTGAGTGTCGAGTCTTTGCGGTCCTTTGTCAAAGGCGAGTTCTCGGTAGAGTGAACGTTGGCTACCTCTAGAGATGGAGGTATCGACTCGCTGGAGTGTATTCGCCGGTGGATGGCCTTCAAACAGGCAACGAACAGCCAACACGTTAGTAAACGACGTTCACATACAAGAAAGTAAATGTTGATTGACAGAAGTCTGGTCAAGTGTTCTTCTGGAGATGGTAGAAAGAGTTGATAGAAGCTGTCAGCTTACAATGTACTGGACTCGGTTGGTTACCTGAAGTTCATGCTCCAAATGAGCGCGAGTAGGGAAGGAAACCAAGTATTCGCCATCGCTGCTGGCGTGAATGGCGGGGTTTGAACGCGCCAGCGATCAACCTGCCGTCGGTCGCAAGTCGTTGAAGAGTGTTGATTATGTTTAGAGCGCGAGTCTTTAGATTAGCTCCTTTGGTCATGATTGTAACGTTCTATCACCGGAGTGACCGCTGATGATTAAACGAGTCTCGTACTACTGCGGAGTTTGGTGTTTGTGATGCTGTTGTGCGTGAAATGGAAGTGAGTGTCGCTCATGATCTAGAGTGTTCCAACTTCTAGTACCTGCTTGAGGTCTATCTTCGACTTAGAATCCGTTGTATCTTTAAGCTCGAAAGACGATCGTGTTTCCGTGCTCCTGGTGTTCTTGCTCGATGTGTCTGTCGCGCCCCGCGCAAGATCGTATCGTAGAACTTGCGTGTCATGGTGGCCTCTAGTCTCTGTGAATGGTGATAACAACTGGCCAAAGATCACTACATGCTTGAAGCAGTGAATCAGTTGCTATAGTGATCCACGAAGTATTGGCATGGTTTGGACCTTTGCGAGTGCGCGTGATGAACCTGGATGGAACCATTCGCTGGCCTTTCCGGAGGTGACGAGGCTATCGAAGGTTCGCAGTTCACCACGACGTCGGCGTCGACGAGCGCAAGGCACAGGAAGTTGATGATTCAACATCTGACTACAACTAACTAGATTATACTTATCTAAGCATCAATACGATGCCGTCGCCGTCATCCTGGGCAACGGCGCTCCTCGTCTACTGAAGCCATCCGGCCATCACAGCTCCCTCACCTTCCCATCCTGCCCTTCCCTGCCGCCCTGGCTGGCCCTGGCTGGCCCGGGCACGCCCTCGGGGGTCATCTGAACTCGTCAACCTGCCACATTCACCTGCGCTCTCCCGCCTCCGGGCCGTCAACTACGTCTTCGTCAGGTCCAAACGGCCCTTGACAGTCACTCCCGGCTGCTCCACCCTGTTTTCCTGTCGCTCAACCTTCAACAATAGCCTGCTCTCGACCAATAGAAGTTCAGACGAGGAGCTGTGGCCAGCCTCGTCCTCTATTTAAGCCCTCCCTCTGACGGACTTCCTCCTCCTCCTCTCTTCCCTGAACTCTTCCTCGCCCAAACCTCCACTTCCTCTTCTTCTCTACTTCCATTTCTCACCTTCCATTCCCCTCCTTCTTCTTCTCTTCTCCTATCTTGTCTTCCATTCTTCATCTTCATCTTCTTCCTGTACTCCCCATCTTCTTCCTCTTGTACTCTCCATCTTCTTCTTCTTGTACTCTCCATCTTCTTCACCCCGCACTTGTCGCGTTTTCTTCTTTTTCCTTCACACACACGCACAATATTTTCTTCTTTTTCTTCTTCCATCACACCTCACCTTCATCATCATCTTCCTTCATCATCATCTTCCTCCATCATCATCTTCCTCCTTCTTCATCACCTTCTTCCTTTGTCATAATCGTCTTCCTCCTTCTCCATCTTCCTTCATCATCAACACTGGTAAGCCATCCTTCCTTTGCTTCACTTGCGCATCACCATGTTGCCAATGATGATATAAAAGCCATTGTCATGTTGTTCCAAGGCCATCGCGCCCGTGACGAACAAAACCTAGCACATATATCTGAGGCTCACATCAACATCATCTGTTCATCATCTTCGATCCATCGTCGCGACCGTCGCTAATTTCGCTGTCTTCAGTCATCCATCATCAACATCGTCTGCTCCATCTCCTCATCTTTCGTTTTTCATCATCTTCACTCACACATGGTAAGTTCGTTTCAGTCATCTCCATCAATGTGCTTCAGCTAACCATCAACATCGATCAGGACTTCTCACAACACATTCTCATGATGCGCGGTGGGACTCCTTGTGCTTCGGCACTTGGGGGGGAGCTTGGCAACCTCCTGGGTGGGCATCATCTAACACTAACACATCAACACTCGACATCACCAACACACAACATCTTGAAAACACATTCTGTGGGCGGGCCTTCAGCAGCTTGGCAACCTGCTGGGGGGTACAGGGGAGCTTGCTCCTTGGGCGGGTTTTCAAGACACATCACCGGCGCCAGGTGGCGCTGGCAGTCCAGTCCGGTCGACACAACAGACATATACAGTGGGCAGTGGGTTTCTGGGGGTCCTCCTCTTGTCATTGTCAATCTGGACGGGACATGACTGAGGGGGGCGGTTCCTCGGTGTTCTTGGTGGCTCTTGAACATCGAGGGGCTGCGGGGAGGTTGTCTGGGTTCACACTTGTGTTTTCCTGGGCACCTCTCCGCGGTCGTCAACGGCTGCGTTTGTGGGGTTGGCGGATCTTCTTTCTTGATCTTCCCGAGTGATGAAAACACAGCGTCTTCATTTTACATGACCTGAAACCTGAAGGATCATATCTGACATTGTCATTCTGACGGGAGAGTTTGGAAGGTGGTGGACATTGTGCACTGCGGGGAGGCTGTCCGGGTTCACTTGTGTTCCTGGGCATCTCCCCGTGGTCGGAACTGGGGGATTCTAGGTGTGTGTGTTCGTTTCTTTTTGTCTTTGTCCCTTTCATGTTTGTCAGTTTTCATATCTTGTCTCCTTCTTGTTTGGTCTCATGGTCGCGACTCATACTTATCTCATGTTTCCTCTTCATTGCATGTCTCTTCTTCCTGTTGTGCCTCCTTCATCTCTGTTTCTTCACCCCATGTTTCATCTTCAACGTTCTCTTTTCTGCCCGATGAAGTTTGGTTGCGAGTGCGCCACTGGTAGTTCCAGCATAGGCAGTGCCTATGGCCGAGGGCACCAGTATTTCTTTTCCTTATTGTGTTCTGCCCGATGAAGTTTGGTTGCCAGTGCGCCACCATCAAGTGATGGCACAGGCAGTGCCTGTGGCCGAGGGCCTTTGTTCCGAATGATACTTGGTGACAAGTGCACCACCGGCTAGGCCGGTAAACCGAGTGGTCTAGTTGACGGGTTACGATCTTTTCTTGTGACCTTTTTTTTTTTTCCCCGATGATGTCTGGTGTCAAGTGCACCACCGGCTAGGCCGGTAAACCGAGTGGGCTGGCGGAGGGGTTATGGTGTTTTCCTCGTGTTTTCTCCAGTGAAGTTTGGTTAGCGAGTGCGCCACTGAGCTCTGACAAGTGTCATCTCAGCAGAGGCAAGTGCCTCTGGCCGAGGGTTCAGTTACCGGATGATGCTTGGTGACAAGTGCACCACTGCCAAGTGGTGGTAAACCGAGTGGTCTAGCTGACGGGTGGTTTCTTGGTGTCCTTGTACATCAGGGGGCTGCGGGGAGGCTGTCTGGGTTCATCCTGGGCACCTCTCCGCGGTGCGCGATTCCCTTCCCCTGATGAAGTTTGGTTAGCGAGTGCGCCACTGGCAAGTGCCAGCAGTCGCAAGTGCCTCTGGCGGAGGGTTTTATCTTTTATCCCGAATGATGCTTGGTGACAAGTGCACCACCGTCAAGTGGCGGTAAGCCGAGTGGTCTAGCTGACGGGTTTTTCCCTTGTATTTCGTTCCCCGGGTGAAGTTTGGTTAGCAAGTGCGCCACTGGCAAGTGCCAGCAGAGACAAGTGTCTCTGGCTGACGGGTTCCTGAATGATGCTTGGTGTCAAGTGCACCACTAGCCAAGCGGCTGGTAAACCAAGTGGTCTAGCTGACGGGCGGTTTGACTTTGTCGTCCAAGTGGACAAACATAACCAAGCTGCGGGGGGGTTGTCTGGGTTCGTCCTGGACACCTCTCCGCGGTGACCTGCTGGGGGATGTCAGTCCGCAACTGGGGGTCTTCGTACATGTGTTCCTCATCTCCTTTGTTTTTTCTGTCTTTTCTTTCTTTTTCTTGTTGTCTTTTCTGTCTCTTCCTTGCTGTCTTTTGTCGCTTTCTCTGCCTGTCTTTTTTCTTCGTTTTCTTGTTGTCTTTTTCCGTTTTCTTGTTGTCTTTTTCCTTCGTTTTCTTGTTGTCTTCTCTTCCTTTTCCTTGCTGTCTTCTCTTTTGCTTGTTTGGTAAGCTCTCGCTCCCTTTACCTCATACCTACCTACCTAACAAACGCTAACGTTGCTCAGAGTTTGTTTTCCCATTCAACATGGAAGAAGCTAGGTTGGGTAGTTGGGCTGCCGTGTCCTGACGATGATCCCAGCCTGGCTTTTGCGTTTGCATTTCCAAAGCACCGCCGGGTGACGTGAACATGGCGGATCGCTTTGTCGCCGCATGAATAGGGTAGGAATTGGAACCAGTGCCTCGGTGCGCCTGGGAAACACTCCCTTCCATGTACACGTCCCCGGCACACAGTACTGCTTGCTTCATGTCCCCGTGTTACGATCCCCCGTGACCGTAACACTTCACGTTTTCTTTTGTTCGCGCTCACCTCATTTCCTTCCCTTGATTCATGACGACGGGGGGCCGCCGATGATGAGTTCACTAAGACGACCGACGAGGGACTGACCAAGACGACGTATATGAACTGAGGCGGTTACGCGGTATCTCGGTGAAGCAAGCAGTACAGCCTAATGGTCTGAGGGTGGTTCTATGAGGGGACGGATAACACAATCAATGATGAAAGACTACTTGCATCGTCGAGCTGAGATTGTGCGTGGGATGAGATTATTCAGGTGCAGCACCAGGGTTGGTTGCGCTTTTCTTTCGGTGCTGCCACCTCAGGAACACTGGGGGTTGTGATCTTTCTGGGGGAAGTAACAGGACGAAGAAGGGTGATGCGACCTGTGATGAAGCCTCCTTGTCTCTGACGTACGATGCAGGTTGCAACACTTGTGTTCTCTTGCGTACTCGAGACGAGATTACCGGTGATCTGAGGTCATTCTAAAATGTTCGGCATGGAAGGCGGGTTGGGTTGAGGGCCAGTGCCACGATTGCTTCTGGGGAACTCTGCCCTTTGAGCATGGCTAATAACCAGGTACAGTGGCTGCTTTTCTCTCTGTTTCGTTAAGTTCTTATAGTATGATGATTGAAATCTCTGAACATCCAATGTGGACATGTAATAATGTAAAAAATCACTTCCACCAATCTGAACCACTTGAACTTTCGAGGAACTTTTGCTGCCTGTGCTATCAGAGGCACTTGTGCTAACATCCTTCAATCCAGAGAACGAGACTGAAGTCTAAAAGCTGCTCAGGGTTTGAGAGGCGGCCACGATCGAATGGATTGTAGTGATATGGCTGGCAACTGAAGATGGGTTGGTTCGTAGTATTGGAGAAAGTCACAGTACAGGTTTCAGGAATGTCAGAACCAGCTACACACCGGAGCCCTCGCGCGGAATACCTAAGAATGTCAATGGAAATGTTGATGACAATTGCCAAGGAAATAATTATGGATCACACATTGTCCTCGACCACAAGGTGACAGCGTACATGCGTTGATGGGGACACAAACTTCGGTAATGTAAGACACTTCTAAATACATATAAGGGAATCGAGCCAAGCCAACAAAGAGTGTTCTGGAAGCGGAACTGCTCTGCTTGATGACGGCTGCGTGGTTGCTAGTATCGCAGGTAAACTACCTGTATGGCATACAATTTGAAGGCTGAGAACAATGAAGAATATTCGTTGACCGTAAATAAATGAGGCTACCGACCTTGTACCACGGCGTCTGGTATGTGCTTACCCATACTTATGCACGATCTCGGAAGCATTGTTGGGATTTGTGAAGTTATGGGATGACGGGTGTGAGCGTACACCTAAAGCACGCATACCGGGGCCGAACGAATTGTGGAAGAGATCGAGCAGTTTATGGAATGGAACACCAGAATGCCTGGTTACCTCAACACTCGAAGGAAAAGAGGAATGGGTATGGGTATCTTGCAGTGTTCTCTCGACTGGGATAGGTCGAAGAAACGCGTAATGACGCCACTCGGCCGCCGCTTTCGACAACAGGAGCGGATATCATGGCTTCCCATACGATGCAAAGCAGCCAGCACAAACAGGCCGCCCAGTATCGTCGAAGTAATGACAGCACCACGCATAGGGCCAGTTGTCCATCAGCCACCAAGCTTCCAATTACAGGAGACTAACTCGGTAAGAACGCAGGAACGAGCTGCGGCAACTCCTTGGCCACGGGACATACTATTGTTACCTGGGTGACGATAGACACCCCAGGGTGGTATTTCCAGGGACAATGATGACGAGGGCGGCTTGCCCATCAGTACCGAACTAGCAAACCCCTAGCGGAACCCTCAAGCGACGGAGAATGTTCGCTGAGGATGGGCAGGAGAGACTCATTGGTCAGACGGTGGTGTTGGACGATGCGAAAGGCAGAGAGCTAAACTGTTCGGTCTCATCTCCCATTATCAACGAGCGGCGGCACATAGGCTGAAACGGCGTGATAGGCCCGGTTGAGCCCCGGTCGAGTTCATTTCTTTGGGCACATGCTTGTGTCAATGAGCCACTGTGTGCTTGAGACGCGGCTATTACCACCACTCGGCGATAACAGACATGGGAAGCCCAGTTGGTAGGAGAAACACAACACCTGTCTGCCTCGTACGCTCCACATCCACGCCACTGCCCGGTCATCCATCCAGGTCGGGGTCTGGGTTCTTGGTTCGCCAAAGTGCCGAGGGGGCCGACTAGATGTATCCAGTCGCCGCTGCCGTTGAGAGATTGGAGGCCTCGTGATATGAGTATACGGCTTCGGCTTTACCAATGGCGAATAAGGGAAGGCAAGAAGAGCGGCCAAGTGGCCACAGAAGAATGGGCCAGAAGGTGTGTCGTTAACAAGAAGTAAGGGACAAAAATATGTTCATGAATGGCTAATTGCAGTAATATAAAACGCTTTGATGGCGTGTGCTCCCGAGCGCAAGGATGGGTGAGTCGAGAACCATTTGCATTTGGTTCCTCAAAATGTCGTTGACAAGGTGTCGTCGGACATCGGACAATTGGAGTTCCAGAACTAGGAACGTTTCCGCGGAGGGTGCGTCCGGGGGTGGCTGTGCAGCTTCACTTGCCACACAAGACTTGCACAACGTTCTTGTGTGGCTTGTGCCTACCTAGATCCAGCTCGTCGGATCTGCTGAGTGGAGCCAAGTTCTGTCGACTTGTCCAGTCGTCACTGCAGTGATATACAGTGTGTACTGTAGGACTCGGAGTGCAAAGTCAGCGAGCAGTGCGGCAACCCCCACTGTACGATCACGAAGATTAACGACAGACCACTAGGTACCTACTTACAGTCGGAGCATTCGTTAACTCGAGCCCCGACGAGAAAAATGGAACGAGTGAGGATTCTCGTATCCAATATACGTTCAGTGTACCTTGTTTGCCTTGGAATATTTTACTGGACTCAGAGGCCGCCCTCCGCCATTGACTCAAGCTACAGGCTTCATTGACGACGAGATTTACCTAGTTGGCGAGTCTCGGGGATGGCCCAACCAGACCCGATTCCACACGCCCACACATGTCCATACGAGAAGACCCTTGTACAACACCACACAGCGCCATCTTTGGGATCGGAAATGAAATCTTTCACCAGAACAGCGATTGGATTCTACGGATACTCCGAAGACGAACTTCTCCACAGATTTAGCTTCACATGCGACACGCTTCCCACTAGCATAGCGGAGTTTGAGGAGGCGGTCTTCCAGAATACGTGTAGCCTTTACGCATTTCGAACCCTGGCCGCCTACAGCGCCCGGTTCGCTTGCTTCCGTCTTTAGCGGTGAACGACGACGACGACGACGGGTAGCATTCGCACAAGCGCCTTCGAACACAATGTCGTCGACTATCCCGTGGGCGCGAACTGGCTACAACTTGGGCGTCATCCTGACTCCTTCTGTGGATCGGGAAGGGAACCCATGGCATTGGCACGGCGGCACAGCGGCATGGCGGTATTGGCATGGCACCTTGAGGGTGCGACTCCCGAGTTCTGCTTGCACTCCACCGGCGGACTGACTCAACAAGCAACCTCCTCACTCGGACGTATGAGATGCTGCCGCGCAAACCCGCTTTCTGGCTTCTTGTTGGGTCCAACACGCACGTGCAGTGCAGCCGAGTCTGCGCTTTTTTGACAGACTGCTTGCAGTTATGTACTATCGCCATGCGACCGCCGTTGGAACTATCGGTGAAGAAACATGACCGAGAAGGATGACTGCAACAACGGACGGACGCCGAAGACGGTGACGTGGTGAGCAATGCATTGCCATATATAAATCTGCAAAGTTTTTGCATATTCTCGTCCAAGTGAAAAAAAAGGTTTCGAGAAAACGGCATGGTGTCGAGGTGTCATTCATCCTCGTTTCTGGCTTAGCCTGCCCTGGCTTCCACTTGTACACTACACTAGTGTAAGGGTCTTGGCAATGAGAATTCCGAATACCTATGCACTTGTAGTTCGTTTTCTGGGACGACTACCCGTTGAGAAAACCTCACCTCCAATCGGGAGCAGGAACCAACCAGACCTGCATCAAAGACCGGCTCGGGATAGTAAGCTATTGGCTAACAACCCAAGCACCCTCGGCGACAGCCCTCTCTCGATATTGGACATCAACGCAGCAAACAATACCTACCCAGGCGCCATCAGTAGGGCAGCAGAGCATACGGCGTACATCATCGACAAACTACTCAATAACAATGTGGTGTGTGAGTCACCTTGTTGATAGGACAGATGATGGACACTGATGAGAGTCTTCAATTGCCCGATCATCCATTTCGTGCGCAGGACTTTGATCATTTCCTTCAAACTTGGGAATTGGAATGAAGCACACCCTCCTCGTAATCAAACTCTGGAAAACTTTTTCTGTGACTTTGTCCAAAAAGAAACCAAGTCGCTGGGGTGTGTGGCATGTTGAGCCAGGGTTAATGGGAAAAGCCTCCGGAAAATCACCATGCGGAATTGATGTTCAAGCACAGGGGAGGGGCGTGTGGTTTCCAAGAGCCGACCACCAGGCCGGGGATAAGGTGAGCATCAGCAAGGTGTGCATCAGCAAGGTGTGCAGCGAATAGCAAAGCCCATGTGTAACAGGCCGCAGAGAGGTATGTCCACCACGAGAAAATGGCCCTCACCTGTGGTCGCAATGCCGTTGACGTTGAACAGAGCCGACCGTATCAATGCACTGTATGGTGTACAGGCCTGACAGCAAGGCCTTGGTGGAATCATGCCATACCTTGGAAGGAAATGAGGGTAATGGATGGACGTGTTCTTTCCTGGGGAATAGCAGCGTCTTTCTCGTTTACAAGAAGTGCACTCTGTTCGGTGAGTGTGTTGCGACTTGTTCACCGGGAGCTTTGTGAATGGCGTAGAGGTGTTCGATTGTGAAAGTCTGATGTCGAATCGTCACGGTTAGCGTCAACACGACAGCGGGATACGGGGCAAGCTCTGTCATATCCGTGGCTCCAGCGATACTCGGGTCCCAAACTGCGCTAGACGAAGATCAAAAGGTTCGGGTTGAGGGCCAACCACATCCGGTCGACAGTGAGGCTCATGTTGTACTTCCAGCTGGGTTAGTGCCGAGCTTCAGGCCCCTGGGTCCTTCAGCTGATCACGGGGTGCAGTCAAGGGGAACACTTCCTATTCGTCGCTCCTCGACGATAGAGCAAAACTCCATCACATTTAAGGTACTCAGGGGAGATCAACACTGGTGCCGTGTAAGTCGCAAGGATTACCTCCCGTGCTTCCCCGTCGTTGGTTATTCGCCACAAGGAGGAGGGCTCCTGGCTAGGAGTGCTCTCTTTCTTCGTGTACACAAACCCACGGGATGAGATGCGTGCACAGAGGACACGGTAACAGCTATGAAACAGGGAAGAGCTCTTGCGCCGAGATGTCAGCCAACCGAGATAGCTTCTGAATTCAAGAGGGAGGCTGGACCAGCGGCGACTGGACCATTGAAGGTTGATCGAGCTACTACCATATCTGTCAATTTCAGCACTGTAGATACGGCATACTACACAGTAAATCGAACAAGCAGGTAGAGTATGGTAGCTTCAATATTTGTTCCATACATTGACCACAAAAGGTTAGCAGGAAATAAGACTGAGCGGTGGGGGATACACATGCATGTGGTTTTGGGGGCATGCAGGCCAGCCACGTGCAGACGAACACTCGCAAGCACAAGGGCAAACTGGGGAGTCTGGGGCGAGCTTTGGACTTCAGCCTAACTGCGTTGCTACGCGAGGAAAGGCTGACGACCGTTCTCCGTGGCCGTACATCTGGCCGCCTCAATCTGGCATTTGTGGTGGAAGAATTGATGGCCTTGGCGAATCCCAGACGTTGATGCCGTATGGAAGGCATCTGATGTACACATGATGGCTTCTTTTGGTCAAGGGTCACGGTGGTTGCCGTGATGGTTGCAACCATCTCGAAGAGAGTTGCCCGTGCCCATCCGACATACTATTTTCACGTTCATTTTTCGTCAACTCGTTGAATCTGGATGCTATGTCGACGTAGGTGCAGTTCAAGTTGGGAATCAACGGTGAGCTCAAGGACAGTCTTCCCAAATCCCGCTGCTCATCTGTCTGCGGCGAGGAACTCCTGCCGTTCCTAAACGATGAACGTGTCAACCGTGGAAGGGGCGACTAACACAAGAGGCGAGAGACACGGAGAAACGTCAGCAGCCATGGCAGCTTGCGCTTTCTTGCTATGCTTACATATCTCGAAGAAAGCCCCCGTTCCTGCCGGATTCAACCTCCATCGATTTCCCGGACCTTCTACCTTTTTGTCTCGTCTGGTTAGTGGTTTCCCGGTCGAATATTGGTCAACCAAAACTCGCACACCTGTCTTGGCCACAGCGTACAACCTAAGTACTGCCAAAAGAATTCTTACCAATCGCGAATCCATATTCAGTTTGCTTTGCATTCAATCAACTACTTCGGCGACTCGGTGCCCAGCATTCCGGGTGTCCGGGCGCCGTCCCTCTCTTCGACATCTTTGATTGCCTACTTTCTATCCGAGCCGGAGTGCAACACCAGACAGTTTCGTAAAGGACGAAGGCGAAAATTTTTCACGGACGTGAATACTGGAAGCAACCAGTTACTCCCTGCGGCGACGTTGAGCATCTTCGCTCAGACCGAGTCTCAATCTCGCTTATACTTCAACGATCGGCGCGCATTGGATGGGATTGGGGGCTGGAAACTGTCCATCATCAGGAATCCGGGGGGCGCTTCAAGGGCAATTTAGCGTTTGTTGTGCAAATTTCAGGGGCCCCCGGGAAAGTCGAAACCCGGTAGATTGGACGGCGATTGTTGAGGGATTCACGCGAGAGATCCAACAGGCTCCATTCCTTCGCATACGACATTTCGAAGTGCTTCTCTTTTGCACGCTGGAGTTGCCTGTCGATCAACGAATCCGAGTTATCGTCGCCCACACAGTCGGTCTATTTTGGAGACAGCTGAAGGAGGCAACGGCATCATTGAGTCAGAGGCTATCGCCAGACCAGTCCTATCAGCGGCTCTTCTCTCTCCAGGCATTTGGCAGTCTCGGACAGAGAGTGAGTGCTGGTAACGCATCGATGCATGACTGGCTCAAAATCCAGTGCCATCCAGTCACAGTGTGACAGAACGTAGTCGGGGGGTGTGGTTCCTTCTGGCAATGTGCTCATAAGCGTCTTCCCACCACCACGAAAAAAGTGACTAATCCCAAGCAGGCTACTGCAACTGCGTGGCTGGCTACGTACCCTCTCTACAGACACGCCCCCTCCACATCAACCGGGGGCAGAGCTGCAGAGAGCGACAGGGCTCGAAAAATTGAATTGGTTCACATCCCTGGTCTATGACTCTTGGCGCAAGTCTCCTTGCCAAGTCGTCCCGCCCTCTCCGCGCAAGCAGCCGGAGCTTCTCACCTTGCCCGGTTTGGCTCAGTTCAAGTTTATAAAGTTCGCCAACCACCCGTTGCACACCACTCTTGAGTGACATCTCTGGCTCCTGTCTGCCAATTCACACGCCTTCCCGCCTCAACGGCTTTCCAACCGCGGATTTCCACGACATCCTCCCCAGCTGTCATCCAATCTGGAGCGCAGCCAGATCCACAATTATCCACACGCTTGCAGTCAAGGTCGATCTAGACTTGGTTGCATCATCCCAGGAATTCTGCACCGGGGATCATCGACACACATATCACCATACTCTTGACATGTTGGAAAGCAGAAGACGCTTCCCCTTTCTTCATCTCACTATCGACCGCATACCCAGGTGACGGGTTCCATCTCCTCCGCGTCACGACATCAGGCGCGATTTCTGCTTCGATTCAGGATTGTCAGGGAAATACATGCAGCAATAAAGAGCAAGGATCTCAGTTGAAACAAAGGGAAGAGGAGCTAGCAACTTGTTGCTGTTGAGGTTCAGGAAAAAGATTATTTTATTTGGTTGGAAAGAAAACGACATCATCGACAACATGGCCACTTATTCACCCTACGAGTCTACCCGGTACCGGGACGTCTACGCCCACTACGACGAGGACAGGTTCGCCAGTGCCTCGACAACACCTTCGCCCCGGCAACCGGCATACTTCACCGAACTTCCTCCCCGACCACAACGACCGGCCACACGGGCTCACTTCCGGTCCGGCAGTGTCAGCGGCTACACCAACGCCTACAGCAGCCCTCGCGGCTCCTTCTCTCCCCGCTACACCAGCGACGGCCACTATGCCACTGCCAATGTGAGTCACTCGCGGTCATCGCGCAAGCACAGCTTCTCGGTTCCTCGCTCCAACCCCAAGCGTGAGCGGCGAAGTTCCTATTCCTACAATTATCGGGCTTCGGACTCCCATGGGGAATCCGACGAAGACGAGCTGGACCGGCTGGTGGTGGACGGCTTCGCCTACATGCAGCCTCTCCAATCGAGATTCGACCGATACAGCACTCGGGATTACTTTACTGTCAATGCTGGTGGACAAGGGACTGATTACCACTACTATGCACAGACCGGTCCGCACCGCGATTACTATGACAGAGAGTCCGCGTTTCCTTCCGCCAAGTACGACTCGGACCGGACGGACCGCAGACCTCTCGCAGGACAACGTCGCAGTTCCACATCACATGCAGTCCCCCAGCGCCCCCAGACAGCCAGGCCAGCCAGCTCCTCCCACAAGAAGCCTCCACCGCCGACACGTGTGGCGACCGAGGAAGATGCCAAGAATTGGAAGATCCCTCCCGGATATTCGCTGAAGAACTGGGACCCCACGGAGGAGCCTATCTTGCTGCTTGGGAGTGTCTTTGATGCCAACTCCCTTGGCAAATGGATCTATGACTGGACTGTCTACCATCATGGTCCCGCTACTCCTATCTCTGAGATGGCCGGAGAGTTGTGGCTGCTCCTGATCCAGCTGGCCGGAAAAATCAAGCGTGCCGATCAATGTATCGACAAGGTCCGTTCCAAGGAGAACAAGGAGATCCTCCAAGAGTTCATGGACGCCGGTGACCGCCTTACCGACAAGCTTCGCAAGCTTCTCAAGGCCTGCGAGGCTCCCATGCTTCGCTCTACTGCCAAGCAACGGAGCTCTTCGCTCGGCAAGGGCGCTGGCGTTGAGTTTGTCGACACGCTTTTTGGATTTGAACGGGAGCTGGAGAAGACGGAGAAGTTCATGTCCCAGGTCCGCCTGTGGAATCTTCGCTTCGACGCGAACTGCGAGGATATCCTTCGCAACCCGACCGCTTAATCCCCTCTCATATTCACCTCTCAATAATTCGAAGATATACCCTCCGACAAGATTGGTTGTAAGATAATGGGGAGGAGTCCAGCAGCAACGACGACAACAACAACAACAACAACAACAACAACAACAACAACAACAACAACAACAACAACAACAACAACAACAACAACAACAACAACAACAACAACAACAACAACAGCGGGGCGGTCATCAGACGCGACACCCATTCCCTATCAATGATACCCAAGACTGCCATTTTTTTGCGGCGCGGCGTGATGAAAAAAGACCACGGCCCGCCCAAAGTCAACTCAACGCAAAGGAAAGAAATGGAGGGGGAAACGATTTTATAGCAGTCAGTGAGAAGCTGCATTACACGAAACTTAGGTTGTGCAAGGAACTCAAAAGTTTGAATGGGTTTTATGCGGAGGACGATATTTTACCTCTATCAAGTATTCCCCCTATGTAATCACTGTGTTTGTGGTATTCTTTTCTTTTCTTTTTTTTTTTTTAACTTCAGTTCACTCAGGTTTTGGATGTCAAAAAAATTGGGTTGGCGAGTTTGCTTTTGTTATCTTTTTGTCGCATCACACTGGGCTTGTGATGTCAAGCCTTCGATCGCTTTTGTTTTACAGGTTGTTAAATGACAATGCTCACACAATTTCATGGAGCCGTCACTGTCCTCTTTTCTTTTTTGTCCCTTTTTTCTCTCTCTTTTTTTCTTGAATAATCAGCTCCAATGGGGATCACAGGATGGATATACCCAACGTTTCACTTCTTCTTTCCTTTTCAAGTCAGGAAGGAACAAATAGAATGTCAATGCGGATGGATAGAGAAGGAATGGCAATGGAGGAGGGTATCAGGTTCGCATCAACCCTCTCCTCCCAACAATGTAGCTAGCTTGTATTAATTCACCACACACACACACACACAACTCGACATGATTTTTGTCCAACTTGGTTATGTTCCAAAATCGTCGCCTCACGGTCTGTGGACCCGTGTGAATTCTCATATCACACACACCCGGAGATTGGTGTGACGTCTCATCACAGGTTGAGAAATTCCGTTTGTGCTGCCGTGCTGCCGTTCGTAGCAAACCATTGCACGCAGGCATGCCGTGCCCTAGGAAAATCTACAACATGAAAGATGATGCCTCATTTGCCAGACCCATTCCATGGGATTCATGATACCAACAAAGTAGAGGTATCTGTTTGACCACAGCGGTAGAGCGCGCACACAACCTCTGTGATTCCTTGCGCACATACATGCATACACCAGGCAAGGGGGCGCTTATGACTGGCACGACAATCCGAGGAAAATTTTGGTGCGCGTGTGTGTTTCGGTTACGAAGCGCGCCTGCTGTTTGGTCACAGACGGGAGGGAAAAATGAACATGGAATGGCAGAAGCAATTCTGGGGTGTCAGAGTTAGGCATTCCAGCCCTCCCCCCCGCCCTTTCCTGCCATTGTTTTTCACCCGCCTTCACAAACAAGGAAAAAAAAAAGAAGAAAAAAAAAGAAGAAAAAAAAGGAACAGAATTTTTGAAAACGGCACGGGTGATCTGAAGCTTTCCATTGAAAAACGTCTAATAATCCAGCCTTGTTGTAGTAGGTGGTCATGCACTGTGAGTGGAAAAGTGTATGCATGCGGAAGAATTGATTCAAGTTGTGTTGTGAATGATATGATCAGTGTCAGAGTTGGCTCACTTACTGCTTCACCTGTCCGCGGAATTATCAACCTTCAACACCCTCATTCCTTCCCCTTTTGATCGAGGTAGTGTAAAGGTAGTGCAATCCCGAGGAGGTGGTCGGCGAACTGAAGGGGGGTCGGTCCACCGAGGTGTTTGAGGCTACGAAGGGATCAACATCGGGCTCACACACTTGGCGGCCGCCCTCGGAGGGGGCGGTAGGCTACGTACAGACCGCATACTCACCTCCCTGTTCTCCCTTGTGACAAAACATGGAAAGCCTTCTTTCGATGTACGTGACACTTGCTTTTCAATTTTCCATATGTATCGCCATACATGAATTTCAATGGCTGTAAATTTCCACGGCTGGGATCGATGTCTTTCATCATCGGCTGCAAGTCGAACCCAAACCTTGGAAGTGCGAATTCGATAATGTCAAGGAGAGAGGTGGAAGCCGGGATGGAAGGAGAAGGTGAGTGGATACCCTCCCGGCAAAGTGGGCAGAGTGGATCTCTGTTTGCACTAGTGTGCACTAGTGCAGAACGTCCGTCCAGTGTCCACAGTCGGGTCCGGGCAGTGTGGAAAGAGCTCCGCTGTGGGGTGCGGTCGGTCCTTCCCGGCTGTCAAGGTTCAATGTTCTCAAGATGGGATGAACACTGTGTGCTGCCCCGCGCTCCAGTCCGTCGTCGCAGGGCTCTTTCCTCTCTTTCTCCAGGGCCTTTTTGGCGGCTCTTGCGGTTGTTTCTTTTCAGTGGAGTGAACAGGGTCGGGGAATGCGGCGGCGGGAGCTGGCGAGCTGGGCCACAGAAGATGGCCGCAGAAGGTTTTCAGCGCTTTGGGCTTGATCCTGGCGCGGGGGGTTGCAGTTCACAGCGAGGGGCAATTCTGGAGTGCACGGCCAATATCTTCTTTCCCTTTGCGGTTTCCTTATTGGAACATCCACTCACTTCAGTCTTGTCATGGAACTTGAACGAAAATTTCCATGGTCTCGTTGTCTTGGTTCCAATTCCTTCTTGTTCCCCAGAGGCGGTTTAATAATCAACACCTTCAACCGGAGGGCGCAAACAGAAACAAATACCCGGCGAAGCCTTTCCATCATCGACTGCGCCTCGCTTCCCCCCAGGCCTGTCTACAATCGATTACATTCACGTTGCGGTGTGAATGCTGTCATGAAGCCCCCCCTGACTGGACTCGGAATGAAAGGCTTTCCTAGCTACTTCTACGGGAGCATGCAAAGTCACGGGTAGGGGATACAGGTATGCATGCCGTTGTCCGCTCACTACATTGATACATCAGCTCGGTACGACGTCAAAGCGTGGGAAACGAACGAGTCGAACGAACGAGCCACCCGTGTTGTGCGGGTTCAGGCTCAGCCACTTCCTGCTTTAGCTTCCTTCGCCGGGTGTCTGCCGACACTTTACTGCCAAATCCCGACCCTGTTGATGACAGCACAGACCGATACGGCTGCGAGCCCGCCTGGATGAAAGCCAGAGAACAACGGAGCAAAGGGCCTTTGACCCCTGTGTCCAACGGTTCGAAGATCATGTCTCGACATCTCGTTGAGCGAGCACGAAGCAACGTTCAATTCAGTGTGTAAAATTTGGGGACAGGGTGTGTGCTAGAACAAGGTGTCGTCCCTTTGAAACCCGGTCCGAGGGTGCGCCAGAATGAATATACACATGTGCAACGTGGACACAAGTGTGGCGGGCGAACAAAGAGTTTGCTTTCTCTACTTCATACCTCCCGAGCGCTCTCTCGAGTACCCTTTACGACCCATCTACGTATCCAATCGAGGTGCAAACAATCTCGTTGAAGAGGAGTGCTGCATGCTTGACAATTCCGCGAGGCTACAAATACACCATCCCAAATGTTTACCGGCTGCATGCGCGGCGCCTTGCAAGTGACCTGGCCATGCCATTGATAGTACCCGTTGGCGAGTTCAGGCACATCTTGTCCCATAACTTCCTGTGACTCGACCATCAATAGTCATTGTATCACGTCACACGACAACCCCTTCGACTGTGGAGTATACTGTTGATACGCTACAGTTCGACTATGCGGAACAGGTGCGCAACCAATATGCCGCTGGGTAGCATTTTGGAGCCTTCACTTCCTCGGTCTGCTCCTCCAGCCTCCAATCATCGACTATAATAATGTCTCGCCCTCCCACTCAACACTACATCTCGATCATGCCATGGCTTACAACTGTCATCCAAGCATCAGGCAGCCAGCCCTAAGAGAAGCATGGCGGACAACATATCGTGCACTTGGTGGTTGCTTCAAGTTGAACACTATCCTGCCATCGTTTTTGATATCGCTGTCTAGGCGCATAGCACACAGGCATTCAAGCCGAGCAACACCATAATCAGGCAATTATTTGACAACTGCCTGCATCCATATTCTACTGAACGTGGCTCAATATCACGGATTACCCTTGTTTGCTCCCTGACGATCTTCGCTTGGGGTCGGCAGTTGGACAAATATGGAACATTGAAATTGTTCCATGCTTGCTTCCATTGTGTTCATTTGCTGTTTCTTTTTCTCGGGACGGGTGCCTGTTGGCGATAGTGTGGCTCTCGAGGGGCGTGAATTGTTGGAACCAACAATAGCAAACACCTTCCAGGATGCTACCTCGTTACCACCTTCTGTGCATTTCGGTACATCCCACGTACCGTCGAGGGTGCCATGTGGGTGTACTGCATAACCTATAATCATCACTAATTTATAGTATTACTATCAAGCGCCTTACTTACGCCTCCATCACACTTCTTTGGGTAACAGGCAAGCAACACCAAGTCAGGGGCAGAAGATCGTGCAAGCTGCATCGAGCAAAGTACAGTTGACAGGCGGCAAAGATGGTAGTAAATTCACATGAAAAGTATTCTACTACGATGGCAATTTATTGTGATTCATGATGGGCCGCTTTCCGGATGTAGCGGTTATATTCTCTGGTACTGCTAGAAACCCAGCTCAAGCACACTCCCCCTCCTATAGGATATCACAATGGAGTTTACGCCTTGCAAATATGCCGTTGAATTCTACATTCACAACCCCAAGTTTCCGCTTGGAAATTCAGCTATCTCTTGTTTTCACACGGACGGATTACCTTGACTGCCCGATTTATCGACTCAGGTCGAGCATTGATAGACAGTTTCAAAATCCACCTAAATGGGGCATATGTAACAACGCTATGCTCTCCATATATTAGCCTTGTCACCGCCAATCCTTTTCACATTTTCACTTCTTGGTATCTACATATATAAGAATGCTCCTCATTTCCCCGACGTGCCCTTAGTGTCCGGCCCATTGACACTACCCAGAATAACGGTTACACGGCCACCGCTCAAGTCTTGACATCAGAACTTGGTTGACAAATGAAATCGAAGAAGCTTACGGTGTATTTCGTGAAGCCCACGCCTCGGAGCGCCCGATACAGAGTGGTATTCGGGCGCATCCACTTCGCCTCTGCGTCGCATGGCATGGCTTACCTGGGCTTCTGCAGCTGCACGATTATTCTGTTTACCTTAATTCCGAAGCTATATGCCAGCAATTCTGGACAGAACGCATCAAACCTTTATTGTTCGCCTCGACAGGAGAAAGGGACAGGGGGTGTGCGCAAAGAGCGAAGGTACCTAGTAACACATGTAGCCGCGTCGGTGATAACAGCAGCCGAGTCACTACATTACCCAAGAACGTCGCGAGCACGGTACAGGAAGTGTCAACGGTCATCTAGCTCACAATCACTCAACTCGTCACCATCGCACCCTCCATGTCCTCCTCCAAATTCTTTTGACAGGGAGTTCACAATTGGGAATAGTAATGTCCAGAGCCAAGAAACATGGTCACAGTTCTACTCGGCGGCTAACTGCGATTACGTGCAGGAAAAGCCGTGCTGAACTTCATTTCAAAGGGAATTGAACCAATGAACGTTGATCTCTTACAAGTTGTATGCATCGGTGATCAATAAAGTTGATCGCTTATGTATTCCTGCAATGTGTGTTGCGTGTGCTGAGATGTGCGCAAGTGTGTCTTACCATCACTGCAACTAGGCGCTAACACTGCAACAGGCAAACTTCCCGCACAGCTGTTAGTGACAGGAAAAGATCAACACACCATCGTGAATCCAGGAAATAACTGCGGTTTGTGCTACCGACACAGGTTGCATCAGGGGGATAAACTTACTCCCTTTCAAACATCCTTGTCAGTGATCCTAGCTTACCTACTTTCTGACTGATACCGTGGGCGACCACCGGCTGGAGAATCAAAAAGGCGTGCACGCATTTTCACCATGTCTGTGGCCTGGGTCTTTTCGGCGCCGGTCACAGTTCTCTCTTGTATGTTCTCGGACTTAAGCTGTGGAGAGCACACATACACGCTGCCTAGTCGCAAATATGGGTGATTAACACCGATATACCCATCGCCTATTTTGAGGGTCAATATAAGATGGGACTGCGAAATGGGGTGTTACGGGTGCGGCGCAGTTTTACCCTCCTGTGCCTCTACCAAACTCAGTATTCTTACTGTAACCTAGAGGTAAACATCATGTCGTGCCGTCCACACAGCAAGCAGTGAGTGCACAGTGTCGACTATTTGAATTGGAAGTGCTTCCGCACATCCCCATCCTCCTTTAATGATGATGAAATTTGATCTAGAAAGTCAAAAAGCAAAGCAACATCCATCGGGAAACTGGCTACATTCAAACGATAGGCATCCTGGGTACGCCTTCAGAAATCCTAGTCATCACGAAACGACAAGCCTCAGGTGACTCGTCCTTCATGAAGACCTCCAAGCTCACTTGGGATAGCTACGACCTACCCCGCCTACAAGCTAAGCTCCCCATCTTACATATCCATCTCGGCGGCTATCATCACGAAGTCGAGCTCGTCATGCGACATGTAAATGCGGGGTTTACGATGCTACAACGGCTATCCAACGATTACCCTTCGGTTCCTTTCAATCCACGTTATAGTCATCACAGCGAAGGACGAAACGAACTATAAACCCTTGTTTAGGTAACGAGTCACCTGAGGTCTGCCCTTGGAAACCTCAAAGGATATCACAGCAGCAAAGGATTGTATACCCCCACACTTCTCTCATCTGGGTATCATTTGCTGTGCGAGTGTCCCTGCTACCTAGAATTACCTACCTTACTAAACCTAGATACCCTGCGATGAAGGGAGGTAAATGCAGGCGTGGGGTTTGATTACTAACCATTGACGAAGTCCTCTGCAGATTTGAACCATCTTCTTCAAGTGGAAGGAAGCGGCAGTGCCTGGCTCAGTGCAGTGATCACATACTGTCCCACAAATGCACACGCAACCGCGCCGCGAGCGAACGGTATCCAGGCACACGGAAGATGAGACAGCACGGGGGTAGAACAGACCGGAGGAGGGATTGGACCCTGCGTCCGCTACATACTACCATTGGTGACAGCATATAATCCGGCACGGAATGGAGACATGGATAAGACCCCGGTCTCCAACCTCCGCCTAGTTCCATGTCACGCCGCACGCCTCGAGGCTGCTTCCTCCGTGGTCAATCTCCGTCCCGATAGGCCCTGCCGCCTTCATAACCGATTGACACGCGAACTAGCATGAAAAGAATGAATGTCAAGAAGATTGGCGTCCAAATTCATATAAAGCAAACGGGCAGGATACCTACAGGTAAGATACCTAGTTATCAGTACCTTATGTATGTCTGAAACACGCTGTGCTTGAAACAAGCGGGCTGAGTTGCCGATGATTGCCGGCCTCGCTGTAGGTTCATCGGATCGGCTGGTCTGTTTCGGGCGATCGAATGGTTCAAGTTCAAGACAGGGGCATCAGGAAGGGGGATGGAAGAGAGGGTACGACGGGGCACGACGGGACAGTTAGGGATATATCCTTACAGCCCTTCCTGCCTTGTGTCTTCTATGTCTTTTCTTGTCTGGGACGCTTCAAGATATCTGTACATTCGCATTGCAGTCTGGCGATGGCATTGGAGGATTCCTTGAGATTGGTCGTCCAAGTCTTCTACGCGTCCAGAGGCGAGTACCTGAACTACCTGCGAGGTGTCTTATACAACCCGAACTGCAGTTTGGTGTTCGGCATGAAGCATGCCGCATAGAGGTAACATTCATGGCCGGAACGTCCACGAGATACAAACAGGGTCCAGTCCATGTCGCAAACCACACCTCATCTTGACCGTGCCCTCTCCCCGCAATTTCTACCCGTTAGCAGGTAGGTACTATTCATACTTCTCAGATCTCGGTAACTACTACTCTATAGGTATCCGTTTACCGATTCGGTTTCTGGTTCCGATGAGACTAGATCTTTTGACCTATCTTCCAGTCAGTCGCATGAATGTGGCCTGGGTGGCTGGGTTGGGAATTTGTTTCGGTCCAGTCGGGTCGGGTCAGGTTCAAAGCGGCCAGGTTTAGTTCAAGCCATCATCATGCGTCTGTCCTACTTCTGGACCACATTTCCCAATAAGGCGGCCGGCTTTCAGGTCTCAACTTGGGAGCCTTGAACGAGCTTATTCCAAAGGCGGTGGCATGTTCTGCTTCTGGGACATGTAAGCATGGGAAATGGGGGTGGCTTTTGGAACCTTGCAACTCTAGTGCCGCAAGGATCCGAGATGGATTAATAGTTGCTCTGGGGTCGGGACTGTACTGATGAGTGACGTCGTTGGGGGTGTCGTTAGACCAGAAATACACAACCCGTTGATCGTCCGTTCGGGTCTGATTCTGATGCCTCATAGGAACTTGTCTTCTGGTTCCTGGCTACAAAGTGAGCATCGAATGTTGCGGAGAGAGAGTAAAGGCGTCTGGAGAGGCATCGCGCAGAGAAGGTCCAGTTTGGAATTGTCATTTCTGCCATGAGGTGACATGTAATTTTGCAACTGCCATTCGGATGTCTTTTCCTTGGAGTCTTTCTCTCCAACGACAAACATTCGACCTAAACGACTTTTGAGCACTCACAAGATGTGTGTGTGGCATCAGACCAAGTACAGTATTCCCATCTTGGAATATCCTTGATCGAACATGAGATCTCACCACGTCGATTTTATAGCGTCATGAAAACATGATAAACTAGCGCCTGACGAGATTCCTAGTGCCCTTTGAAATCTACCTAGGTAGGCGATGTCATGCACTGAAATGTGCCATGATCGCATGGATGGATGGCGCATCGCATGGCGCCGCCGGTCGCGCGCGGTTGGCGCGGTACCCTGGGGGTTTGGGACGGGAGCCGTGCCCTGGGAGTCGAGACGAACTCCTTGGAGGTTTGTCCAAACTCCAAACTGTTGGAGACGGCCCCGCGCTGTTGGAGGGGCTAACATCGGACTAGAGGCTGATATACCCCTCATCGATGCTACGGAGGGGTAGGTGAGACAGACATCTGTTAGTGTCATCGATATGCCCCTCTGTGGTCTTTCTCGGTGCAGGTGCCCTATCTTTGGGCCCAGTTAGCGCTAAAATCAAGATCTGATTTAGCACCGCCCCAATTGGGCCCGCTTTGATTTTTGGAGCCGAACTTCCCATCGACATCCAGATCTGGACTCCAGTCCGCGATCCGGCGGTTTCCAAGTTCGAAGATTGATGAGGATGACGATAAAGCCGAATCATACATTTTCAAATAATGCAACGATCTTACCGTTGGGCATTCCCGGGTTGGCAGCTGGTTTGTGCCATGAGGGGAACCCTGACAAAAGTCTATACTAGATGTGATAGATAACACCACGTGAGATCTCGTCTGCCCAAAGGCGATTCGTGATCTTCCTCAGCGGCGCAAAACCCGCAAATGCACATCACCAAAATCGGTTACAACCACAACCAGGGGTGGGGGGGCGTGTGCAGTTGTTTTCGGGATTTTCTTATGAGATAGTGGAATACACTGTATGGAACCCTCAGCTTTCATAACTGTCATGAGGCTTCTCTCTTTGTGTCAACCTCGGAGGGGCATTGGGCTGGAGGTCACTCGGGTCAGGCGTGAGATTGGGTTGGAAAAGCTATGTCATTGTGCTGGTAGTATGTGCACGCCATCATCGGGTCTTGGAGCAAATGCCGAATACCTTGAGAAGAGCGAGGTGCTCGTGAGATGATACCAACGTTCAAATAATAAAGAAGAAAAAGCGATTGATCATATAGAGTCAGGTTGTGTTCTGTAATACCGAAAGATCGGGACAGCATTACGAAGTATTTTATTGTTCGTGCGTAGCGAATTGTCAGCGATGACGAGAGGAAGTCAGATGCTTCGCGAACAGAGCCTTGAGTGATGAAACTGGGTTGGAGAAAACAGAACGAGGGAGAAAATGAAGTAGACAATGGCTTGGAAATAGGACATCAGCAAAAAACATTGGCTTTTTAGCAGATTGTTGGAGGGTAGGCAGTATTGTGCACGAAGGCAAAGGGAGAAAAAGAAAGATGGGAAAAGGGGTGAAGAGGAAGTAAACAAAGTTCAAGGTACCTAAAGGTGGATAAGGCGATAAGAAGAAGGGATGAATAGTTCAAAAGCAAAAATAGAAAAGCTTATTAGCTGCAACTCGTTTCGATCGAGTGACCTCCGGGTTATGAGCCCGGCGCGCTTCCGCTGCGCCATGCAGCTTTCAAGTTGTTGAAAACATTTGATAGATTGTGGGCTCATAAGGTGGATATTGGTGGAGTATAAGGGGTCAGGTCTAAGGCTAGAGGTAGGGCGCAGGTTGGAAACCAAAATAGGAACGCATTGCAAGCTGAGCCTTGACTCACACTATGTAGGCGGTTTGGTAACTCACACAATTCTGTGCCTGTTTACGGTTTGCTATTGTGTCGGTGCCTTTGTTGGGGCTTAACCAGTACGCCTGCGACCGTGGACGACCATGACGCACATGCAGACAGTGGGTCATTTGAGGAAAGTATGACAAGATGTTGTTATGCGCGGAACAGTTTTCTTCATGTTATATTTAATTCAAGCGTTTGTAGCCATTTCTTCTTTCGCCATGTTCTTCAGTTCTGAGGTAGCGAAAATGTACTCATTCATTCACTTGAGATGATATTCTGTGCTGCCTGCTGAATCCTCCTCTTTTTGAGTCTTGCGGGCCGCCTACATGTACGTAACCTTTTATGTTGAGAGCAGTTTACATAGGCCTGTGAGAACCGTGGTGAGCGAATACGTTTCGTTATATGGGGTCGTCGTTCTGGGAAAACAGGCCCATACCATGTTTTTCATACGAATCGTGTTTCATAAAGACGTTGAGCACATTGATATAGTGGCCTTAAAGATGGGTCCGGTGCGCAATTTGAAGTCTCTCAAATTCTCATGTCAGTCTCAAAGTCGTCCCTTCCTACCTAGAGGTACCTTCCCTTCCCAGGCATCCCATTAACAGAAGGAAGCAGCCATCTCTTCCGAGAACATCCAAGGGAATGGATCGATAAAATTAGATGGCCAAGTAGTTCTTCACATATAGGTGTAGATGTAATTCTTCCTTTTCATCCGTGTTTGTGACTTCAGTTCAACTTCATTCGCCACCAACTTTCTGAACCTCCTCTGAAAACAGGTGGCTAGAATTCAACAGGTACTGGACGCCCGACTTCATTGTATGCTCTCCTTCAACTTAGTAACCTTTAGCTTACTTGCCTCAGCCTATGCCTGCGCCTTCCAACTGCCTGACAAACCATATTTATCTCCAGAAAACAGTTTTGATATTCTAGCATGGCTTGTCTGTCAGACTTGGTATATTGCCACTCGCGATTTCCCGCTGCGGAAGGCACGAAGTGCCGCTATGATAGTGGAAAAGTCCATCACTCTTCGACGACTGCGCCAAGGAATAGTGCAATCACAAAAAAAGTATACAGGCAAGACTTTGATGCTGTTTAACTGTCACGACAGCGTTTCTCTTCGATATATATTGTGTTTCGCAACATTCATCTCGTCGTTATCCCTCAGGCTGCTATCGCCTGTCCTTTACTTGCACCTCTAACCCTAACCCGCCAACATGGTTAAGGGGAAGATCTAAGCCATCGCCATATCACTTCCACATCACTTTAGCGTCAACACTCCGAAGATCTGCAAAACGAACTTGGGGCTACTTCCATGTCTTACCTGTTTCCAGTTTTTGTCTAGAACAAGGCTTCCACAGAGTTTGTCATATCTTCCCCGGAGGTCACGGATATGTGGTTCATCCGATCCACACCAACGAGTCAAGGTTCTTGTCTCGTTCATGCGCGAACATGTGGAATTCAGGGTTCTCAACTCCAATAACAAATCTAGCCTCATTTCTTCCGTCTTGTCTTTCCCATCCAATTGTGTGAATGGAAGTGAAGCCCTTTTACCTCCAATTTTTTGCTGCTCACCAGTTGGTTTTGCCCAACCTGCCCGCAAAGTCGACAGCTTGCTCGTCGCTTGCTGCTTGCAAACGATCACGGTGGGGATCTTGAGGTCGGTTGGTTTCCTCCATCACGATTATCTGACCCTCCCAAGACAAGCTGCTTGGGAAGCTGAATCACCTCCACAACTCCTCAATTTCGTTTGACCTTTTCCACCGCCCTTCTCCAGCCATCTCAAGGGAGACGGCGACCCATCACTCAACCACCAACAACAACCGTTGGTGACCCCAAGGTGAGCCAACAGACGACAACACAAAAGACCAGGATGATGGCTGCAGGCGCTCCAGCTCATCCACCCGAGGGGGGAGAGCGCAGACCATCATACCAATATTACAACAACCAGGAGAGCACTCTCCTGCCCGAGGTACCCCTCCTCACCGGCATCGACAACCTTCGGCTCTGGGAAGTAGCCGTCCTCGCCCATCTGCGCCACTATAATTTGGATGACAATAGCGAGGCCCGCGACCCTTCAACACCGCCAAGCGCGCGCGACGGCACCCTCTACCTATCATGGGACCACATGCAGAACAGAATCAAAGTCTACACGATCATCCGTCGCAGCATCTCCGACCTGATGTCGTTTCTCGAGAAAGAGTGTCGGTCAAACCCTTGGATCTCGCTCAATGATCCGACATACGATGCAAAAGGTCTGTACGAGCTTGTCAAGGAAGTGTACAGCCGACCTCCTCCACTCGATCCGCACCAGAGCCAAGACGACCTAATGATTGACCTGCTGATGCTGAAAGCCGTTAACTTCGGCACGCTCTCCGACTATCTGGACAGTTTCTATGCGCTTTGGTCGCGGCTGGATGTTAGTGGCCTCCAGCTCACGGACGATGTCCTCCTTAACTTCTTGATCAGTGGACTTGATGGGCACTACGACGAAGGTTGGACGGAGGACTTGGAGAAGCAGCGGTTGATGAAGAAGATTGATCTTCACGAGGCGTTGAACCTGGTCGGAATGAGGGTCTGCGAGGAGAATATGGTTGTTTTGCCGCCGGTCCCACCCAAGGATGATAAATACTTGAAGGGATCCCCGACTGAGAGCTCAAGTTCGTCGACGATCGAGCAGGAGAACAACATAGAGGTAAATACCTCCATGGACGAGTCGATCAGAGGTTGCTTCGGCCATGAGGATGAGCTCGAAGCAGACATCATGCGGAGACAGGAAGAGATGGCCGCTCATTTCAGAAGCCGAACCCTTCAATGGGCCGTCGAAAATGCCTTTCTCACATCCTGGTCCCTCGAGGACCTAGACCCCTTGTCAACCGAGCACGATATCACCACCGAGAACCGTAGAAGCGATGACGGTAGCCGAAATGTCAGTCCCACCAATAAGAAAGAGCGGAAACGCGGCTACCAACCTCTCTCTGATCTCATGGCCCGGTATATTCCTCTTCCTCTGAGTATCACCAGCAGAGGTAGTAGCCCGAGCACGATTGCGGCCAGGATGGACGCCCTTCGGATCGACGACAAGTCCCAAGTGGAACACAATGACTTCGAACCAAGAGACCTCCCGAGTCCACTTGCCAGCGATCAATCTGCCGCGCGGAAAGAGCGCCGCCGCCGCTTCCTTACCAGATTCACAGGCACGCCGACAAAGTCTTCGCCTGGTCCAGTTCGGGTGATGTCCTACCAAGAGGAGTGGAAGCCCAAGCCTCTGTTCTCGAGTCCGCGAAAGTTCTCGTGGGAGGATGGGGTTAGCAACAGCGAGCACGATTACGAGCCGACAGTGCTACGCAACACGCCCGAGCCGCAGGTGAGGAGGGATTTGCCGGACACTCCTGGCACTGGTGGCTCCGAAAAGCAGCAAAACGAGCAAGACGAGTATCGACTAGAAAAGCGACTTTCGGCCTTTTCGCCGGAGAAAGTGGTACAGAAGGCGGCGACAGCTGTTCGCAACTTTTCGAGGCCGGAGAGGCCGTTGATCAGGACTGCGAGCTTCTGAGCGGAGAAAAGGGACTCGAGAGAATTAGTTGACTGCAGGTGTTCTTGTTCTTCCCACTTACGAAGACATGGACAAGACAGTCGAGAACAGGCCTGGCTCCAGTCTGTCATCACCCACCAGACAAGGCCCTGATCCAGCCTACCAACATCGGCTGCTTTTTCTCTCCCAGTCCCCCCAGCTCACACCAACATTATAGCACTTTGACACATTGCTCGGGTATTCTTGCTCATTGCACAACACAATAATGAAGGTCAACGAAACAAGCCTCTCGCGAACAAGACGAAACCAACCAGATGTTATACCAGGAGGCACACAGCAAACAGCAACAACAGAGACATGAACGCCCAAACTCGAAACTGGGACAGCTAGGTAGCTCACTTCCAAACACTAGCACTCTCCACCCCGTCTCTTTTCCCCTCTTGGTACGTCTCACTCAACCCATTATACAGCCCCTTGACCCTCTCAATCTCCTTTTTCCACTTGTCCGTTTCCTCCGCTGAGAGCGCCGCCTCTTCCAACAACTCGATCAAGCTCCTCCCCACAAAGAACTTGTTCCGTCGATTGTACAACGGCCTGCTTTTCAGCGACTCCTCAGTATCCCCCGGAGCCTTGACCCGAAACACCTCCTCGAGAATCTCAATGTCGTACGGAATCGCAAACAGGTCGCGCGAGTCCTCGTACGTGAACAGGTAGTAGAACTCGTTGAAGCCGGCCCAGGTGATGCCCGAGAGGCAGAGCGAGCAGGGCTCGTGGGTGGCGAAGAAGATGGTGTCTTTGGTGGGGATGCGGTAGCCTTCTTTTTCCTGGTCTTGTTCTGGAAACGAGGCAGGAGGCAAGGTGAAATACTGCTGGATGCAGTTGATTTCACCATGAAGCAAAGGGGATTCGCGCTCGTTGTTGGTAGATACGGTCAGAGGCTTCAAAGAGGAGCGAGAGAGGATGGCAGCGCCGAAGAGCTTGGAGCCGGAGGAGACGCCGGCGCGGGTGAGGGGGATTATGCGCTCTTCAGTCAGACGGAGGATCGTGGAGAGGAGGGTTATGGGGTCTTTGGTGCTGGTCATTGCGCGTGCCTCGAAAGAAGGACTTGAAGTGGTAGATGCCATTTCGAAGGGCTTCGAAGGTTCCTTTGAAAGTTGAGGACCGAAAGGACGAATAGATCACTTGAAGACGGAACCAGTAATTGCTGGAATAATTAGTTAATCATAATGTATGAATTCAACAAAGAAGTGGAAGCTTTGCTTCAGTCCCCTTTATATCATCTCGTGGGGTGTCTGGGAGGTGTAAGTTTTCAGCTCGCGGCGTGAACCGATCCCCGGCTGTCCTGTCTATCGGATGGCGCCGAGATGCCAGAGGCACATGTAAATTTCCAGGGATAAGCGTCTATCACTCCCTTGGCAAGTTACTGCGATTTTGGCAGACCAGCCGCAGACTTGATTTAACAAAACACAACATAAACGTAATGATGATCGGAGGGATTGCGAGTGTCCAGTTGATGTCGTCGTTATCACGGCCCGGACTGCTTATCTTATCAAGGGCCGGGATCGGAATCCTGCCCCAGCACTGTGGAAGGTCGGGTCAGGTCCCTTAACGGCATGAGTGGACCCTAACCCGCTAACTGGTGGTGGGGTTTTTGCGGAGAGTGGCCCGTCGGGCGCCCGTCCCTGCACTGCCGTCAACTCTGCAGTCCGCAGCAGCGCTGGGGCTTCATTGCCGGGAGTTCTCTTGCCGGGACAGGAAATTTCCTTCTAGCTCTGTCTCCCCTGCCTACCCCGTCAACGACTCCAACATCCACGTCGATATCGAATTTCTCGACGACTTGTACGCTTCATCGCGCCATAGCGGACGGACGTCTTCACCATGCACTATATTCGATTTTGTCGACCACCTGTGTTGGAGCAGGGGAGGTCAGGGCTTAAAACACTGAAGCTTGTTCTCACCATCACAACCGACCTGAGCGACAAATTCCTTTGTCCTCATGAGCCAATCCAGCTTTCCATTATCGGAGCCGGCGCTCCAGCAAATCCACAAAATGGTCCGGTGCCCATCAACCTGACGCCAAAGAACCCTCCAACCTGGAGGGCCGGTATGCGTGTCTTGAAGGTCGATGTTCAACTCCCACCACAGCCAATCGAGACGGTCCAAGTCAGGCCAACCAACCGACAATTGGCGGCTCTCATCACCGACGACATCAGTTCTGGCACTGGAGCCGGCTTGATTCTTCCTGTCTTTGCGGATCTCGCACCTGGTCCGACTAGCCACATTTGCTTCCGGAGCTTGCGCTTGCCTGGCGGGACTGCGACACTTCAGGTGGAGGAGGAGATGGGTGAGAGCATGGCCCGTCATGTATGGGATGGCGGCCTCACCACCGCCTCCTTTGTTGCCAGCATGGTCCTTGGTCAAACGGCTGCCAACAGCAGCAGTACCACGGTGTCGTTGCCCATTTTGGCAAACATTCTGCAGCAAAACGACGGACCACTGAACATCATGGAGTTAGGCTGCGGTGTGGGCATCTTGGGCCTTGGTGTTGCGCGCATCTTGGGCGTTTCATCGCAAGCAACGGCAGAGAAATCGACCCTTCTCATGACCGATCTCCCCGACGCGGAAGAGCGGACGCTGGCCAACATTGTCCGCTCGGCAGACCAGACGGCCTGCACCGTGATGTACGAAAACTTGGACTGGAATGACGGAAAGGATGGGATATTTGGGCCCGAGGTGACGTCGCGGGCGTGGGACCTGGTGATTCTCAGCGACTGCACGTATAATGACCTGCTGCCCGAGCTGGTCAAGACTCTTTCCGCTGTCCATGCTCATTCTGCTCAGCATTCCGACCCTTCCAACACCAAGATCTTGCTTTCCACAAAGCCGAGGCATTCTGACGAGAAGGTGTTCTTTGACCTCATGTCAGAAGATGGATGGTCGATACAGGAGGAGGTCAAGCTGCCGCTCCCTGTGCTGAATGACGAGGCGCAGACTGTGGAGGTCTACTTGTTTTCGAAGAGCTAAAAACCGGCTGCTTGCTGTTTGGGCAATACGCCATCACCTTTTCCTGACGGACTTTTGCCATGGCTTCTCCTTTCCATCAGTAGGCGACTTTGTCAAAGAGCATCCGATTCACCCCAGACAAGCGCAGATCCATTGCATACATCTGTGCAAGCCATCTTTGGACGTGTGATTAGTCCGGGGCGGAAAGCATGAAGCAAACGTAACAGATATTTCCAACTGCTTGGCCAAGGAGGTCGCTTCTCACGATGAGCTGGCATCCAGGTGTAGAAGTAGCTGAGGTGCGCTGGTAGTGGGAAGCCCGACACGCATGGCAAAACTGCAGTCAAACGGAACTGGATGACCAATGTCGACCATGCTGTTTACCAATATCTCGAACCTTCTGGGCCTGCCTGTGATGGCAGTTGTGTCTTTGGGAGAAGCATCAAGCACCAACAGGGGAAACGGATCGTCATCATGGTCATCATTGTGGTGTTGGGAGCCAATGATGTCGAGGCCGTTGTGAGAGCTTGTCACCTCTCGAAAAGTGGGCTGATCAGGGGCTGCAAAACAAGAGATGTGCTGAGAAATACCTAATCTCTGATTCGCCAGTACCGTGCGTCCTCTGCGAAAGCCACCAATGAGAAGCAAGGCAGATCTGAATGACCCTGAAGTGCGGTCCGTCTGCCCCAACTGAGCCCATTGCAGCTCCGACAGGGCTTCCTATTTTGGGTGGTCGATGGGCCTTGACACAGCGGAAACCCCACTGTTGCATCCAGAGTATCGTTGTTGTTCAAGCAGTTGCATGTCCATGTTCGTCTGTGACATCAGCCGACTTTAGGATTTCAGATATAAGACTCGCTTCCTCCGTCTGTAGGGAAGTCTTGCACCTCTTGTCATCAAGATCCTCTACACCAACAACAACAATCAGAAGCTCAGCAACGCTCACGCTCATCTTCCACCACTACTCACCAACTTCAATACCACGAGTCAAGGATACCAACAAATTCGGAATACCGATCCGCGCCGTTGCCAAACTACCCAAGCAACTTCCATCATCAAACACCACAACAACAAACATCAACACATACCTCTACTTCCAAACTACCTATTCAAACATGTCTGCTCCTGTTGCGAAGGCCTCTACTTGCTGCGGCAAGAGCGCTGAGTGCATCTGTGGTAAGTCATTCCGCCTTGATGCTCTCGCTCTCAAAGCTCTGGTGCCTAGTCACCAGCGCAGTTTCCCCCTGTGCCCCTGATCTCCACTTGACTCCACGACGCGGCTCCATCACACTCCATCTTTCGGCCCATCGATCTTTGCCCTACCGGGCGGATCCCAACGAAAATCCTTTTTTTTCCATTTTTGCTTGCTTTTTGGGACGGAGAAGAGGCTCCATCTTTTGGCAAAGAGGTCACCCACGCCGCCAGTATCCGGCGCCGGCCCTTTTAATCTTTTGCTTTTCTCCACTGCTCCCACTTCAGGTTCCTGCAACCAAGCCCGTGGGACCCGTTTTTGGATGCCATTTCTTGACTTTGCATTACACTCATCCACCTAAAACACGAACCGCTCTGTTTTTCTTATCTTTATTTTGGATAGTCAACTGACGGGCCACCTACTTCAGCCAAGCAAGCCACTTGCTCTTGCGGCAAGCAGTCTGCTCTGCACTGCACCTGCGACAAGGCCAACTCCGAGAACGCTGTCGAGGGTCCTCGCTGCTCATGCCGTGCTCGCCCTGCCGGACAGTGCACCTGTGATCGTGCCTCGACCGAGAACCAGAAGCCCACGGGCAACGCCTGCGCTTGCGGAACTCGTCCTGCTGGTAAGCACACCTCTTCCCCAGAGATAATGTACACAGAACATTTGTGACTAAACATGCATGTTCTGAATAGACGCATGCACTTGCGAAAAGGCTGCCGATGGAGGCTTCAAGCCGACGGACCTCGAGACCGATTTCACCACCAAGAACTAAACTTCGACGAGAGCGCGCACTACTGGGGACGCTGTAGTCCTGAGGTGATAGAGAGAGATCGGCAGCTCAGCGCAAACTTTTCGTTTCTTTTCAACTATCTTTAGAACCATGATAACAGCACCATCCATATCGGCATTGAGCGGGCCAACAATATCAGGGAACGTGGTGGGACTTGGAGGAGCCGGCATTGTCAGCGGATGGATAAGGGACGGTATGGTCGCTGGCCGCAACGACGACATCCACTGGACCGGCCAGACAATACGGGATAATGTGTCGAGACGCTACACCACTGCAACTATTTCGCCTCCGGTGGTCGACCATGCTCTGGTTGCAGGAGAAGCCGATGAGGAACTGCTCGAGGGGAGTGAGCTGGGTAGTCTAATCCCCGTACTCAGCACCCCCAGCACGTTTCTTCGGCTTGGGATTCCGACCTTGAGCGCCCGGTACTCTCTCTTTCTCGGTTTCTCACAGCTCCTGTGGCAAGCCACTGCTACTTGGAGCATCTGTCACCGCATTAGGGCGATAGCGTGGCTGGCCGCCAAAGCCCCTTTCATCATCCTTGGGGACTTGTGGATCAACGTGTACGCCTCGATGAACTACGATCCATTTGCGAACCGAGGTTTCTCCCATGCTTCTCCAACTGGGGGACTCACCAGGTTTCAAATCTTGTTTTGGAACTGGACAAAATGGCTCAGATGCGATGCGAAGCCGTGGCTGGTGTCAGTGTGGGAGGATTTGAGGGGAATCTTGGTGCAGGGGACATCGTTCTTTAGCCGGAACACCAAAAAGAAGAGGAAGAAGTGGCGGATTCCTGGGCCGACGTTGCAAGGGATCGTGGCAGATACCAAGTCACAGCTCGAGCGCGAAGAGGAGGAAAAGGAATTGGAAAGGCGCAGGAAAGAGCAGGAGACAGCTGCTGACAATGGCAATGGCGGAAGTCGTCGAAAAGGCGGCCGTGGAAACGGAGGTAGAAAGCAAAGGAAATGGTAAATGCACATTTCTGAAAACTGTCTGTTCTCTGTGAAGTGCTCTTGAATGCTGTCCAGTTAGGAACCACTGCACATGTCTCTTTTGCCAGTGATCTGAATTAAATTCATCAGAGACATGCTCGTGATATGCCTGACAATGGCAGTAAAACTTTCGCCGCCATCGTTCGCTTCTGAAGCCTGACGAGGAAGCATGGGGCGGTTCCGCATGGAGCTCGGACCACCGGTTGAAGAAAGTCGAGCTGCCAAGAACCATTGTCAAAACGAGGAATCACCGTGTGGAGGGTCTGAACCACCCACCCAGCAGAGAGGCCGTTTCGAACATGGTTCAAGGGAACACGCAGACCACCAAGCAGCGTCATGTCAGTCCCGTATCTGCAGAAGCAGACAGGGACAGCGGTGTGTGGTACATCCTGGGGTACCTGAGCGACTACCGCAGACTGGGCGAAAATGCCTTTGCCTTTTCGTCTGAACATTGGACGACGACATCATGAATGCCTGCACTGCTATTGTGTGGTTTATTCAAGCGGCTGCAAGTCCATGACCGATGATCAATGGGACAAAGAACGCGTCTCGCACAGAAAGGTCTCTTTGTTGTTGTCCTGCTGGTTGCTACTGCAATGCGTCACTTGGCGGGTAGCGGCAGGGGGGAGGGGGGTCGGTACGGATCCGTTATTGTAACCCGAATTCCAAACAGAATTCGAGCATTCGGTTCGCTGCCAGCGAGCCATTGAACAGTGACGGGAGGTCAAATCGACTGAGTTGAAAAGCTCTGTTTCTGGGTTGACAGTGATGAGGTGAGAGGTGAATGGTGGTGGTACCTTATTGAGAGCCTCACTCTAACTATTGTTCATTGAAGCTTGGGATGGACCCACTTCCCTCACCGCGGCCGACGTCAAAAGGAGAGCGCAGCGTCCCGTCCAGTCGCGTCGATTTTTCTTTGCGACGCAAAGGCCACCACATCCCCCCTGGCCCCCTGGCTCAATCAGAAGTGGCACCAAATTCCTTTTGCTCTCCTGACTCCCGATCTCCGCCATTCCGCTTCCGTTTATTTCCGCACCCCCCCGTCAATAACAATCCCAACCTTTACCCAATTGCGACAGGGTAACCCTCACAACATCAACCCACTCTTGCGCACCTGGACCTCTTTTCGCTATCGCACAAAATTAACAACGCGTCTTTGCAAACAATTCAGCTTGCAACATCCTCGATATCACCAATTGTCCCCATTCCAGCTCTCAGTACTGCTTGGAATCATCCTCGAAAAAGAACCCAACCACCAAAAATCTCCTGACAGACTCACTTCACATCATGCCTCCCAAGAGAGCCGCCGCGACGCAGACCGCGAAGGAGAACGCGCCTGCCGCCAAAACAGCAACCAAGAAGACGAAGACCACTACTACTGTCACCAAGAAGACGACCGCGAAGGTCGCTAAGAAGGACGAGGAGGAGCCCAAGGCCGCGCCCAAAGCCGCCGCCACCAAGAAGACTGCTGCGCCCAAGGCTGCCGCGAAGAAGGCCGCTGCTCCCAAGAAGACTGCTGCTCCCAAGGCTGCCGCGAAGAAGGCTCCTGCGCCCAAAAAGGCTGCTGCCCCCAAGAAGACTGCTGCAGCTAAGAAGGCTGCCGCCGCCAAGGATGATTCTGATAAGGAAAACAGCGTCGCCGGCGCCAAGCGCAAGCGCGAGGAGGACGAGGAGGAAGAGGAGCAAGAGGAGCTTGCCGATGAGAAGCAGGTCAACGGCACTCGCCCCATGATTAAGAGAGCCAAGACCGACGAAGATGAAGCCGCGAAGCCCGCGCCCAAGAAGGCCAAGGCCGCCCCGAAGCCCAAGCCCGAACCCAAGAAGAAGCCTTTGGGCAAGGTGATCAACGAGGCGCCCACCAAAGTGATGGACATCTTTGTCTTTGGTGAAGGCACCTCGGGAGAGCTCGGTCTCGGCAGCCTGAAGTACGACGGAAAGAAGCCCATTGACGTCAAGCGTCCGCGCATTAACCACAACCTTAGCGGCATTGTTCAGGTCGCTTGCGGCGGCATGCACGTCGCTGCGCTCACCAAGGACAACAAGATCCTCACTTGGGGCGTCAACGACCAGGGCGCTCTTGGCCGCGACACGACTTGGGACGGTGGTCTGCGCGACGCCGATGCGGAATCTGACTCCGAGGATGAGGACGACACTGGCCTCAACCCCAAGGAGAGCACGCCTGGCGAGATTGACACCACGGACGTTCCCGAGGGTACCGTCTGGGTTCAGGTCGTTGCCAGCGACAGCGCTACCTTTGCCTTGACCGCTACCGGTCAAGTTTACGGATGGGGTACTTTTAGGGTAAGTTGATTTAATGTCGCGACAGTTCTCATCACACCCGTTGTACCGATACTAACTGATTTCTACAGTCAAACGAAGGCATTCTTGGCTTCACCAGAAATGTGCTGATTCAGAAGACGCCTGCCCTCATCACCCAACTCAGCAAGATCAAGCAGCTCGCCGTCGGCTCCAACCACGTTCTCGCCCTCGACGAGAAGAACAAGGTCTTCGCCTGGGGCGCCGGCCAGCAAGCCCAACTTGCGCGCCGCCTGCTTGAGCGCGACGAAAACGGCGCCCTTTTCCCCGCCAGCATCGGCACGCTTCCCGGACGCGCCAAGGCTGCCAAACTCGCCTGCGGCTCGTACCACTGCTTCATCATCGATACCAAGGGCCGGGTGATTGGCTGGGGTCTTAACAACTACGCGGAACTGGGCATCGAGGCCGAGGCCGGCACCGATGGCGGCTTCATCCTCAAGCCGCAGCTGGTTGATTCGCTCAAGGAGCACAACATTGTCGATATTGCCGGTGGCGAGCACCACTCGCTCGCGACCAACGACAAGGGCGAGCTGCTGACGTGGGGCCGCATCGATGGGCACCAAGTCGGCCACCCGTCGGGGTCGTTCACTGAGGAGAACACCATCTTCGACGAGAAGGACAAGCCCAGAATCCTGGTCCAGCCCGCCGTCGTGCCAGATATTGAGGGCAAGATTGTCCATGTGGCCGCCGGCACCGATCACAGCTTCGCCATCACCGAGGACGGCAAAGTCTACTCGTGGGGCTTCTCGGCCAACTACCAGACCGGCCAGGGAACAACAGACGATATCGAGACGCCCACGCTGATTGACAACTCGGCGATTCGCGATCGCAAGATCATCTTTGCTGGCGCTGGTGGTCAGTACTCTATTCTTGGCGCTGAGCCCAAGGAATAAGGAAAGAAAGAGACAAGGACGACGCCAGACAGACGATGAATACGTGAACGAATGGGTTGAGTTGGGAAGTGTAAGAAAACACCAAACAAAGAGAGCGAAAAGCTTGAAAGAGGTCGGGAGAAAGAAACGACGTTTTGTTTTGCTGAGCAACAATGGTCCCAGTCACGGACAGAATATTTTGTTTCAACTTTTTCACAAATGTTCAGTTTCACTGGTCACTGGCTTTGGCACTGGCCTTGGATCAAGGTCTTCTGGTCTGGTCACAAACTCATCAAAAAGCAAGCGGTCCGGAGCAATTTGTTTGTCGTTGTTGGGTTTGCCTATGTGGCAAGGAGAGATTAGGTTGTGTGTTGGTGTTGCTATTATAAACTGCTCAAGGGCGTTCCAGTGAGGGAGGGAGGGAGGGTTGGGGCGCTCGGCAGGCTGGTGTTTTTTGTTTCCAACATTTTTTGAACTGTTATTTTTTTTTGCGTGGTACGAGTTTTTCATAGGCCTCTTGCTAGCAGCTGTCATTTTCCGTGCTACAACCAGATTTATCATGACAGAGGGGAGTTTCGAGAGCTCTTTTTATTCCAACGGATGAACGGAATATAGTGAAATGGAATGGATCTTGGATCTAATAGATATTATGATGATCAAACTCTTTTGCATTACGTTCAGTTTCATGTCCACTATGCTTTTTCATCCACCCCAGCCAAAAAAGCAAAAGGCAAAAGGTGCATTGTTAGTGATTTGATTTCTTTTGTATATTTGATACCCAGTAGTAGGCACACTGGACACCATTTCAGCCAATCAACCAACCGACCCAACCCAACCCAAGCATACATACATATATAACCCCATCATTACCCAAGTAACATCTACGACCCCCTATCCCACTAACCCCCCCCATTCATTACCAACTTTTTGTCCACCCTCCCTTACACACACAGACTACACACACAACCTCATCACAATGAAGAAGCCGTTCCAACCTTGGCAAACGACCCACTCCCCTTGCTGCTAAACACGCTCATGATGCCAAACCCCACATAAAACAGCGCAAGCGGGTACGCCACCAGCGCCCGCATGCTCCGCATCCTCGACACGGCGCAAAAGATGCCGCTAGCCGAGTAGGTCGACCACAAGATGGCCGCGCTCGTCAGGACGATGCCGAGGGGTGTATCCATGGGCATCACGATCCCGACCAGACTGGTGGCCACGAGCGGGAGCAGGCAGTACCCCAACACCGAGGCGGAGCGGGCAAAGGTCAAAGTGGAGCGACCGGCGCTGTGGTCGTGGTCGGCGGCGGACATGGAGGCGGACGAGATGGAGGTTGCGGACGGGCCTGGGTAGGACGAGTAGGCTTGTGCTGGGGCGCCAGGGCCAGCCGGGCCGGAGGCAGAGGCGGAGGAGGAGGGAACACCGGCCGAGGGAGCCATTAGCGAGAGGATGACGTGCAGGCTGATGGAACCGAAGAGGGCGAGGCCGTAGATGTAGCCGAAATGGACGCGGCCGGATAGGAGGAGGAAGGTGCCCATGAGAAAGAAGAAGAGGACGGGGCCGGCCATGTCGGAGTCGTCCATTAGGTGTTGGTCGATGCGGCCGAAGGGGTTGAGGACTGCTAGGGTCTGTTTTTGATTTGGGGGACTTTAGTTAGTATGCCGTCCTTCCTAGAGAGCTGGAGGTGAAGAGAGAGAGGAAGAAAGAAGATAAGCAAAACAACTTACCTTTGATCGAATATGTCCAAAGTTAACGCCCAGCTCCTCCAGCAGAGGAGGCTCTCCCTCGTACCCTTCCGTCGAAAAGGCCGCCAGCCATCCGGTCCTCAGTCCGCCCTGCTCGCCCATGCGACCCGAAACGCCGCCAGCCGCGCTGCTACCGCCAAAGCCCGAGGAGAAGCCACCGGTTCCTACGCCATAGCCACCAGACGACGAGGGCCCGCCGTAGCCGTATGCTGCTTGTGAAGGTGTTGCGTGGCCGGACACGGGCTGTGTGTATGAGGAGGGGTAGAACTGGAGGTTCTGGGCGTTGGAAGGGGCGTAGCCCTGGTTTGGCGGTGCGCCGTAGTATTGCGACATGGTTGGTGATGTAATCGGCGTGGTCCGCTCTCGTATGTGAGGGAGTGTTGTGGTGGTTGAAAAGTTGTCGTCGTTCTTCCCCGATCGTCAACAAGGGGGGATTGTGAATTCACAGGGGCTGATGTTACCGAGTATGTAGGTACCAGCTGACGTAGGCGCAAACTGTCAATAATAGCTGCACTTGAGCGCCCGTCGTTTCTAATGCGCGTTCGTGGGGTGTGAGAACAGCGTCGGAAATCGATGATGGAGATTCAATTCGGTGGAGAAAGTCGGAAATCAACGAGCGTGAGTGTTGACAGGAAAAAGGCCACGGCAAAGTCGAAGAGTCGTGATGATGTTGCGTTGCGCTTCCTTTTCAGATGTCAATTCGTGTCAAAGTCGTGGTGGAAGTGGAAGCTTCCCTCTTGAAACGGTTGGCGGCCAGCTGCTCGGGCCACTTGTGCTTACATACCTAGGTAGGTTCAGTGTTTACTGCAGCGTTCAAACACTGTGGTTCAGTGGTCCAGGCCCCTGTGAGTGGGGGCTTCTGTGGTGGGTTGGTGCCTCAGGCGTCATCCCGCCCGTCCAGAGGCACGGCAGTGTCACCTCACAGTCGTCACACCCGACCCGTTGCAGCGTGCAGCAAGCAGCCCATGTCATTGACAACGGAACAGGTCAGCACAGGACTGGGGCAGGCAACAGGTACGTACCTCTACTGCCTGGACAGGCTGCCGGAAGGATGCCAAGACCCTGCCGAAGAATTTCCGGCAATCGGCGGTCCGGCCCATCTCTTGTCGGCTCAATTTTTTGAAGTTGGCGGCGCCGTCGTTATCGACGGGACCTGGACGGTTCGTTATCCATCGATTGATCTCCATCTCCATTCGTGTTACGGCATCCGACAACTTCCCCCCCAAAGTACCTCTGCATCCGCGACGCAGACACCCATCTGCCAACCCAGTCCATTGCTAGCCACTTCGGCGGCCAGCTCCATATAGTCATAATGGTATGCTTATTATTTTTTCCTTGTTGTTGAACAAAAGTTGCGCCACATTGTCTGCTTGGTTGTTTGGTTGGTTTGTTGCTATGCACAACCGTCTATTCCCGAGTTCCCGGACTTGACTGCCTTTCACATACTTAGTAAACACAAGTTAACTAACAAAACCTTTTTTCCAACCTCTCTAGGCCTACCGTCTCATCACCCAAGTGGTCGTCGTCGGCTCGCGCGTGCTCGGCCGCGCCTTCGCCGAGGCCTACAAGCAAGCGGCCGCCTCCTCGCAGTACCAGCGCGCGCAGCAAAAGAACGGTAACGCTGCTACCGGACGCGCCAGCCTGACCAGCGGCATGACCCTCGACGAGGCGTGCAAGATTCTCAATGTCAACAAGCCTGCGGACGGCACAGCGGCCAACATGGAGGAGGTGATGGAGCGGTTCAAGCGCCTGTTTGACGCCAACGACCCGGAGAAGGGCGGCTCCTTCTACCTGCAGAGCAAGGTCGTGCGGGCGCGCGAGCGCCTCGAGGCTGAGATTAAGCCCAAGATGGAGGAGAAGCAGGCCGAGGAGGAGGTCAAAGAAGGGTGGAACCCCAAGATCTACAAGGATCGGTGATCGTCACGCGGCATGACTGAACAGACACGTCTCGAGAACTGGAGATGAGAAATCTTTCCAGGAAGGACGGCGGCGGCGGCGGTGGAGTTGGTGGTGGTAGCGGCGGCTTGGTGGTGTCGGGGATGGGGACGCTGCACATATTCGGCACGCACATGCACACACGCAGCGGAAGTTGATGGAAGGGGGAGCTACGGCTGACTGCTACTGCGGTCAAATCGATTGTTGCATTCCCCCGTTTTTACACGATGATACGACTTGGCGACGGAGAGAACGAAACGACCAGCACACGATAACAATGCTTTTTCTTCTTCTCCCTTCCATCGTCCTCCGTTCCGGGCCAGTGCCGCCTTGACATACGTTCGTTGGATACCGGCGGTTGGCAGTCAAGGGGTGACTAGGAATGCCACCGTCCGCCCGACCACGGCCAAAGATCACCGCCCATTCTCCAGTCCCGACTTGTACAAAAAACACACAGACATAAAAACAAAAACTCTTCACTCGACTTCGGCAGGCCTGGCGTTCGCGGTTAGGAAGGACATATACAGGATTCGGCAAAAGACAAGGGATAGCGGTTTGCCGGATGGATGGATGGTTGTTGTTTCTGCATATTCATAGCGAGAGAGAAATGGCAGGGGTCATTTGGCCCCTACCACGTGTAATTCTATCACTTCTGTACAAAATCAAAACATGAGTGGACGAGGTATTGGCGTGAGTCTTTATGTTGTATCTCGCTATGAGTTCATGAAAGCACTGGTAGCTACACCAGGTACCTCTAGGTAGGTAACTTTGACTATGTACTCTCGTCATGGCTTTACATGTTGGAAAGGCTGCACTCTATTTGTATCTCTTATGACAATAGTGGTACCAACGGTATCCAGTGTCTACATCTGCAACTGCAACGCTTGTTGTATCATAACGCTCATGTGCCATCTACTCTAACCTCATATACCATGTTTCGCTGTTCTTTTCTGAAATGAATTCCTCGAAAAATGCCAACCAAATTCTAAAGAGAATGCAAACCTGGCTGTGATGGTACCAAACTCTGACAACTTGTTCCATCGGCTCAAAATGATTTCCGAGCAAAGAGACTTGCGCTGACTGCAGCAAGGTACCAAGAAGTTCAGGCATGATCACCCATACCACCAGTATCCCGGGTGTGGGACACGGCTCGTTCTGCCCGGCGAAGTCACCACGATGGCTGGGATCAACTGGGCTGGTTTCATGTCGGGAGTGATTCTCGCCTTCTTGGGAGTCGTTGCCGGAGTCTCAGGAAGCTCAGTAACAGTCACGGTTACCTCAGGTGAATATGGTCTCTTGAAGGGCCGAGACTGAACCGATAGAGGCCCATGAAATGTCTCAGCGGAAGGAGACATCTCAAATACCCCATTGCTGTGACCGGGAGGTTGGGCGAACTTGGGAACCGAAACAGAAATAGGAATGTCAGTGATTTTCTGCTAGACCTTCCTCTTGATCAGTCCCTTCCAGTAGTCGAACCCGTTCTCGTCGCTCTGCAACTGGAACATTGTACCCGTTCCCTTCCACGAGTTCAGTTCGATGCCGTCCTCCATGACCTCCTCGGCCACCAGAAGGCCTTGGTCCTTGGTGATACCCAGTACGCGGGCCTTCACGCCGTCTTCATCTTCAAGGGTGACGATCTGGTTGGTATGCAGCCAATGCTTGTAGTACAAGGCTTCCACCTCGTCCGAGAAGCCCTTCCGCAGGAAGTGGTCGTAGAGGATCTCGAGGCAGATGACAATTCTGGCCACCAGGCGTTCTATGTTGAACGGCGGTGGAGATGGCTTGTCGCCTTCTAGCATGCTAGCAGTCCACTTAAGAAGTGCATCGAGACTGGTCGTGGGTTGGGCGTTGTTCGTGTTGAGTCCGATGCCGAGGACAACCTGATAATTCGGAGCGCTGTAAGAACAGTTGGCGAGGATACCGCCAACTTTGACGTAGGCTGGCTCGTTGGGCTTGCTCGGGTCTCGAACGTAGATGTCGTTCGGCCACTTGATCTTGACGTCCAACTTTTGGTAAATGTCATCCTCGTGGTCGTATCCCTTGATGGCCTCGACGATAGCAATTGCCGCCAGATAATTGAAGAAGCCTAACGGGCGTGAAGCAATTACATTCGCTGAGTGGTTGATGACCGTTGACATTATCAAGCAGCCGGCGGGGGAGACCCAGACGTTGTTGCCCCGGCCACGGCCTGCCACCTGGCGAGTGGCGGTAAAGGTGAAGCCGGACTCTAGTTTGGAAAGAAGCTGGGGGTTGCTGCAGCACGATATCAGTGTCTGGTTATGTGTACAGAAGTGTGCCTCCTCTTACCTTGAGAGCAAAGTATTAGTACTCGTGACAGTGTCCCCATACATCAAGTGGTTGCCCCAGCTTAGGGTCGGACACCATGCGCCATGTGTCCCCAATGCTTGCTTCCATGTACTGAACCCACGGCTGGATTCAAGCGTTCTAAATTCTTCCAAGCTAGCGTAGTAAATGTCGTGGTCAAACTCTGTGCCTGACTCGTCGTCCCCTTGGCCTGCTACCTTAGAGCCAACATTGAGTCGCCAAGTAATTTTGTCAGACTTTCGTGGTTCGTAGTTGGTTGAACATGAGCCGTCAGTAGTCCACTCGAGATGGAACATATCCGATCCGTACTTATCCTCGAGCCAGATGCTCCCATCAGTTATGACCGCATAGCTTCGCCCCGTGAGGCGGTTTAGGAGGGACTCAAGGTGCCCTCCCTGGCAGTAGATGTTCAACATGGTCGTTAGTCGGGGAATATCATCCCATGCAGCCTTGGGAGAGAGTGACAGCCCCATCTTGCTGAGACATGCCGCAAGGAATTCCAGTCGTGCACTTTCGTCCGCCGTCACCTCCTCTACAAGCTTGTCGTAACCCGGGATGTCAGGCTGCGATTTCAAAGAGGTGCCAGAGAATCTGAGCTTGTGTCAGCAGAAAACCCCCAAGGTAGTTCAAAATTAAAGTTCGCGGCTTACTCTGGGTGTGGTCCTGTGAGTATGGCTTTACCCTGACCAACCTTGCAAAATACCACAGCAGCCTGTGTCTTACCAGACGGGAAATCGATACGGTCTGCATATTCGGCAAGGATTTCGACCCCGTCGGATTCCATCGCCTCGGCATTGAGGAAGACTCCGCCTCCATTGTAGTACGATTTGAAGACATCAGGCGGCGCTTGGCCACCAGTGAAGGCTTCCTTTCTCACAGAAAGTTTGGCAGCCTTGGCGCCCATTTCACAGTGGTATTGGAATCCCTTAAAGGCAGGACCACCGCAAGTGCCCGGGAAGAAAGCCAGCTCTCTCGGGCCCTTGACATCCTGGCTTGGGTCATCGAGCTGAAACCAACACTGGCCGCTGCCATAGTAGCCTCCGGCGCAGAAGCCCAAGTAAGCTCCTCCGTTGCGGACGTAGTCGGCAATGACGCGGTTGCCGGGGCCGTTGAGGTCGCGACAGAAGGGGAGGTCGGCGCCACCAGGAAAAACCAACAGAGCACAAGTTGACTGCCAGGGTTCGGTCTTGAGAGTCGATGCTGTTATGTGGGAAACAGCATATTTGGATCCCACGAGACGCTTCAGGGACTGGGTGCATTGGCGGAGACATTCGGGGGTTACTCCCGCTCCTGTATAAGCCGTTAGTCAACAGCGTCATGGAATCTCAGTTGAGTGTCAGAAGACGGGCGATCTCACCTGCGTAGATCAGGACATTGAGTACCCGCTGGTCAGTTTTCAGGCGGGTAGCCATGATTGCCGTGAAGACAAGAGAAATTCGAGTCTTTAGGTAGTAAGTTTTGTCGCGCTTCTTGTGTTGAAAAAGGTGTGAGATGAAGATTGAGGGACCCCGTCTGTAGGAGATACCGTCGTGGGTACATACGTTGTTGGGGTTCCTGTTGTGCTAGCTGTTAGTGGATTGTTTCAGGGCTACTTGCGCCCTTTTCCGGCACTGTCACCGTGCCTTCAGTTCACAACAATCTAAACACAACCTAAACTGGAAGGCACTCGTACCAGCAAAGACTCAGGAACAGCCGATACCTCTCTACTGCGCCAACCCGAGAAAACGAGACTCAACTGGAGGAGAAGGAGAAAGGAAGCGGTTGAAAATGGCCAGCAACGACAAAGTGCCCGATCAAAGACCGTCTGCGAGTGCTGCTGCTACTGCCGGCCAGCAAGATGACGAGCCAGATGAATGGTAAGAGCCCGATTTATATGAGGTGGTTTCTGCCGCCCGGTGCCCCCCCCCCCAACACTCAACAAAATAACGAGCAATGGCCGCGGAGTCCGGACGAAAGGCATCACCTGCAGACACTACTTATGCCTTAGCTGTTCCTTCCTTCCCCTTCCTATCCGGCTCCTTTTGGAGGTACCGTTCCTCTGCAGGTCCGGACCGTTCCTTTACTGTTTTGTGGGGTAAGCTTGCTGACATTGACTGCCACGGGCGTTACAGGGACAAGCGGATCTTCAGCACTGGGTGCTCCGGTAAGACCTCCTGCCACACCAGCGAGATTGTTCACTTGTTTCTGGGAGTGAAGTTCACTGTTCTCTAACTAACCTCCACTTGTCCTTCGCACACCACAGACGAGAATGCCAGGTTGACCGATTGTTACTATGAGAAGAAGGATTGGAGGTTGTGCAAGAGCGAGGCAAGTGAGAATCTTGGATTTGGAAAATGTCAAAAGGCACCACTCATCGCTAATACGTGCCCGGATCTTGAACACAACAGATGGAGAGATTCAGGCAGTGCTGGAAGCTCCAGGGCAACGATAGGCGTACGGACACCAAGGATGTATGATCAGGTTATTCCTTAGGTACCTACCCAAGTAAAAACCGAAATCAGAACTCTCCTCTCAGAAAATTACAGTTTTCAAGTTGATGTCGAGTCATCACTGTGTCTGGAAGGGGCTGTCGTGAGAACTTGCCTGTAGGGTACCTACTTGAGGATAGAAATCGACATCACTACAGTAACATTTGACTCAATTGGCCCAAGCTCCCTCCTCGGGAACAGAAACCGACTGGGTCTTGACTTGGGTGGAAATCTCCGCGTTTACTCGCCTCAGTGCCAAGCCCTGCTGCATGGGTCGTCCTTACGTCGTGCCTGCTTTTGCGCCCCGCCGTCTACAGTAGATACCTCTGCTTCTGCAAATAATCCCGGCAGCCCGAAATTTTTGCAAAAGGGGGGGTTTTGCAAAAGAGGGTAACCCCATATTAAAAATATTAAAATTCTATATATTTTTACTACTTTCTACATTACAACATCCCCTCAATCGTAACTTACGTTTTTCATAAATTTCTCCATCCTTTAACTCGCTATTTCATCCTCCTTAATTATTATACTTTATTAAATTCAAAGCAGTCCTTTTCGAGAGCCCACTCTAGTATATCGCCAATGTACTACACTACCTCCTTGCTTAAAATTGTAACTAGAAGCTTGAAGTTACAGTCATTCTCCTCCTCTTCTACCGTCTTTGTAACGGGTCTGCCAGAGTATTGCACAGCGAGCAGTCGTGTAATGGTTGAAATGCTATATTTAACAAAGAGAGTAAAAGGAAGACTGCACTAGAAGGGTGCAGTCTGGAGAAGGTTTTGTGCAGGGTGCTAAGACTGTACGGGCTAGGTAAATATGTAGATCCGACCAATTAGAAGGTTCGCATCTCTATTAATACGGGCCGGTCCCGGCTTAGTAGACTTAGTAAAGCTGAGTCTTTAATCCAGAGCGCTAGCCCTATAACAGTCTTATTATTACTATTTTCTACTTACTAATCTATAATAATAGATTTAAGTACTTCCTCTACTATTTTTAGCTCTATAAGTACTTCATTCTTATTATTGGAGTTAAGAAAGTTAAATAGAGTTATACAATTTCGTATAGGGACAAAATTATTAATTCGCTCAAAGAGGGTATTTATATTTATTAGCAAGTCCTCAATAACTCCAATTAGTTCTTAACTATTATCGACAATAGTAGATTTAACCCAATAGTTTCAAATAATATTAGTCTTGACTTCTAAGAACCAGATTTGTAATGCCCATTTCAGAGCAATCCTCAAATTTATTTCAAATATATAATTCTTGGCAGTAGAAGTTTCTATAAATTAATAATATATTTAATATAGAAAGGAATAATGATGGTAAGCTTTAAATATATTAATAATACCCTAATCCATTAGTTAATACAATAGAATAACGTTAGATAGTAGGAATCTAACAATAATATTAGAAGGAGGGGGCGTTAACTTAATACTAAACTAGTAAGTAGAAAAATTATTAAAAAATAAAAAAATTTATTATCCGGGTTTTCTATAGTTAATATACATATAAAAAGACCGGAGTTACTCTTCTATAAATTTTCTAATTATCTACACCTTATTGTTGCTTCACTAAACAATTCGTATAGTAATAAAATTAAACCCACATAAAATATAAGGTTTTTTAAATTTACCGATAGCCTAAATATTAAAGAATTTATTATTAGTATTGCTAATTGTAAAGGTAAGTAAAATTTATAATTTGTTTTTCTTTATATTAGGGCGCATTTTTAAAGCGAAGTAATAAGATATAGTCTGCTACTAGTATAACCCCATCTCATCTATATTATACCAATTACCTTTAGGAATAATAATAATAAGAGTTTATATTTCCTTTATTATTTAACTTATCTTATTATTATCTTTAAGTGCTTTAATTACTTCACTATAGAAGGCACACTCGCAAATATAATACTACTCTCTAAAAAGGCTATACTACTTCTTTCCAAAAGAGGGGCATATATTTTCATTAGTAGGTTCGTTATTGTAGGCTTTAGGGTACCTTAACCAAATCTCGCATGCTTTCTCCTATAAAAATTCAATAAAAATACCTATATCTTGTAATTCTAAACCCTTCTACTAACAGAAGAATAAAGTCTCAAAAACTAGCCACTTCCTAACTCTCACGCATAATACTCGGAATTGTGTAGAAGGCTCATTGGTTTAAATAAGTAAAGTAAAGTTCTTCTTTTTATCAAAGTATCGAGAAATAGAGTAAAGAAAGATATTAACACTCCATTTTACTTAAATCTAGTAGGCAGTATAGGTAAGAGATGGGCGAGATTTGTAGCGGTTAGCCTACTCTTATAATTATAAATATTAGTCCTAATTTAGGGAGGATTATTTATACTTAGGTATAGCGCTAAAAATTATTTCATTAGAAATAAAATTACTAATAAAAATATATAGAGAGTAAGTCTCTTATAAACAAAGTAGGCAAAATAGTAGGCGGGCAGACGAAGGTTGGGTAAAAGAGTATTGGGCAGGTAGTTAAATGTGGGTAATAAAGTTATAAAATTAGGGTATTTTGAGTATAAATTAGGGTATTAGAGTACTAGCTAGGCAATTGGGTACTGAAATCTAGAAAATTCTAGACCCTAACCCTAAAATTGACGGACCGTCTACAGCTGTCAGAGGCCCACATTGACCAATTAGCACCCCCCTTTTTGCAAATCTGGGCCGTCACGGTTGCAAATAGCAGTTAGCAATAATCTACACCAGAGGGAATGCGGGCAACCAGATTCTATAGCAAAAGGGGGGGTTTTTGCAAAAGGAGGGGGTTGCAAAAGGAGGGGGTTGCAAAAGCAGGGGTATCTACTGTACTCGTCCACCATTTTCTGCAAGTCGCATTCACTTCAGTTTGTTTACACATACAATTCCATTCCCTTCAGTTTTCTCTTCCATTCTCGGAACAAACCACCGAATCAACAACAACAAAAAAAATCATCCACCACCGCGCACTCGAACTATAACACATCTACCTCGCTTGCCTCGCCTTCGAAACATCTGCGTTAAACAATAACCACAACAAACTTAGAGATGCGCTCTCAGGCTCTCCAGGCCGCCTGCCGGCCTCTGCGCTCGCCCTCTTCCACCCTCCAGACTCTCGCCGCCTTCCAGTCACGGCCCATCACAACCTCGAGACCCAAATCCGCAACCGGCACATACACTCCCAAGTCATACACTCCCTCCAACAACGCCAGGAAGCCCGTTGCATCCTCGTCCACATCCAAGCCCGCCGGCATCAGCACTCCCTCCGCAAAGCCTTATTCCCCTGCGCAACAGCAGCAGGCTTCCGCCACTGATATCGAAGAAACTCCCATGCCCGTAGTCCTCGACCCACAGGCCGCTCAAGTCCCTGGCGCTACCCTCGAGGATGTCGACCCCGAGCTTGCGGCGCAAATTCCCATTCCCAGCAGCAACAACGCCAGCAACAACGGCACTAAGAAGGGCGCCTTCACTGCTGCCTTGACAGGCAACGGTGCTAACAGCAACGCTAACGGAAACGGCGCGGCCCAGAAGACGATTGACTGGTCCTCGTCCTACCACGGCTTGTCGACGGAGGCTTTCAGCCCCGAGGTCGCCAAGATCCTGATGCAGCCGCTTGATCCGCTGGATGTTGAGGTCAAGCCGGATGGAATCATTTACCTGCCGGAGATCAAGTACCGCCGAATTCTGAACCAAGCGTTTGGACCCGGAGGATGGGGACTGGCGCCGAGGGGGGAGTTGGTGGTGGGGGAGAAGGTGGTGACGAGAGAGTATGCTTTGATTGTTGGTGGTCGGTGAGTTTCATCCCCTTTTTCTTCATTTCTCTACTTTATAATGGAGTGGTCAAGCTAATAGACTCTTCAAAAGCTTCGTCGCCCAAGCCCGTGGAGAATGCCAGTACTTCTCCGAGGAGACAATACCGACGGCCGGAGAGGGTTGCAAGTCTAATGCTTTGCTGCGGTGCTGTAAGGACTTGGGCATTGCGTCAGAGTTGTGGGATCCGCGCTTCATTCGCGAGTTCAAGAAGAAGTACGCTCATGAGATCTGGGTCGAGCATGTGGTCAACAAGAAGCGCAGGCAGGTGTGGACCCGCAAGGACGCGGATCCTTGGTATCCTTACCAGGCTGTCAAGAAATAAGCGGCTCGAGATGACGGGTGAGAAAGGAGAGGTCGGGAGCTTGGATTGGCATGGCCTCTTTTTTTCTTGACGAACCAGGGAAGGGAGTGTTCAGAAAGGGATAGATGGTTGAACGGACAGTGGGCGATGTTGGACATTCACTCACTCGAGGCACCGCCCTATTTGAGAGCTGTGGACGGCTGATTGTCTTTCACGGACTTTGTTAGAGTACAGAACTAAATACTTTTCACGACGTTGCATTGCTGGTTCGGGAAAAAGATAACATGCTGGGGAAAGCATGGCGGGGCATGGATCACACTGTACAATACGTTCAAGGAGTTACTGGTAGCACATGAATCTCATCTTTGGGCAAGAGTCCCACCCATTCAGCAGCCGTCCAGGGCTGACAAAAAGTGACGAGGAACAAGCTGACTGGATATTTTTACACAACGAAAAAGAACAATGTACCAAAATCATCAAATCGACCACCCCAAGAACGCCAATTTTCAAACCAAGCCATCCGATTTCGACCATCTCGAGCTTCAACTCAGTCGCAACGCGTTACACTCACTGGCAACCATCACCATTCTTACAGCACGAAGACATAGAACCGCCAGCACCATTACCCGCCCCACTAACCCCCTTACCATCCACTTCCTTCGGCACCTCAAAAGCCAACTTGCTCAACTTATCCGCCGCATCGTACACGCCCTGGCCTTTCGCCAGCAGCTGGCTCGGCGTGCTCGCATAGCTGGGGGGCACATCCAGCACCGGGTTTCGGGCAAAGAAGTTACGCGGGCGCAGCAGCAGGGTCATGGGCTCGACCGGCATGACAGGAAAATCCTCGGGCGTGGGGAAGTGGGTGACGCCAAAGGTGTGCCAAACAACGACGTTGGTGTTGTCGATGGACTCGGTACCGTCGCCGATCCACTCGGGAAGACCGCGCGAGGGCTCGCCTGAGGTTTGGGGGACGTGTCGGCCAGCAGGCCAGAGTTGGTCGTCTCGGTCTATGGTAGCAGGGAGATTTGTCAGTGATGTGGGTCTTTATAAGTTAAAAGGGGGAAAAGGGGTGTTTTAAGGGCTTACACTTGGTAACATGGACCGAATGGCGAGCAAAAGCAGCACGCTTCCACACCAGCGAACCCTCCTTGGGCAGCAAGGTAGGCACCTCGCGGCTTACGAGTTTGTAGCTCACCGGCTTCTTGCTGTACGGGTTCAGTTTGTTGGGGTTGCAGATCTCCCAGGTGCGCGAGGTTTGGGCGATGTAGTCGGTCTTGCCTTCGCCCGTGGTGGCCAGCTTGGCGCGCTTGCTGTAAAAGGCGTTACCATAAAAGTTCTCCTTGCTGCCGACGGGAGCCTCTCCCGGGACCGCATCCGTGACATACACGGAGTTGTTGGGCCCGTCGACGTTGGCGTCGATGCGCAGACAAAACAAGTGCTGGTGGTTGTGTGCGTTTACCCCGGTATAGACCTGCGTGCCCCAACCGTGCGTGTCCTCGTCGGGCTCCATGATGTACGTGTTGAGGATGCCTGTCAGCTTGATTTCGGGCTGGATGGTGCCGTCCTGGTGGAAGATCCAGGCCACCACGTACTCGTAGTTGGCGGCCGTGAAGATCTGTTGGATGATGAGCTTGCGGCCGCGCGTCACAATGACGGAGTCGTCGCGGAAGTCGGTGTGCTTGAACAAGATGCCGGAGTCCTCCTCGTGGATGCAGATGGCATTCTTGATCTTCCGAATGCCGCCGACGCGCGTGGGGAACTCGGCGTCGAGGTAGTGAATGGAGCCCTTGCAGTCGCAACCGAGGGAAAGGCTGTTGGTCAGGTAGCCGGCGCCGTACTCGCCCAGGTCGAAAGCGTGCTTGCGATGGTGAGGGTGTTCGGGGTTTCCGCTGTTTGTCGGGTTAGTATCCCTCATGTCTGAATGCTGCTTCTGGGTCGATATCATTGACTTACTAAGGGACCACCATCTCAGCTATAGAGAGTCTGTAGAAGATCGGCCTGACATTGCCTTGGTCGTTGAAGGTGATGTTGTTGAGCACGATACCCTCGCGGTAGTTGAAACCAATATGGAACTTCCAATTCTGCCACTCAATCTCCCTCCCGTTCAGCTTGAACGAGACACCTTCAGGCTGGGTGATGTTGATGGGCTTTAGGTTGTTGCGGAAACCGCCCCTTGCCTCGATGGCAGCCGGGTGATAATCGAACGCGGGAGCCTTGCTGAGTGGCCGGCGGATCTTGGGAATATCGATGGCAATGATCTCCTGCTTGTCGCTATCGTAGATGGGGCAGAAGTCGAGAGGATACTGGTATTGGCAATTGTCGAGCTCGGGGCGGTAGTACATGAGCGCCTGCTGCAACCGTACCGAGCTGCCAAAGCGCTCATCAAAGCCGATTGTCCAGGGGTCGCAGTACACCTTGTCCATATCCTCTTCGGGAATGCCGCTGATCTTGCACTGCTCGATGACCTTGGGGTCCTTACGGGCAATGTGTTCCACAAGCTGGAGTTCTTCCATGGTTAACTAACCCCTAGACGTTAGCCATCTCACGTTTCATAGCCAGACCTGAGAGACACCACTTACAATTGGTTGCTGACCCTCAGCCCACTCCCACGAAACGATCTCGCCCTTGGCCGGATCTACTAAGCCATCGTACACCTTGCCACCAGGTGCAATGACAACGACGTCCGCAAGACGCTTTGGTCGGGGTGCCTTGGTGGGATCCTCAAGCCATGCTGTCATCTCAGCCTTGCGAGGCTCCTGGAGGGAAACAACGTTGAAGTAGACATCGCCGTGGGCCTTCTTGACTGTGAAAATGGTGTTTTCAATTTCCTCCCGCGAGAGTGGATCAAAGGGGTGTGGGAGAGTGGTGTCGACAGAGCCCATCTTGATGGATGATGCTCAGAACTGTGATGAATGGGAGCAGCGAGGAAAAATGAAGAGCTCAGCTGGTAGAATATATATGTGGGAGGGTTGGTGATGCACGGGAATACCTGGGAGGTCATCATGAGGTGTCTTGGGGGATGACAGAGATACTTGTATCCGGCTTGCCCCTCATCTTCAACAGCTCGTCCCAGTTGGTCTAGGTGACACACATCTCGAGTCGATAAGTCCGAATCATCTTGTCATTTGTCGATTGCTTCCCATGGCCATTACGATAAGGTTGGTCTGGCACGTAAGTGGGTGTTGATAGATAGGTATCGGAGCTCTGGGTACTGCACCACTAACTGAGCTAGACATGTTCTACTAACAAATCTGTTAAGGATGCTAGTTGAATGAATGACGGTCGTTGGTGTAAGTCACGATAAGCTCTATCAGCAGAGCGGGGCCAACTTTTGCGGGCAAGTCGATAAAGAATGCTACCTCCAAGGCTTCTCTTTACCAATCACAATGTCGCCGATGACGGATATTGAGATCCAAAGGTTAGGACAGCACCAACCAGAGGGGTGCCCTCCGAGATTTCGAGGGGGCCAAGACAGCCGGCGCTGTTAGTGCACCACCTGCATACCTAACCGACCAAGCCCCGCATTCCGCCGCATGGTCATCCACCATTTCCAAGTGACACACTGCGTGGACACTCGGAACGACTGTGGCAATGCGGATTTCTTTGCCAGTTATGGAAATTGTATTCATAGCAGGAGATGGTTCGGATTGTGCTACAGGTACGTCTACCTAGCCAGCCTATGGTATGGGGCATGGTGCCTCTCATTGTTCATCCGTCAAGCGTTGCCAGAACCACTCCTCAACTGAACTGCTAGGATTCACCTGCTGCCTTCAGCTGATTAAGTCGGATGGAGCTAACAAATATGTTTTATCAGACGCTAATAGTATCGCCAAGCTCATCTTTATCTGTGGACAACTTCTGTCGCCAACCTAAGTGCTGCAATCGATGTCGAAAAGTTTCCTAATTCGGAGTTCAGCTGCCGGCCTTCCAACTGCAAGGAACATCCAGATCCGGATTGGCGATTTATCAAAACGGTTATTTTAACCCCCTTTGGCGAACTTTCTCCTTACGCGACCCTCCGACTTTCCCCTTTCCAACCTCGTAGAAGACTCGACAATCCACGATGATCTGGATTCGTCTCCATGGTATCAAAGATGCCTGCTTGCCCTCAAGATACGATCTTAAAGATGCGATAAGCAGACGTAAGCACAGGTTGTAATCTCAAAACCAACCGAGGCCCAGGACTATCGAATGCCGACGATGCCCGGGCTGTGATTTGTTGCCCTCCTTTGAATACAATATAAACAACTGTCGCCTTTTGCCCTTTCTGGCCCAAGGCCGAGTTCGGACAATACGACGGACTCAAAGACCACACCACGGACTACGTGGTTGATAATTGTTGATGACCAAAAGAGGCAGCTGCCCTAAAGATGAGTTCACTTGGTGCCGTATTTCGTATGCCAAGGTTGATGTGAGAATACACCTTCATTATCTTCCATCCTAGCAGTAACTGACCGGTTCAACACCTACAGGTATTCTCAAATTTGAGTCCCCTCCCATCTGCAACCCCTTCGTACGACCTACCTCTCAGCTCCCTTGACGACCTTAACTCACAGTTAACTCATCCCTCCCTCTCGCACTTCCATCCTCCACTCCAACGCCTGATAACAGAATCAACACAACTCTCATACATCTGCTCCGCCCCCTCTCCAAACCGGAACCACTGCAAGACACAAACCCCCAGCGTCCCACACTCCCTCAACACCTCCCATCTCTCGGTAGCGTAACACTAAAAGCAGTATTATTCACCGGCACCCTCACCAACCGTTCATCCCACGTACGAATAGAACACCAGCAACGGCTGTCCTCCGACAAAGGTATCCGTAGCCATACTGACGATCAACCCGGTACAAGGCTCCTCGTGCGGTATGGGGAATGGAGGCTTGAAAGGGACCGTTTGACTCCAGCTTGAAGCTTTGGAGGAGGGAAGGGTTGTTGATGAAGAAGAGGGCGCTGCGGCAGAGGAAGGAGTTGCCTTTGGTTTCTTAGGAGGGGTAGAGAGACGGACAGTGAAGAACTGAAGAGGAGAGTTATGACAAGAGATGGCTTACAAGAGGTGACTGGGAATAACAGAACGGATCCGATGGGCATCGTGCCGTCAGTGAGGATGGCTTTATAACACGGCTTGTTGACCGCAGGCGCGAGCCATTGCTGGACAGGGGAGACGGACGGGAGGATTGAGGTGATGTTTCCTCCGTGGGCTGTTGCGGTGGCGATGAAGCTTACTTTCGGCAGGAAAAGGCGGGTTGCTGTATCCTATTGAGCAATTGTGCGAGACGACTGTGCTGATGTGGTCTATGGCGGTATGACAATTACGGGGAGTGACCGGCGCTGGAAGGAGATAGGTACCCAAGCAAAGTAAGGTAGGTTCCCGAGAGCGAGCGAGATGGAAACGATCGAAGACATGGAGGAGTAGGTGGGTAGAGCTACGTGAAATCTTGTTGGGCAGGACCACGAAACGAGTCTCGAGCATCCATGTCTTGCGTACCTAATCTACACGCCTGGGATGCGTCCTTCTGCTCATGTCCTCTTCTCTCCTTTGCTCTTCCGAACACGAGATGGCTGACAGAAGGATGCTCGCCCTTTTTACAAACCAGAAAGCACCTTCAAGCGAAGGATGTGCTTTGACTGCACGTGTCAATGTCGACTGTACGTGTACTCTATGATGCTTTCTATATTGTCGAGGCTCGGTGCTTGTTGACAGTTCCATGCACCTTCCCTGGACTTTGATACACATGCGCCTCAAAGATGCGCGAACAGCCCTGACTGGAAACCCGGGTCCGGCATTTAGTCTCACTCTACATCTTCCACTCCCTGATTATTGCGACTGATTTGCGGTCTTCCTATATTGCTTCAAATGGAGGACAGTTCCTCTGTCAGAAAGCCAACAAGAGCTCTCGAACTTCCCTATCCAATTCATACTAACTGACAAACCAGTATTGTACGATTTTATATGTCAACAAACCCCAAGTCGTCGCTCCTGCCCTTGAACCTGCCTGCCTCTTCACCGAAGGACAACCTGACCCGGACAACCAGATCGGACGACAGGCCGAATTTGATCGCTGCCTGCCGTGGCCCCTGAGCCCCGAGTCCCGACTAGAGCCCCAAGGCAGCAGACCTGAACCTGGATCTGGACCTGGACCTTATAAGCTCATCTCAAGCCGCTCTTCTCCCGTGGTCCGTTGGTGTAATGGGTAGCACACTCCCTTAATTTCTTCCACGACTCTTTTCTAAATGTGGAGGGGAAGGTACCGGTTCAACTCAGGTGCGGGCCACTTCTTTTTCTTTTTGCATATTTTGTATCTTGACATGTTCTTTCTTTTTCGGGAGTAGAGGTAGGCACTTCCTCTCCTCCGTGCCTTCTCTTATTGTTTTTATTCTTCGCACACGCAGGAGAAAGAGAAGCTCGAGAGAGAGAGAGAGGACTTGACTGCAACATACCTACCTCTAGCTACACTCGGCGGTGGGTGCAAATAAATGACTGATATCGCAGTGATAGGTAGACGCTCAGAGCGATTGATGTGCTCACGAGGAATGGCACTCAACCAAGGATTCAAATACGATGCTATAGCATTCAATCTCGCACACGTTCAAACATTCCAAAGTGCACAATGTCTGTCCTTGATAATAAGCTTGTACATCCTTTGAACATCTAGGGCAAAGGACATTAGCCACTATCTTATTACCAACGCTTAAGAAGGAAGGGCGAGTGATGCTCTCACTGCAATTTCTTTTTCTCATGGTGATCGAGTAAAGTCCGTCTACCCCGGACTGAGTACCTCTAGAGTAAGTACAGTCTTTGACGTGAGTAATCGAGGTTCCACAACATCACTGCTTCTTAACATGTTGTGCAATGCGAATAGAGCTTGTAGCATGTAGTAAGCAGGTATTTTGTGAGAGGGAGCACAGCTTACCTACCAAGAGCCGCAAGCTAAATTTGAAATGTTTGAAATTTGAGGTCGTACATACTACCTCTAGTCGCACATACTAAGGTACTCTTAGCGTCATATACCTCTAGGTAGAGGTACGTAAGATGCTACAAGAAAACCGAAGCCTCGGACCTACTAGCATCGCAATGGAGTCATGAACTGGAAAAACTAGAAGAGGGTACCATCCATATAAATAAGTTTACGCTAAACATCCATTCAAGACGGGAGTTTAACCGATTCGTGGAAACATTGCCTACCGTCCTGTCCCTCAAGGAAAGATCATCACTCAAAACTTGGCTTTCAACTACCCGATCTGGACGAGGAAAAGAAAAAAGAAAAAAAGGATCCGACGGTGATTATAGCAAAGAGACCATGCATACATGTATTAATCCCAACTGTGTATAATTCTTTATCTTTCTTTCAAATGCCACGCACGACCTTTAGATAAGAGTGATGACGCAAAAGTACCTAACTCTAGGTAGGTAGTTAGGACTTCGAAAAAGGTAGGTACGCTACATGTAGTGGTCTACCGCATCTCTTTGTCCTTTGGTTCCGAATCACCCAGCCCTGTTTTTACCTTCCATCCAGATGTAGATATGTCGCAACACCACCGCACCATGTCGCATCCAAAGTTCCATTACATCCGAGACTCTCTCTCTCTCTCTCTCTCTATCATCCCGCGCTCGCTACTACGTATAGTGCCTATCTCCCGTTGCGGTATGGCGATTGGTCAATACACCACCACCCCCTGTGCCCCTGTTGGTGAGATCGATAAAGTGCCATGCAGAAGGATCTCGCTTGGCAAGCCTCACCTCCGAACTCAGACATGAGATTCTACTAGGCTCCTAGGGTGCACGTATCCCGCACCGTTGTCATGCGCGAGTTATGATTGTGGTGATGGAGTGTCGGTTTTCTATGAGAATGGAGGTGTTGATAGAAGCACGCGTGCCATATTACTATAGGTACCTATGCTTGAACTGGTATCATCATTATTAGATAGGTAGAGGTAGTTTGTTGAGCGGCAGCCTCTGCTTGGGTATCCAACTTATAGTCATCATCATCGTCTATTCCTTTATGTAGCGCCCCTCCACTCGTAATATCGATTGATGGTCAGTGGCTGCTGTGCAGCATTAACCGAACCCTCTAAATAGGCCACCATTCCCCTTTCCAGCCATTCCTTTATTCCCATGGACCGGCACTTTTAGGGCTTCCATCGGAAACCAGGGTGCTTGTAATCCAGATCTTGAATCTCTTGCTGTGACATGCCCGTCAGCTCCTCCTCGGCGTTGCGCAGCTCGCGCTTGGTGTTATCCCTCTTCATCCAGATAAGCAGGCAAAGGGCAATGATGAGGGTGCCGCTAGACGCAGCGAGATTGATGCCGTTACCGATGTGGTACTTGGGGGCGTCGAAGGGCAGGAAACTCCAGGTGGCGACAAGACCGCCAACGTTGCCCAACATGACTAAAGGTGGGGAAGCAAAACGATTAGCTTTTGATTGCAAGAAGAGAAAGGCTGTGATGGGAGCAGATGAGTGTCATGTGGGAGCTTTACCATTGTAAGCGATAGCGCTACTCCTGGCAGTATCGGAGACGACGTTGGCGCTGACTTGGGAGTTGGTCAAGGGACCAGCGGCAAAGACAGAAGTGCTGACGAGGAAAGCGGCGCCGTATCGGATATGTGCGTTTTCGGTAGCCAGGAACATAATGTAACCGACCATAACAAGTGGGCAACAGGCAATGATGATGATCTGGCGGCGATCAAGCCGGCGGCTGATGAGAGGCATCAGGACGGTAAAGAAGCCGCCGACGACGTAAGGTGGGACAGTTAACAGCTGCTTCTGAATAATGTTCTTAGTCGGGTAGATGGTAGCGACGACGGTAGGGGCGAAGAATGCGAGACCTTGGACGGTGATGTTGTTGAGGAGGAAGGCGAAGCCGGTAAAGAAGACGACGGGGTTAAAGATGCCGCGCTTGAGCTTCTTAGCGTCCATCTTGTCAATAATCTCGGTTTGGCCAATACGCTCCGACTTCACACGGGCAATGGCCAAGTCCTTCTCTTCCTGGCTGAGCCATTTGGCGGTCGCGGGGTGGTCGGTGAGAGTAAGGAAACCAATAAGGGACAGTCCAACAGTAATGATGCCCTCGATACCGAAGATCATTCTCCATCCATGAAGACTACCGAAGTGGTCGAGTTTGAGAATTCCAGACGCCAACAGGCCACCGAAAGCGCCGGCCAGAGGGGACATGACGATGTACAGCGATAGACGTAGAGTGAGCTCGGATCGACGGTACCAGCGGGAAAGATAGTAGGCGATTCCGGGCATCATGCCAGCCTCGAAGACCCCAAGAAGAAAACGAACACCGCAAGCCTGGGAGAAGTTGTTGACGAATGCCATACAGACAGACATGATCCCAAAACCAAGCGAGGTCAGAGGGAGAAACCATCCTGGGCCCATCCATTTGCACGCGATATTTGCTGGAATCTCGAAGACGATGTAACCGACGTAGAAGATTGATAGCAGGGTATTGTAGTCGTATCCGTGTAGGTCCAGATCCTTCTCTAATTTGTCTAGCCTCGCATTTCCTGCAGTCCACTATCGTAAGCCCTGTGCCTTTCATCAATCCGGCTAGTGATCGCGTCGCTCACCAATATTGGCTCTGTCAATGAAGCAGAATAGGTAAAGGATTGCAACCGTTGGGATGATATAGAGATCGATTTTTCGTCGGAGCTTGGTCTCTGCCACTGGATCGAGTTCAACGAGAGGGTTGCCGTGACTGTTGGGTGAAGGTCAGCAGGATGAATGAGGAAACTGAGTAAGGTATTGAACCAACTGGAAGTAAGCGACTTACATGTCAGTTGCGGCCTGGCCCCGTTCGGCGCGGTAGTGCGCCCCTGGGGCATTTTCAAAATAGCCTTCCTTGGTGTCAGACTCGGACAAAGACTGCCTCCTCTTTTCCGAGGTCATTGTTTCCGACACTCCGGCGGCCATTGTGATGGCTGATGTACTGTCGACGAGGAGAAGCTGGCTCTGTTGCTGGAAAAGAAAAGCTGATAACCTGATGGGTGGAAGATGAGACACTCAAACGGTGACCTTGTGTGAGCGAGGTCGGTGGTGGACGAGTAGTAGGCGACAAGAAGGAGAGGTGGTGAGGTGAAGATTGTAGGAAGGGATTATGAACAAAGAACAATGTAGGGTGGCTGAGGCTGGGGAGGGCGGACGTAAGTAATGTACCTGTAGGTTACATGTAGATGCATGAAGGAACTACCGACATGGACAGTAGGAAGGGTTTATCGGTGACAGTCAAAAAAAAAAAAGAAATCCTTCGCCGATCACTACCAGGCTGACTAGACTGAGGTTGAGGTGTGCCTGCAAGCCAAGCTGGAGGGTCCCAGACCTATCATCATTCACGGTGACACGACCGACATCGTAATGGTGGTGTACATTTGCATGAAGAGTACCAGGCAAACGAAGCATCCAGGCTCCCCCCTCTCGTTCTGCCCTGTTCATCATCAATTGCCAAGTCCCGGATTCCAAATCATGGCCCGGTGTGGACGTGAGATTGACCAAACAAACGGCAATATTCCTCTGCTTGGCTCACACCCATGGTTCTCGTTTCCCGTCCCCCGCATGGCAATTGCACCAAGGGCAAGTTGTAGATCTGGCAGGAGGGTGCCTGAAGCAAACACCGTTGATAAAATTCAAAACGTCAAGCTTGACCAATAAAAGCGGTCATGGTTGTAGGTTTATCCAGGGTTCCCCAAAGCTTCAGTGTCATGATACGGGCCTGGCCGTGAAGGGGGTCCACTACCCCATGGGGAGGGCGAGTGTCAAATCCACAAAATCTCCAGTGGCCCGCTACTTGACCCCAGCAACCGTTTGGCACAAGAATATCTCTCCAAAACTCCCATAGCCCCGGGCAAAGAAACAGGCTAATGATGAGCTTGCCGGAGCGTTATTCTCTTTTGGTTAACACCATTGAGATTGGTAGTGGTGGTGGACGAGTAAATCGGCTTTCTTGTAAAGTTGGAGAGCGGGCCACTCCCCATTTCTGGTTCCCCAGAAACTTGGCGCCGCTTGGTTTCCCCGCATCCTCTCGAGCCTCCTCATCGACGGACCAGGGCTCGACCACGTTTCCTCACTCAACACGTTTTCATGATCAGAAGACAAAACTAAACAGAGTGTTGAACTCCACTGCCAACGATCCAGCATAGCCGTAGATCTAGTGCCAAGAGCCTTTCTTGGGTTCTCCCGAGCTCATGTGACTTTTCGCAGCTGCGTCCATCATCGGGATCCCCAACTTCGAGGTGCCTCGGCCTACTCCATTTCGCACACCAGCCTAGAGCTTTAACTAGCCCGGTAGCGTGTATTGGTCGGTAGGTCAGAATAGTGCCCGGCAGCAAGGAGAAAAGGGGTGAGGCTGAAGACAACCACCACTGGAACACCTTTACCTATTCACAACAGAGGTTCCCTTGCCCGCTGTCATAACTGACCTAAGCCTCTTGAGATGACACCCATGAATGTTGAAAAGCCATCTTGATGGTACACTTGCCCTCCTCTGGAAAAAGGCGTCTCTGCATAGCTCACTGGAGCTTCGCTGTTCGTGATGGCGATTTGCCCCTTTTCCGGGTTGGCTGGCATCGCAGAGAGCGGACTATATGCATCGAGTTTTTCCTTGCGGCTGGGCCGAGGACATTTGCCGTCGTGGATCCTGCTTTGCTTGGACAGTAACTTGGGCAACCCAGAAATCTGGACTGATCCCCAGTCCAATGTCACATCCAGCTTGGATCGTACTAGGATCTTAGCCAACACGAACGCTATGCACGTAGTGCGAGACCCAAGCAAGCCGAGGATGCGACAGCCAATGATGGCATTGCCGGATTGTGCGAGGGATAAATCTTTAAGCATAACTTGGCCCCTTTTCTTGTAGTCATAGTCGTGGCTGACAAGGTATTTGATCGAGCTGGCCAGCCTCAACATTTTGGGAGTCATGGAGACGGAAGCCTCTTGGAATATGCTCAAGTCAATTTCCTTAGCCTAGTATCGAAAAGGTTCAAGTCAAGGCCTCGGCGAGCAAAATGAGTCCGAATCTAACCGTTCACTCTCACCCCCGTTGCTGGAGGTCACTCGGAGAGGGGAAAGGGGCGAGAACTCAATTGCTGCTTGACAACCAAAGGAAGACAGCAATTCAGTGACGAGACTTCTGGAGATCCGATTGTGGTATTCCGGATTGCCTGATACGAAGGTCAGAGATAGCGATCGTTGACAGAGACCGACTGGGTGATGATATCCGCCCATGCCGACTGTTTCTCAAAAGACACTCAGCTCCTTTTCCAACGAAATCAAACTACTTGTCCTCTTGCTCAAGCTGTAACATTGAGTATATCGTGACAATAGTCATCGCCGTCTCTTTTCCATGTTGGAACGTTAAGGAACACGATCGTTGCTGGATTGCGCCTGCTCTTGTACATCGACGTAGACGACTAAGAACCTTTTCTGGGTGCCGGTTGTAAATCATAGTACCCAGACTGAGAGAAGTAAAATCAGGGCGACATATTTGCGCGGTTCTGCATATTACCGACTTGCCAATCTTGAAGGTTCTTCGTTACACAGCATCAGTCAACCCAGTCGTTACACGACTTGAGGTGAAGACAAGATGACACTGCAGTATCGCAAACTCGGCAGTGGTGCAGGCCATTTGCCCTATAGCTTGCCGACCCAACATGAAGTCAAGGATGGAGTTGTCTCCATAGTCGGCTGTCAGATCCGGAACTGGGCTCCTCGGGTGACTGTTTCTCGGGTTTGCAGCCCCTTGCAGCTCTCAAGGTAGGTATCGTCGGACGGCGTTGGCTGCAGCAGCAGATGGTTCGTCTTGGTAGAAGCGGACACCTGCCGCAGAGCCGCATCCTTCGCTGAAACCTGACTACATGGTACTCAAATTGAGGCTACCTCTAATGATGTGCCGGAACGACAGCATGGTGTGACGCTGAGTAGGTATTCGAGTTCGGTTTTAGAGATGAAGGCGCATCGAGCATTATGATGCCGTCCTCTGACCATCGAATCGTTCCCGCAAAGCCATCAAACAGGCACCGAATACACCGTGTTGAGACGAGTTGAGTAGCTTAAAGAGAAGATCCGCAGAGCCCAGAGAGTCTCGAGTCGTGCCGGTGTAGATACCTGGCGGTGGCGTGTATGTCTTTTTCTTTGATGGCAGCTCGGGAACCACATCTTGCGCTATTGTCTGGCAAGACTCGCGAGGCCAAAGAAGACAACTGACGAGGCCTCGGAACTCAACTCCGAGTATCAGGCTGTGTTGTAAGTGGATGCCAGAATCTTAGTAGGTGGTAGTCATCCCAGTCGTTTAGAATAGGCTGTGGTGTCTTTGGTGTTTCTAGCGAGACTCTCCGATGACGGCAGCCAATGCTAACGGAGGCTTACATGATGATTTGAAAGAAAGAGCGATGATGAATATCCAGAAGCGTAGATGAAGATGGATGACGTTGATGGACCAAGTTGAAGTTGTGAGAAGGAGAAACTTGAGACTGAGAGATTCTGATGTTGAAAAGACATCATCCATGTCTTCAGCTGGCTCCGCTCTTGCAAATCCGGGGTTAAAGTGGGGTGTTGGTGGGGCTTCCCGCGGCCTTATCGTCCCTTATCGTGAGACTGGCGGGGGAAGAGGGAGGGGAACCGTAGGGGCTCCCCCGTCTCTGGCGGTGCTAGGTCGGTAGTGTACAGTATCCCTCAGCCCCTGAAGCTCGCTGTTTGTCTCCGGCTGTCTTGAAACAGCCCCAGGGCATCTACCTCTAGATAGGGGCCCCTACCTATAGAGGGAGGTAACTTTTCCTCTCCTTTCACGGCTTCGATCCGGGCAGCGAGCCCGTCGGGGTGACAACCAGGTGTTACACCTACACGCAGTACCGGTACGCAGGCTTTGGCTCAGTTGGTTCCATGGCGGGACCTCGTGCTTCCCGTCACCTGCCCTGGCTCACCGAAATCACTTGTTTAAGCCTTAACTGCGGTAAGGTAGCCTTGCATCGACGGGGTTTCCACATCTGCACCGCTTGCTGATGGAGACTTGCGTTGGCTTATTCACAGCCTATTACCTCATTCATCGTACGAACATCTGAAGCAGCTACACAAACACCTGCTTCTCCGATGCACCTCGTCTCCTCTTCCTTGTCATCCAAATAGAGCAACTTTTCTACTTGGTCACCTCGACCTCGAATTGAACGATTCTTTGTTTCCTTCTCACTGCTCGTTCTGTGAAGACGTAAAGTAAAAAGTCCTTTGACCGCATAAGTATCGAGCCCCGACTTCGATTCATCGCCGAACGAGACTCGACTCAACAACCCGACGTTCTGGTACTTTCACGAATTCGCGTTTCCCGGTATCACCGGGAATCAAGGCTGCTGTCAACATGTTCGACATCTTGCCCAACCTACTCTCGTATGTCAAGTCCTCCAAGCACGGCTTTGCGCTGGGCAGGCAGCTTCGTGTTGCTCGCCATGCGCTGCCCCGCCGCCTTACCGTTTGATGTTTCCATCAACTAACACAAGGTGTATCGCGACACAGCTCTGTCGCCTCCTTCCTCTTTCCCGTTTACGCCAGTTACAAAGCTCTCAGGAGTTCAGATCCGGCCCAGTTGACACCATGGCTTATGTACTGGGTCGTCATCTCCTTCGTTGTCCTCGTTGAATCGTGGGTTGGTTGGTTCTTGGTGTGGTAAGTTCGATTCGATGGAAGCATCATCTACCCACCGACAGCCATTTCAGCAACAATACTGACATGACCCTTTTGCGCTACGCTAGGGTCCCCTTCTACGCCTTCATGCGCTTTGTCTTCCTCCTCTACCTAGTCCTTCCCCAGACCCAGGGTGCCCGCGTCATCTACCAGACCCACATCGAGCCCTGGCTGGAGGCCAACGAAGGACAAATCGAGGACTTCATCGCCTCGGCCCACGAGCGTCTCAAGGCCGCCGGCCTTGCCTACCTCAAGCAAGCCATCGAATACGTCAAGACCCAAGTCCTCGGCATGCCTCCTACACCGCCCGAGCCCGCGTCAGCCTCCTACGGCGGCGGCGCTGGCGCCTCTCAGACTGCGCAATCCTATACCCAATCCCTCCTCGCCCGGTTCAACGTACCGTCTGCTCGCCCGGGTGGCGCTAACAACGCCGCGGGCGGCGCTCTTGGAACCGATTTCTATAGCTTCCTGTCCTCGGCGGTGACCGCCGCCAGCAACGCTTACTCGAACAAGGGTTCCGGCACCCAATTCGACCGCGACGTCACCCCCACCCCGGGCACCGGAGGCGGAGCTTCCAGCCTCGTTCCCGAGAGCATTCGCGGCGTGGACGCCCGCATCTCTTTCATCGAAGCCCAGCGCGAACGTCTTAACACGGTCCTCAACGCGCTCGACCGCGAGGCATCTCAACTCCAGAACAACCAGCAGCAGAGCGGCGTGCCGGGCTTCAGCTTCGACGGCGCCGATATTGGACTCACTTCAAGTGCTGGCAACCCTTGGCAAGGTTCAAGCTCCCGCAGCGGTAAGAACTCGCGCTCCATGAGCGAGCACAGCAGTGTGAGTGGGGGTGGGCTGAGCCGCAACCGGTCCGAGGCGGACTTTGAGAAGCTCGAGGCCGAGAGCGGCGAGGAGGAGATTATGGATGACAATGGGAGGAGGGTGAGGCATAGGCCGGGGCCGAATGCTCAGGGAAGCAGCGGTTGGTTTGGCTGGGGTGCTGGTGGTGCCGATGACGCTGCTGCTGCTAAGAGCACTGGGGTTGATAAGTAGGCGACGATGACAACGACGGCATCTGGTATGCTGGTTTTCGCTACGACCTTCCAGTCAAGTGTGCATAAAACTGCCGGGACAAAGAGTTCCGTATGATAACCCCAAGGATACAGTCATCCTGGACTGGGTTACAACGCCAGGTTTACCACTGGACGTTGGAGGTTGCCTGAGGAAAGCTTGGAAACGGAGTTGGGCCTCATAATTCACTGTACACGCAGTAGGCAAGGCTCTCGGTGTACCAGATATGAGAACGCCATCCAAGCCATCCACCAACTTCACAACTGATCCCGCTTGGGACAGGCCCGCTTTCATTAGAGGTTAACCCTCATTCCCATGTGAACTTTGTCTTTTGCTCCTTGTTGCCTGTTGGCAGTCATGTTTGCTCAGTGCCATCGTGTGTATTTGGGCTCTTATACGTACCAGTGACACACGGGCTGAAGTCCTGCGATCTGCATAGCGAAATATCAGCGTGCGAGACATGCACTTGAGGGTTTAAAGTACGCACTCAAAGCGCCGAGGAAGTGCAGGGTAGGCTAGTGGATGTAGTGTAGACGGTAGTCGAGTAGCTCCATTCGTTGCGCTCTACCGTATGTCACAGACAATCAAGAACGGAAGCTCCGAACAGAAATCCGTATAAGCTGCCTTTTAACATTCAGCGGCTGAAGTGCAAATCAAACTTCCCTCCATCGTCAGACCAATCCAGTGATGCGAAAACTAGCAACAGGTACTCTAAGGGTATCTTTCTATGAGTTTAGAGGGTAATGAAAATGCAGAGACGAAACATCGCTGACCGCCCGCTCGCTCAAGGCTTAATAACTCTATGTACACCATGCATACGCACCTATGTCCAGGTTGACTCTCATGACTTTCACTCCACATCATCCTCGGCAATCGCAGCTCCCTCCGGGGGCGTGAAGAGCTCGGTCCCATTTTGGGACTTCCAAGCGTTGGCGACATACTTTGTATGACTACCACGGGCACAGAGCTCGCCCTTTTGGTTGCGGAAAGTGACGGTGGTGTAGGCAAGAGTCTTGCCCACTGTTTAGTTGTTGATAATGGAGGTTAGTTTTGTCAATAATTCATGTTGCTGATGCAAGGGGCAGGAAGAAAGACTTACTCTTGTCACACACAGCGGTTCCGGAAATCTTCTCGCCGACTTTCCCACCGCTACTAAGGTAGGTAACTGGTTTTTTTCATATACATGTTAGTATTGTGTGTTTGCGGAAAGCAGCACATAACCGGGCTGGAATTCGTTTGTCCGAGTAGGCATGAAGTCTCATGGAAGGAAGGAACATACCGTTGAGATCCGTCGACACACCGGTGGCGTAAAGTCCTTTCGAGGCTACGGCCAGAGAACCACCGAGGTCAACCATGCTGGCGATGGTTCCACCGTGGATGATCTTCAGACGGTTGGTGTGGTCTTTGGTAATGTCGAGTTCAAAGTCGACCTTGCCTTCGGTGGCACCGGTTACCCGGAGCTAGTTTGGTCATGTCAGTTACATGTTCGTTGTATTCATGCAATTCTGTGGTGTCTTTAGCCTACATGAGGTCCGAGGAGTCTGCAAAATTTGGTGAGTTTTATGTCTTGATCTCTTCTTGAAAGACCATGGTGATGTGTCATCACTTACCTCGGCTCAAGACCGGACTCGGCCATGAACGACTTCAGGACCTAACATGCTGTCAGCAACCGAGTCAATGCAGCTGTGAAATGAGTCCCTGAACTAACCGATCTCACGAATCTCGCTGGTGGAAGCTTGGGTGCCATTTTCTGTTGCTGTTGACCTCGAAATAGGAGACGATGTAAGAGAGATACACCAGGTGTGCTTCAGATGCGGTGTCTGGACTACCTCTAGGTGGACTTGGGGACGGAACACTGCTGTGAACGCCGGAAATCACCACCCGGGACAGGCGCTGTTACAGTGGCTTTAGGAGCCGACTGGCCGACCCGGGGGACGGTGGACAAATGCCGGACAGTGGAACGGTGACGTCGTAACAGGGACTGGTAGTGCCTGCCACGAGGGTCCGAAGTCCCCACTTATGCTTGGTGACCACCTGCAAGGGCGCCACGGGGCAGGCAATCCTCGGCACGTAGTGTACAACGCAGTGATCATCAACAGCCTTCAAGGTCTTCTTTTGCACCTTGGTTACGCCTTTCACCTACAAATGCCACCGGCTACACCATTATCGCTCGACTCACTGGGTACCGAATAACCGCATACTCGATTCATCATAAAATACACTTCCGTTGGAATCACACTGTTCACCTGGAAGTTGGTTTTGGTCTCCATATCTGCCATCAGAAGTCGACCAGTAGCATTACATCGTGATCCTCTCGACGAGCCATCTGGACTTGACGGCATTCGAGGCACTACATTTACCGAATATTCGACTTGACCTTTCACATTGCCAGTCACATAGCGATAACGAATCTCTATTAGCGGCCCGTTGTGCCCGCTCGTCTACCCACCATGTCACTCGGCGGACAACAGCTCCTCGAGTACTTGGAGAAGCTGCCAGGTACAGCTTTTAGGAGACTGTACCAGTCACCTGCGACAGCTTTGGCCATCTTCCGCCGTATGCTGTCTTATCATGGTATGCGATTGTTCCTCGCCTCAGATACCGAGGCCTTGGACACCGAATCTCTAGGCATGTAGCTAACTCCTTTGTCCCTCGATAGCCAAGGTTATTGTCCGAGGTCTACTGTACATGCCCGACCCATTCCCGTTAACCTCCCTTGACATATGGTTCCCTCCAGAGGGCGGCGGAAAGATACATTGCGATCGCACCATTGCCGCTCTCCGATCCCTCCACATCCTCCAGGTCTCACCACCAAGCAAGGACCGAACCCAAGAAATCCAAATCACGGCGAGCTTCAAGAAAGGCCTACAACTGGCCTTCGAAGGCGGCGGCGAAGATGGCAGCTTTGGCGTCCCTAGTTCTCTCCCCGTCGATCCCTCCATTGACATCGCCTACCTCGATAAGTACGCTCGGAAGAAGTGGGACGACATCCTCCACTACGTTGTCAACAGTCTTGGGGTCCACGGCAGCTCAGAAGGGGTCAGCGGACCCAAGGCCAGTGTGAAGGAACTGCTCTTGGCCGGACGCCTCGTCGAACGACGCCCCGACACCCGTACAGGAATCGGAATTACGCAAGCCGGTTTCACCTTCCTCCTCCAGGAGTCCAACGCCCAAGTATGGACGCTCCTCCTCCTCTGGCTCGAAGCAGCCGACCACACGGCCGACTCGGGCATGGACAGCATTGACATGCTCTCCTTCCTCTTCATGCTCAGCTCGCTTGAGCTCGGAACTGCCTATGACACATCAGCCCTGACCGAGACGCGGCGGAATATGCTTCCCTCGCTCGTCGACTTCGGGCTCATCTACTTCCCGCGCGACACGCGCCAGTTTTTTCCCACCCGCCTGGCCACCACACTGACCAGCACCGCCTCGGCCCTGCGCACCGTCTCCTCGGCTTTCACCGCCGCGACCGCCAACCCCTCGGGCGAGCCCGGCACCACGACCAGCACCAGCGGCGGCCCCGCCGCCACCCCCGACAAAACACAGACAGCAGCCAAGGGCATCATCATCGAGACCAACTATCGTATCTACGCCTACACCACCTCCCCGCTACAAATCGCCGTCCTAGCTCTCTTCTGCCAGCTCAACATGCGTTTCCCCAACATGGTTTCGGGCCGCCTAACCCGCGACTCCATCCGCCAAGCGATTGGCTTCGGCATCACCGCCGACCAAATCATCTCCTACCTACACGCGCATGCTCATCAACAAATGGTGCGCGAAGCCACGGTCACGGGTAAACCGGTGCTTCCCCCGACGGTGGTGGACCAGATTCGACTTTGGCAGCTGGAGAACGAAAGGATGCAAACCACGGCGGGTTTCTTGTTCAAGGACTTTGAGAGCACGGAGGAGTACGCGGCGCTGAGCAGGTATGCGGAGGAGATTGGCGTACTGGTGTGGAAGAACGATAAGAGGCAGCTCTTCTTTGCCAGCAAGCATGAACAGTTGAGGGATTATCTGAAGAGTCGGAAGAAGGGGGAGTAAGGGGCGGGTTTGTAAGGGAGGGTAGGGTGGTTTGAGTTCGGGGGTGGTTCAGTATGGTTGGAATGAACCCAAGTAGGTACCTCTTATGGGTGGGTGGATGGGTAGGCGATGGGGTCTTGCATCGTAAAACTTTTACATCTGTGGGCAGGGCAGGATCAACATTTGCATTGAAAAAAAAAGGAGTTTTGGCTTGGATGGGTGGTTTGGCTTCACGCGATTACCGCAGTTTATGCTGCGTACAGGAGTTGGGGATAAAAAGGGCTATAGTCAAAATACGAGGTAATGGTCTGGAGATAGGAACGACCTGCTTGAAAACAATGAATTCAACTTCACCATACACGTACAATCTTGACTTTGGCAATGGATTGGGAACGGCCCTTCAAGTCATCTGGAGATGTGTTAGACGAAACCGAAGAGGTTTGAAAAGGGTGCTCGAACAAGCCAGCCTGCTCATTGTGCTACACATCTTTGTGATATACACCTATGGATACGCCATCCTGGCTAATAGGAGCTCAATCACAGGATTATTGGCGAGGGACTGATTATACTCGTCTGTGATTGCACTAGGACCAAAACTCGAAGTCTGATCGTCAAGATATGTCATTACAAGGCTAACTAACATTTATTGGTGTTACCATTATGAGGCTCAAAGCATGTATGAATGCCAGAAATGCCCTCTACAACGCCGGACCTTTGCCTCTTACCCTGGGTATGTGAAGCGGTAAGATGAGGTCGGAAACCGAGAAAATACTCTCTAGAGAAGTCCGACCATGCCTGTTACCATGGATATCTAAAGCGAAATGATTATGCCCTTGTCCTGTACTCTCTTCCCTCACTCTAAAAGGAAACCGTAATGCTTGCTCTGTCTTTCAAGCCAATAATGCACATGCAATAATAGTACAGCTCATAAATCCGTTCCATTGTCCATTCATCGCTGAGAACATCCATCATCTGCAAATAAACGTTGACGTATGCTCACGCAAGGCTCATACGATATTGGTACCGTTCCTTCCTGACCTCGTTGTCTGCTTCAATTCCGCGAACAGTCCCGTGCCTCTCATGTCGATGACCATACGAGCTCTGCTCCATGCTATCAACCTTCATGCTGGCTGATCTTCCGTGGGCAAACACTCTCCTCGGCACCTGAAGCAGTGATCGCTCCGTCTTCGAGGGCCGGACCTCACTTTGAGGTTGTCCAAGGTCCACATTGAGGCCAGTGGTGATGCTACCTCCACCTGAACCAGCAGGCAGAGACCCCCTGCTCCGTCGACTCCCAAACAAACTCCTGCCAAAGACGCTGTTTTTGAAGCCACGTGGACCATGCATGGTACCACCCTTTGGAAGCAGCACCTCTCGCTGTGTTCTTCTCGCATAGTCCTGTTGCCAAGCATACAGCGAGTTGCGTGCCTCATCCGTGACACAGCATGCCTCGAGATGAACGAAAACGCGACGACATCTGTTGTCGTCATCCGTGAGAGCAGTCGCATCCGCAACTGTCACTCTTCGAAGCATGGCTTCCCTCTCCTTCTGTGCTTTCGCCTGGGATTCGCTCATAATCCTGTTCGGACGGTCGGTGTTCTTCATCCGAAAGCTCATCGACGAGCGGTTGTTGTAGTCCGTCGGTGGGTGAACATGAATGACGTTCGAAGACTCGGTGAATGAAAGTTCCGGCAAGGGCCGTCGGGGTAGGATCCTCGAAGACTCGGATACGGGAGGTTCCGGCAGGGGCCGCCGAGGAAGAATCCTCGAGGATTCAGACCTAGGGATGACGCGAGTAGGTATCATAGAAGGGGATGGAACCTTTGGATTGTACGTCTCCTCGTGCTGCACTGTCTTGTATACTGCAGGATTCCGTTCACTGACGTAGGTGCTAGACTTTCTCGAACTCTGCAGAATAGCATCGGTGGTGGCTGAATGGGGTATGCATCTTATATAGTGAGGTATGTGTCTATTCTCAGTCGTCTCAAGTCCGAGCTGGTCAGCATTGGGGTGCATCATTGCAGGAGTGTAGAAGCTGAGATCCCTAATGGGCACGATACGGCTAGAGGCGTATACGGAGGTAGAAGGGTTGTTGAACGCCGATGCAGGGGGCGAGGGGGTGGTTGTCGAGTTGTTAAGATCACCAGACGTCGTAGACAGGAATGTATGCGCCTCAATAATCAAATTGAGGTTACGAGGTCCTAGTATCTCGTTGTGGAACCGGTCATGGAGAGACGTAAAGCGCCCAGCCCAATACGCCGAAGGCATTGCCGTTGAAACAAACCGGGGATTGATCGGAAGCGGTGGCGGTGCTTCTTCACATGTAGGCGTAGGCTCCGTAGCTTCGGTTGAAGGACCTACGTTGTGGTCCATTGCTTTCCTACCAAAGCGAGAGGATAGTGAGGACCGGGAACTCTTTGCTGTTGCAGTTGATGACGAGTTCTGGAGATCCTGGGGACTTGCCGTTGAATGACTGAGTAACGAACTGCGGGAGAAGGTATGGGTAAGATTTGACAAAACATTGAAAGTCCGTGATTTAGAAATGCCTTGCTTTGTTGATGCTGGAGTAGTGCTTTCTTCCTGAATCCGCTCGGGTGGTTTGTTCTCATTGTTCTGTTGCTTCACCCGGCCTGTGAAAGACGGGATACGTGTGGTACATCCCACGTTGCTGTCGTCGTCAGACGAGTGAATCACACCCTTTGTCCTCAGTGGCTGTCCGTCATGGAGATCTAGCCCGGATGTGTCGCTGGTATCAGCATTTACTGTTGATGGCAGCTGTTCAACTTTGGGTGGTCTGTAAAGCGACCAGCGGGACCCTCGTCTCTTCGGAGTGCTGTTTTGAATGTTATGCTCCATTTCAGAAGTTTTAGAGCCCAGATAAGGCCCTTGATGCATTGAATTCTTGCTAGGAGGGTCAACTTCTTGAAGATGAGGAGCAGTATGTTGTAGCACTGGCTGGCGAACAAGAGCCAAACTCCGACGACCTCAAACAAAGCGCAAAGAACGAACAGGCCCGTGCGCTTCACAAACAAAAGCGGTACTAAGGTTGAGAAGAGCACAAGACGAGATGTTCCCCTAATCACGGCGTTGAATGTGAGAAGTAGGACCCAAGTGACTTGGACGATTGAGGTTTCGTTGCTGTGAACTTCGTCGTTGTGAATGGTGTTGTTTTGGATGTTGTCTTCTTGGGACTTTGGTACGGAAGGTCGAGATCCTTCGCTGTATCGTACGGTCTGTTGCTTTGATGACCTAAAATGGTCCTTCTCTGCGAGCTCGCTGCCCTCAAGATGTTCGAGACAATCGTCTGCCGTGGCGGTAACGGAAACAAAATGGATAGGGGGACCTGATGTTGACAAGGGTAGTCCCTTCAGCTTTGGCAAATTGCGATATGCTTCGCCGCGAGCGTTGCATATAGTCTCGAAGTTGGGTGGAGGGTTGATTGAAGACCAGACAAAGTAATTGTCTGCTTCCGCCTTGGGGGATTCGACTTTGACCGCGCCTTTTGCTGGGAAGCGCGAGCAGTTGTTATGACCCAAGAGAACTAGCTCCGTGCCGTCTGATTCTTCGCTGTCTGACTCCTCGAAACAAGTGCTCGCAATCCAAGGCGACGCGAGAAGGGGTGAAGCGTAGCGCAGTGGGGTGCCAGACTCGATCTCCCCAGTGCTTGAGGATAATCTCCTGCTCATGGCGGCCAGGTTAGCAATGGAGAACTGACCAGAACGTGAACCGCAACTCTTCTGCAATCCCTTGATGTTGGGTACTGTATTGTCCAAGTGAAGTTTGAAAGGAAGATCCAGACAAGGTGATCAAGTTTCGTTCAGGTTGACACTCGAGAACAAGCAAGACGATCAAGGGAGAATGAAAGTATCCCAGTCCGGGACAAGGGAGGGGTCGAGTTAATACTCGATCCTTGTGTAGAACGTACCTTCTTTGGCGCTTAGACAGCAAAGATATCCGGATCAGTACAGGTACGAACCGCGACCAAAGTTGAAGTCGTGATGCGAAGGTTGTGGGTGCAGAGTGGTTGGTGGTGAGGAGGGGAATGGAAAGATGCAGGATAGTTGCGAGCCTGTCGTGCAAGAAAGCGGGGGAAGGAAGGGTAAACGGCGGAGACAGAGGGTGAAAAAAAAATGGAAGTCAACTCAAGACCTCGAGGGAGTCGAGGCCGGCGGCAGTGAAGGGTAATAGCTGCCCTGTACCTGACGGAATTTTGGATGACGCGCCATGACCTGGCGGCAGCGATGAGGTGCGCGCAGACCTGGAACTCTGGAGTCTGGGCTGGAAGTGGAATCCAATTGTAGTTTGGGACGAAAGGAGCTGTGTGACCGGATATATAGATAAGGAAGGCACGACCAATATACCTGGGCTTTCCACCTCAGACGAGCTCGAGTTGTGAATGGGAAGCGTATCTTATCCGTGAAGAGGTTTTGGCAGGAGCAAGAGCGAAATCGCTTCCTGAGTCGCGGTTTGGTGTTTGCGTGTTGTGCCTTCCCTTCCAGTGTCGCACACACAGCCGTCATGATTTGCCCGGCGAGAAATTCAGAACAAAAGAAATAGCAACGATAAAGCAGAAAATAGACTGGGATAGGCGGTAACCCATCGATGTCCTGACCAAGGGTCGAAACAGAAATGAAGGCTGGTGAGAGCTACGCAGAGTAACTCGAAATCAAATTCTTCCAACCATAATGCAACTGAACAACCGCTATTCGAATCCAGTGACCATGATATCGAAAGAAACACCACCCCTCATTGCTGATAGAAACTTCCACTCCTGGATTTTGGACTACAACAAACGCTTGCGCCTAACTCCTGATCTCTGGTTCGCCATCCGTTGCTTCTTCCCACCCTTCAATCTTGAATTTGAACGTTTCGTCCCCGGCGCCTCGGGGAATCGGGTTGCCATGGGCATCGAACAATGCACGTTCCCTGTACGTGACATTTCCATCCCAATCCACGAGGATGATGGTCTGCCGCTGCGTGCCGTAGAGACCAGTCTGGAAGCCGTACGGTTGGTTGTCTGGGCGGTTGACCGTTGTCAACGCCTCTGAAGCGCAGTCGTGAGGACCCTTTTCCTTGATTGTCCCCCGTTGACGGGCTGCCTCCATCTCCGCTTGATGCTGCTTGCCGCCAAAAGCGGGGATGAAGATGGAATTCTTGAGCAGCGGAATGCCCTCCTCGACATCGATACAGCGATCCACAGGGAAGTTGGTGGTATCCAGGACCTTGTAAAGTTCTTCTACTAGCACATCCTCACTGACGTCGTCACTTGAGGTAGCTTCGATGACTTGCTTCAGCTTTTCCCTTCCGTCCCGGACCTTGGGCCAGGTTAACTCGTTAACTTCCTCGCTCGGGCCAAGGAAGATGGCATTGCTGAGTCCGTATGTGCGATCCCGGTCCCCGCAGATCCATGGCACTCTGTCGATATGTTCGGCTCTGTTGGAGATGATGGCCAGGGGCTCGATGGCCTTCTCGGCTTTCTTCTTTCGAAGCTTTCCGCAAACGAGGGAGAACCCGCCAATATCCCTGGCCTCGCCGCTCCCAACCATCCGGCTGACAAAGTCCTGCACCGGCTCATCGGGATGCGCCGCTAGCCAAGCAGTCACCATACCCCCGCGGCTGCGCTTTCCAGCTATGGGATGTGCCGCGTCGTGAGTGTTCGTTTCGCGGTAGTTCGTAAGCACAGCCATGTGGCCGCCCTTGGTCATGCCGAGCCATGTTCCATGCTCAGCTCGGGCCAAATCCCGGCTGGAAATGACCTCGACTTTTCGGCAGTCGTACTCATGCTTGTCGGTAGAGGGCGATTCTGACAGTGCCGTCCACCAGTGAGGTTTGCTAGTTGGCCGAAGGATGTATTCATCTCGATTGTCGATAACAATGAGCGCGTATTTTGGGTGCGCAGTCGTTAGCAGAACGATGCACATTTTTGCCGGGATTTGTTTTGGGACGTTTTGATAAGATCAATCGCTTTCTCGGGAACTTTAAGGTTGAGATGGGCTGACTCAAAGCGAGCTATAGCTGGGTTGCTGGGTCAGCTCCCGGACGATGACGAATGTTTGGATATTCGATTTCGGACGAATGTACAAGGTTACGCCTTTCAAAAGTGACTGGGAACACTTGACCAAAAATGTGGTCGGCCTGGTCTGGTGTATTTATGGATGACCTAGAAATATCTAGGGGCACGGTTCATATTGGACAGCGAGCAACTTGACCAACCTTGATGGTTGTGGTCAACCGTTGTGGTTTAAGTACCTGATCTAACTTCTTCCCAGGCCGAGCCACCATGTGTCAACCTACTGTAGGTGACGCCTAGTGGCAAAGTGACAACGGCGAGAACGACAGGGCAGAAGATACTATTGAATAGGCTGAACGAAGAGCAAAAGGGCAGTGCTCTATACTACGACCCTATATTTTCGTTGGAAAGGGTGGACGATATCATTCGGGATGGTCTGGGTCTGGGCATTAGTGATGGCCTGTCAAACGGCCAATGATGATGACATGCTGGAGTCAGGCCACCAAATACATCATGCACTTCATGCGGCTGCCAAAGTCTAACCTCGGTTTGCCTGTTTCCGCATGTGTATGATAAAGATCATCTTGATCTTGGTGTTTGGGGAATGGTTGCAACTCTCTGAACGGGGAAAGAATACTGACATACGGCGCAGTATTCTAGTATCTATGCCATTCGTAGGATTTGGCCGATGGATGTCCAAACGGTGAGATATGGGAGCGGAGAATGGCGAGAAGGATGGGGAGTCAGGTAGGATATTGGAACACTTCATGAACATTGGTAGAAACCCTGGAATGAAGACCGCTGACTTACAGTACCGTGAGTAAAGTCAAGAAGGGATCTTGAGAGGTAATACCATAGAGCCGCGCAAACTGGACGGTTCCTGGTCGGAGTCACCTCTGTTATGGATCCCAACTCCCCAGATCTTGGAACAGGAGCTCATATGTTGGTGAGCATTCGCCGCAAGAATCACGATATGTGTCATTCATTAAAGATTACTTCACCTGGAGGGGAAAAAGGCACAGAGGCGGTCATCACCTTGCGTGACACCGTGGCCCCCAAGTTGAACGAATTGACGCTTGTCTGTTGGTGAATATTTGACAAACCGAATGAGTCCAACGAACGGAAACTTCCCCGCTGGAGAATCCCCAGCCTGTGGACGGCGCCGCACGACGGTCTCGACGCATCAAGCCAAGGGGATCAGTCAATTCCTTCAGCAGCACGAGCCACGGACATGGTAACAGCGCAGTCGGCCTTTGCCAGTTGCCAGCCCCACTATCACAGGCAGTCTAGGTCCTCCTACGTTCAGTGGCGTCGTCTTGGCAGTTGGCTTAGAGCACGGACCATAAGACACGACCAGCCAGTGAACTGCCGAGGAGAATGTGGGGTGAACATTTGCTGGGGGCAGCCCGGTCGCGGTGCGGACTGCCAGCGTAGAATTTGTTTGTGGACCTGAACGCAAAGAGCACAAAATGCTACGAAGGACGGCAAGTGTGACTCTTCTGTGTGCCTCGCAGCGTGTGCTGACCAATGCCCTTGCTCTGCCCCTGATTGAGCTCTGGGACTGTCCCGTCGTGCAAGTCGAAGACCAGCCCGAGTAGCTGGAGACAATGACGACCTGCTCGAGTCTGCTTTCCAATTGACTCTTGCGAGTTTCGGAGCCAGCTCAACCGAAGTGACGAGATGCTGTCCGAAACGCCAAGCCCTTCTTCTACACTAAGTCCGTAATACGGAAAGTCCACAGTCGGCAGCCGTACTTAGCATCCTGGCAGCGCTCTTGCCTGCAAAACTTGGGATTAAATGTAGCCACCAAGTCTGGGGTTGTCAGTGCTCCAACACTGCAGTGTCAAAGGCGAATTGGCTGAATGTGCGAGCACTATATCCGGCCACGCTTATGTGGCTTGAACCGACACGTCTGCACGCGTTGTTGCTGCGGTTAGTTTGCGTCTCGAAATGGGCTTTGTACGTAGTGTATGTGGATTCGGGGGTGTCTCCCACTGGTTGATCGCTCCAGCCAGCGGAGCAACAAAACGGGATTCTGATGTGTGACGTGATGAGCCCTCGCCGTCTCCAAAGAAGTACGCCAATCACAAGAGCCGATTCCTATTCGGGCGGTCAGGATTCAGGACTCGTTTACACTAAGATTTGGCCGCCGCTGTCTTTTGTGCCACTGCGGGGTCGGGGGGCCATACCTGGTCGGGTATGTACCAGACCGGTACTCCGTCGTAGTAGTGGCCTTTGCCGGATGCCCTGACCAAAAAAATCTCTTATTGACTCATATGAATCTGGTGCTGTCGTGCAGCCGCAAGGGTCCGCGAAAAGTTTAAAACCACAGCTATATCAGCGACATCGGGAAGCCATCCGCATTTCTCAATTCTTCCTCCTTTCAATTTTGCCAACACAGTCCTCCTCAGTCTCCCTCCTTGTCATCTACAGACCAGACAACATGTGCGGAACCGATGCTCCCAACGGCACCAATGGTGCCTCCAATGGCGTGAACGTACGTCGACCACGACTTCCCAATAATCCAACTGTCCCCGAATTCTGGGTTGCCCAAAATGCTAACTGCTATCTACGGTTACAGCCCGCCAACTTCCGCTCCAACCCCTACCAGCCCGTCGGCGACTTCCTCTCCAATGTCGGCAGCTTCAAGATTATCGAGTCCACTCTTCGCGGTTCGTACCAGCACAATAAACACACTGCCTTTTCGACTTCATTCCGCTGACTTCAAAGCCAGAGGGTGAGCAATTCGCCAACGCCTACTTCGACACCGAGACCAAGATCAAGATGTTAGTCATTCCCACTCCCAGTCACAGACCCATTGGCCTTTCGTCGCTTCCGCAGCCCCCGAACCCGGAACCTAGAATTCTCCGAGCTTGAAAACCCGATCTCATGCTGACTTCTCATTCGTTTAGTGCCAAGGGTAACCATGCCAAGCGCCCCGCTTCTTTTCCATTTACAGACAACTGACCCCGGTAATCGGACACAGCCCTTGACGACTTTGGCGTCGATTACATCGAGTTGACCTCTCCCGCTGCTTCGGAGCAGTCTCGGAGAGATTGCGAGGCCATCTGCAAGCTCGGCCTCAAGGTACGTCTCGATGGCATTGTCGGTTCGGAAGCTCACAAGGACCCTCGGCTAACCCAGGTTTCCCACACATAGGCCAAGATCTTGACTCACGTCCGCTGCGATATGCGCGATGCCCAGCTCGCTGTTGAGACTGGTGTCGACGGCCTCGATGTCGTCATTGGCACTTCCAGCTTCCTCCGCGAGCACAGCCACGGCAAGGATATGGCTTACATTGAGAAGACCGCCGTTGAGGTTATCGAGTATGTCAAGTCCAAGGGACTTGAAGTTCGCTGTAAGTTTTACATGCCCCGTTTCGCATACAGCCCAAAACACCCCTTGCCTCCACTAGCTGTTTCGGCCGAGACATCATTCGATCCCGGAATCGGCTCTTTTTTTTCGGCATGGAAGGTCCGCTTGCGCACGGTGTCTACAACTCCGTGCTATCCGGACACGGCGACTACTGACGTATCCCAATTATTGTTCAAACACTATCCTAGTTGGAATTGTACGCTAACATGCGCAGTCTCCTCCGAGGATTCCTTCCGCTCCGATCTCGTCGATCTCCTTTCCCTTTACCGCGCTGTTGACAAGGTCGGCGTCCACCGTGTCGGTATCGCCGATACCGTCGGCTGCGCTTCTCCTCGCCAGGTCTATGACCTCGTCCGTACCCTTCGCGGCGTCGTTTCGTGCGACATCGAGACCCACTTCCACGACGACACTGGCTGCGCCATTGCCAACGCCTACTGTGCTCTCGAGGCTGGTGCCACCCACATCGACACCTCTGTTCTCGGTATCGGCGAGCGTAACGGTATCACCCCTCTCGGTGGCTTGATGGCTCGCATGATCGTCACCAGCCCCGACTACGTCAAGAGCAAGTACAAGCTCCACAAGCTCAAGGAGCTTGAGGATTTGGTCGCCGAGGCTGTTGAGATCAACACCCCCTTCAACAACCCCATCACTGGTTTCTGCGCCTTCACCCACAAGGCTGGTATCCACGCCAAGGCCATCCTCAACAACCCCAGCACCTACGAAATTCTCAACCCTGCCGATTTCGGTCTTACCCGCTACGTCCACTTCGCTTCGCGCTTGACTGGCTGGAACGCTGTCAAGACCCGTGTCGGCCAGCTTGGTCTCGAGATGACCGACGACCAGGTCAAGGAATGGTAAGCGCAATAACTTCATCCCAGCAGATTTTTTGGGATTGAAAAACTGACAGTGACTTTACAGCACCGCCAAGATCAAGGCCCTTGCCGACGTGCGCCCAATCGCCATCGACGACGCCGATTCGATTATCCGTACCTTCCACCTCGGTCTTCACGAGCAGAACAAGGTCCAGCCTCCCGCTGTTGTTGAGAACTAAGCGGAAGCAGACCGTTCGACCGACGGAGTTGTCCTTTAGCATGAAGGGGAATATACCAGGATTTTTACGAGGAGAGATGCTGGCATCATGACGATTTTCTTTTTTCTTGTGTTTGGGGTCATTTTTCACACATCCACCGGAGTTCTTTGAGTACTATAATCTCCCTGTTTGGGGAGCAAAAAGGGGGTTGATTGGGTTAACTGGGGATGACTGAGCAGGCCAATATTGCCGACTGTGTTCCTAATCAGGGGGAATGCTCGTCGACACATGAGCATGAGATAGACAAAATCAACGGGAGACGAAAGTAGCAATGTCACCTGGTTGTCCTTCACCTTTGTTCTTTACAAGTTTCGGTGACCAACGTGACTAGTGCTTCGCTGGATTTGGGTGGGTAGGCGAGTTTGGGGGTCCAGCAACGCCAACTAGGTGACGTTGAGTGGTCAATCTTGTAAGAGTCTTCCATGAAGTCGACAGCTGGCCCCCCTGGTTGGGTATCCAAAGGGACCACAAAGGAGCCGGATCTGCCCGCTCTTAGTCCAGTCCCGAGACAGTGGCTCGGGACTCGGATGAGGAACGGGTACGGATTGCAACACCAGCGACAGATATCACGGGTAGGGCCGCCCACAAAGCCCCCGCTGCTCTGTACTAGGCAAGAAGACGAGTGAAGAACATGCGGAGGACTCCACCAAGAGACCCGACGCCCTGGTACGGACCCCCTGGTATGTCATAGGCGCACAGGGTGCATGAGGTGAAACATCGACACCGGTGATTCGAGACTCGAACGATGTCCCCTCTCACGCTGCTCGCTTAACGGCCTTGCCGTAGTCACCCGCGGGCACAGCGGCTAGGCTACCTAGTCAAGGCCGTTGATATGCGCAACTCCACCTTTCCGGGCTACCGTCCATCGGCCACCAGAAAACGAGTTTCGAGACACTACACTGTGCTACTTTACATGCACATCCACATGGCAATGTCGCTCTGGGTATTAAGCTTGACAAGGTCGAAATCCCTTCGCCTACCTGGACGACTCTGGCGCAACCTACATACCTTGCGAGTGGATAGAGCGAGGAGGTGGAGTTCTGGAACAGGTACCCTGATGAGATCGTTCCAGCTGGGATGGAGTCCGTGGCGTCGGTGACTCATTGGGGTTGTGGTGGAGTCTATACTTACCTAGCTGTCAAACTTCACACACGAAAGGGCCTTCGAAAGCGAGGAAGCACACCAATGCACCTTGTCTATGGGCTGAAAGGCCATAGTAACTAACTTGGTGAGTTCATGAAATGTAGGCCGGCGAGGCCGGGACACCATTAACCCAGCTCGGTCAGTGTCGCTGTCGCTAATGTCTAGTCCAGAGTATAAGGAATGATTACCTCTATCTTACAACCAGTTGTCTTGATCATTGTTTGTGAAAAACATGTGCATTTGCAGTGTCCGTTCGACAGTCATGCCACGTGGGACTGGAGGCAGATTAACAGCACAGCGTCTCAAGGTCGTGCTTTGTGCCAGGTGTGTAAGTGTTCCAGGACGAACTTTGTGCCTCTGGCAAGGCACCTTAGTCAGTCTGTTACGAGAGCACGGCATCTACCTACCTGCTTGCTTCTACTGAACATCTAATAGTTGTTGAGGAACCAGCAACGAGTGTCAAGTAAGTGATGCCCGTAACGGCAAGCCATGTACGGTTGCCAAGAGATGTGTACCGGAACATCAGCGGAGCTTTAGAGACCCACACCATCGGACCTGCGCCGGACACCCCGGCCCTCCGGCAGTTACCCGGACTAGTATCTGCTACTCTGACAGCGGGAGGGTCCGTTTGACTCCACACTTCGCCGTGCCCGTACGGTAGGGTTAAAATGGCGAGAGCACCTCACACAGCAGAGTGAGCCGACTGATGAAATTCAGGTTCGAGAAAACAGAAAAGTAAAGTCTCGATGATAAGGTATGTAAAGTAATCCCCCTTGATATTTCTTCATGACATCGGCCGACAGAAGCCTCACAAAGCAGTGCAGTCGTGCAAGCGCAAGTGCAACAAGATCGAGACATCGATTTGTAGTAAGGCACCCGGCAGACCCTTTGTGCTTCCAGGCCACAAAAAGAGGCCATTTTCGAAGTCAGGGTTCAACCTTGTGTTTTGTTTGCATACGACATTACTAACTTCTTATTTTCCTCTGTTGTTGTGGTTGGGCAATGGCTACCACCAAGTTCTCGTGATGCCAAAACCCTTTGGCGGTTGTCTGGTGGTCGTGTGGTAGGCGTTGGGCTAAACTGAGAGAGGGAAAAAAAAGGAAAAAAAAAAAAAAAAAAAAGAAGCCAACGAATGACAACGACGTCATTGTACATACTGTAGGTGAGCTACTTAGCCCTAGTACACTAGCTATAATTTTCTGGACTAATTTTCTCACCTGGCTGGCCCAACAAGCGGGGACGGGACTGGGCAACCTGAAGCTGTTTGTGACAGACAATGAGCCTTCGTTGGAGAAAAGAATGATGAACATGAAAATGAAGATATAGCCAAAGAAAGAAAAATAAAAATAAACCCAAATCCGATTGCAGGTTTGGAAGAGGGAAAAAATTCCGGTCCACATTCGCGTCGAGGTGTCTTTGGCTTTTGCTGCCAGTGGTGTTTTGCCTGTTAGCCGAGCGCCGAGCTGCTGCTCAAGGGTCGGATATGCCTGATTCAGAGTGAGACATTCTGTGCAATCCCGGAATCCCCTCATTCACAAGGTAGACGACATATGCTGTGCTTGCGAATTTTCCGGTACACTACTTATTGATGAGTGATAGGAGCAACAGGTAGTTCTTTGTAGAGCGACAGCATGGATGCTCCCTGTCCGGCATCGGGATGCGGTGAAAGTGATAATAGATGTTAATGGCCACCACTCAAAACAGACTTTCGCACTAACAAGAACTATTGACCGCAGCAGTTAACACCAGATATCCCTTGCCCGTGATTCATAACAAGGGCAGAAAATAAGGTTGATGCTGAGCAATGCAGCAACCCGAACAAACTACATTGTGTTTCTCCTCACTTGATCCTCTCCACACTCAAGCAGCAAGGACTTTGTGTGCGTGACAGCCGAACACGCGGATGGTTGCGTCGTAAGGCTCTATTTTCCTTGTCAAGGGCCCTGAACGCCTGATGCGCTTGAAACCTCTCCATATCGGAATAGTCTAGTTGGCTGGATGTCAACCTTGCTTCTATGAGCTTGCCCCATTTTCAGCGCTAGAGAGGACCCTTTTCGGGAGTCAACGAAGTCGTATCGTGAACTGGCGATGATCTTGGCACATGGCACATTTCGGTGAAGATTCCATCGTGTTCTGGGCACCTTTGTGTGTCTACCTACGAGGACCTCATGCTGCCTCTTATGACAGCACGGCCATATGTCAACCGTGAACCTCCCAAGCCATAAAACTTCCACTCTTTTCAGTCACATCAATAGAGGTAACGACGACCTAACTGACACTCTCGCAACGGCATTTTGAAACAGTGGCAGCATCCCTTGCAAAGTTACCGAAGCGGGGTGTACCAGAGAGGAAGCGACCAGTCACGAAGCCCCCAAAGCAAGATAGATCCCTACGCTGTCCCCACCACTAGCTTAACACCTTTGATGCAACTGTCGTCATAGGGCCGACATCTTGGACATCGTTCGTCCAAACTTGAACTTCGTCCCATCTCTTCCGAGTCCTCGCTTAACCGCTGGTTGTCACCTAATTCGACTAAAACCAGACCTGATCCCCAGGAACGCGCGGCACTTGCCATCCCACGTTGACCGATTTCCATCAAGATATCCACCAACCTGCTCTCATCTTTTCGCCTTCTCGTCATATTACATACCTACGGTCCCATCGTCTTCGCCACGCTCTACTTTAGTGTCGAGTAGCTGTACTCTACTGCGTAGCGAAGGAAGAGCATCCGATCATCACCTACAAGGATCAGCATATCTTACCCGACCCCTGCCATGGCTGGTCGAGCCTCGTTCCCAAACCTGGGTCGGACCAGTGTCGCTCCCAACCGCTCTGCACGGTGGGACCGAGATTTCTTTGATGAACGGGAACATGACATGACCCTTGAGCGTGGGCGCGGCTCTGGTCGTGACCGATTCGAAGCCCTTCCCATCCGAACTCGCAACCCGGACGACGATGATGACTACTTTCGCCAGAGCCGTCGTGTACCTCCGCCTAGGGAGCACTCCGTCGATGGACGCTTTATGCACGACCGCCGAGCCCGCCGCCCTCATTTCGACGAGGAAGAGGACGACGATCTCCTTTTTCGTGAGCGGCGCCGTGTCATGTACGACGATATCGAGACTCCCCGTCCTCCCTCTACCACGCGCCGACGACGGTCTCCTTCCGCAAGTTCCTTCGTCCGCCGAAGACCATCTTCCGAAAGAGAAAGATTCCGCAGCCCATCTCCCCCAACACGCCCTACTGCGAGGATGAGGAGACGTACCTCCAGTGTCGATACATATGATCGAAAGCCCAAGGGCTTCTACGACCGCGAAGAGTATGACCCGCCCGCCAGAAGGTCCGACTACCGCATTCCTCCCAATGTGCCGATCCCGCTGCCTAGGCACAAGGCTTTGCCTCCTCCAAGAGTTTATGCCGAGCACGACTACTTCCAAGATATCCAAGTTTCGGATCCTTATCGATATGGTGACGAAGACTTCCATGCGTTCCCTGGGGGAGAAAAGTTCCGTGAGCGCGAGGTCGAGAAGGAAGTTATCCACACAAGGCGCGGCCGGAGAGACCGAAGCAGGGACTCGCGTACTTCCCGTGCCACCAGTCGTAGCCGTCGAAGCAGCCGCCGAAGCAGATCGGTGGCATCAAGCACCAGCAGCTCTTCGAGTAGCAGCGGCGGTACTACCATCACAAGCAAGAGCGAGTATCCGAAGAAGGGAAAGACAAGAATCCCCTCTCGCTTACTCTCGAGGCGGGCTCTCATTGAAAGTGGCTTTCCTTTTGTCGAGGAGGTAGGTTCATGACTTTGTTTTTTTGGACCGGCACAGTTTCTCGCTAACACTTTCTTCAAGGGAACTACTACCATTATACAGAAGGCTCTCGGTCAAGAGCATATCGATCATCTGCTCAAAATGAGCGACGAGTACAAGAAGGGTAAGTGTCCAGTTTCAAGTTGGTATTGACTTCAGGCTAAGGCAAATCCAGCTGAACTTGAGATCCACGCCGCTCGCTCGAGTGCCGGCGATGTCATTGAGGAACGCGAAGAATCTCGCACGGAGATCATCGAATACACCGACACAGCTATTCCAGGGCCACCACATCATACGACACACTACACTCAAACCACTACCCATGCTCACCCGCATGTTCATACCACCACCGTACATACCCACTCGCCTGTTCAAGCCACATACACCCAGCCAGTGATGGTAAACGCGACACCGCCCGTACATACTCAACAAGTCGACTTCGCAAAGACTGTACAGGTCCGCGACGTCTCTCCTTCACGGGCTTCCTCCTACAGCTCATGGGATAGCACCTCCTCTTGGACCGACTTGACCTGCACGACTGGTACCACATGCTCTACCTGCTCTACTGCAACAGTCGCACCTCGAGGACATGTACACACGCCCCAAGTTGTCCACGTCGCACACCCAGACGAATTTTCCAAGGGGTTGATGATTCTCGATAAGAGTCACAGCATGAGTCGAAGCCGCAGTCGCCATCGCAGTCAAAGCCGCAGTCGCCATCACAGTCGTCATCGCAGTCGCCATCGCAGTAGCCATCGCAGTCGCCATCGTAGTCAAAGCCGCCGAAGCCGTAGCCGCCACCATTCGTACGAAAAAGAACGACACGGCAGCAGAGGCAATCTCGTTCTCGCCGAGCGCCTAGCCACCGGCGAGCTTGTTCTGCATGAGGAAGAAGTCGAGAGGATCGAGGAGCCCAGGAGGGGTGTGAGGCTTGAGAAGGACAAGAGAGGTAGGATGTCTATCAGTGTGCCGAGGAATCGCCGATAAAGCGTCACTTCCGGTGCGTTTGTCAAGTGTGATTTTCTTGGGTTGTGTGGAGCGTTGGGACAGACGTGCTAACCATTTGGGGTTTACAGGTCCTCCGCCGAGGTTGGTGAAGGCTATGTTGGCTACCTTGACTTGAGAAGAAACGGTCAGCTAGTGGCTAAACGCATTGTCTGTCATGATTACTTCCAGGCTCGGATGTGTTTTGTCTTTTTTACTGTTCTTGGATACCCGACTTATGCGCTCTCTTCTTTATAATGGTAATGATTTTGGAATGTGATGAGCCATGTTACATGACTGATGTTACAAATTCAAATGTTGTTGGAACGGGCACTCAACGTCGGTGGCAGTGGAAGTTATCTTTTGGCGTATTGGATAAACATTTGGCGGTTCATTTCGTTCATCAAAAATGATACCTTTTCAGAGCGAACCATTCCCCCCTGATATACCTGTCGAGCGCGATGTTCATTCCCGTTTACCTTCTGGTCGAATAATCATGGTATCACATTGTCTACCACATCTGAGAATCAAACTCACATGCGCAAGTGCAGTTGAACTCGCTTTTATCAATTCTTAAGCCCCTTGACATACCCGATCTTCCGGGTTACTTCAAGATTTATGTTTAGCCCTTCGCGACGCCTCAAGCCTTCGTTGTTTTCTCCCCAGCTGCCTCCTCCTGGGTCTTCTTGGTCGTCTGCAGCAAGCTGCCCTTCGCAACAATATCAAGAGCGTGGCGAGACAAGCTGTCCTGCGCCGATCTGGCAAAAACGCTGCCGACTTTGGGCTTGCTAGCTCTGGAATACTCATAACCTGGACATGATCGGTGTGATTGCATCTTACTTCTCTGTGTCGCCAGCTCGGCGCGACGCTTGGAGTCGGCGCTGGAGATGGGCTTTAAATATGGAAGAAGGACCCAAGGTGAAGGGGCAAGCGGCAATCAAGGTCCATGTACAGTTATTTGTGCAAGATTCACTGCCGGCGGTGGTGTTCAAGGCCATGGGCAGTTGGGGCGTCGGTCAAGGCTCCGAACATGCCTCTACCTCCAAACCTGAAGGTGATTGACTCCCTTCAAGGTTTCGGGAAAAATCACAAGATACATGATCCGATGACCTTGTGACTGCTTTTGGTTGTTTTGCAAGTCATGCTGGATAAGCGGTAGTCGTTTGACATGGTGATGGATGGGTGATAGGTAAACCATCCAGGGAAAGGTGTACAAGGGGCATCACTTGATGTTCAGATTATGGTCAGGTAAGATCGTCCTTTGGTTTCAACTCCTCTGTTCGCACTAAAACTCCGCGAATGCTGCCTCGGCCATCATCCATCAAGATCTCCAGATTCCTCACCCCTCTCGTGACTTTTACCCACACTACATCCGAGTTTCCCATCTGATACACCACCGATGACAAATTGTGCTGGGCTAAAACATCTTCTGCTGTTGTGGGCTGAGCCAATTCCTTCTACAGCACGAGTTAGAGAATGACGTCTTGCTTGAACAAGTGAAAGAAGTACATCTCACCTTGGGTGTGGATGATTACCTACAAGCGGAAGCGACGACCGCGTCGTTACTTCTCCGCTTGAGAAGCTCTCATCTTCTCCTGTCTCTCAAAAGCGGCCAAGTCCTTCTTAATATCACTTTGGATCCTTGGGAGGATCTGCTCCCGAAGTATTTCTAAAGCACGCGGCGTCAAAGTAACCTTCGGGCTCGCGACATAAGACATATTGGGGGTGATCTTGGGGGTAGTCGTGTTTTCGTCAACTTTGGCGGTCTTGGACGAATGGTCGGACGTCTCGTTGGCCGGCATACTGTCGAAATATTCACGTCTGGCGTAAAGAGTTAAGTGGGAGTAGGCGGTGAGATTTGAGTGAGTGGATGGTTTATCTACCTTGACGATGTGCAAGTTGGAAAGTTATTGGAGTTGTGCGGTGCAGGTTGGAATACTTGATGGAAGATGATGTTTGGAGAAGAATGAATAGGTAGTCGTAAACTTTGGGGGGATGGTTTATGGCTTTAGCTAAGGGATCGAAAACCGAGGCCGCAAGTCACTTGGGATGAGTAAGGTAGTACCGTAATGACGGCAATCAAGGGTTACGCCAAACATGCGTCGACCGAAACACTCCAGCGAAGGGGAAGGTAATGATGCATTCTTGGTCGACGTCGCTACACCTTGGTCAAGGAGAATCACTAACAGAATGAGGAAACAAGGTACGTGGGAGGAATACTCAGCATTTGCATGATACCTCTCAGCCGAACAATTAAGGCGAGTAAAATTGCTTTTGAGTCTCAACCCTTCCCTTAGAAGAAAACCATTCGGGTACTAATTCCTTCGCAAAACTGTAGAGACACCATCTGTTTCATGAGCAAACATGAAATAAACACAAAGGGAATGCCGACTGTCCGTCTACCAGTTTCTCTGGTATACCCCAAGTCCCTCAAGCCAGAATATGATTCAAACCACCCCCAACATCCCCACTTCCCAACCAGTGCCGAGTCGTGTCATGCTCCGTACATAGTTTCAGGGAAGTAGAGGTAGGTATCTATACTATGAGTTAGCGGCTGACAATGTATTCGTGTAGAAGAAGCGAGAAGGGTAGAGGGCGAACTCTCCCACAAAAAACCTACCTTTATGAACCCGTTTTTTCCTGTAGTTCTTGCACCTCCCGCATCAGCAAGCGCAATTTCTCATTGGAAATCTCGAGCGCATCGTGCATTTCGCGTGTCGTGGAGAGCACCTGATCACAGAAAATTCCAACTGCACGACGGGAGTTGTCTGCCTTGGGCTCGTTATTGGCGAGTGTCGCCTCTTCAACGGGGCGAGCGGCGGTGGATGCGGGAACGCCTTGGACGCTTTGCTTGTCCATTTTTGTAAAGATGCTGCTGGACGAAGGGTAGGTAGGCGTCTGGAGTAAGTGGTAGTCAATATATAAGGGGGTGGTGGATACGCCACATATACTGGTGAAGCTAAAAGGTGCAATAGAGTGTTTCGGAATGGACAGCTCTCTGTGGACTGACAAGGGCAGGAGCAGGTGTATGTTTGGAAGCAAGGAAAGAAGCTTTGAGTGGTGGATTGAGCTCCTTAAATACGAAATTGGGGGAAGTGCCAAGGTCGCACTTCACCGACGATGACTGTAGGTTTTCGATCCCCATTATTGGGTTCTGTTGTTTTGCTGGGGTGAAGGTCTGCTCTTTTTTTGCAAGAAGCTAGATACCCGGAACGAAATATTCGTAGCTGAAGCAACAACGCCGGTGGTTGTACTACTCTGAGAAAAGCCGACTGTGAATTAATTTACGAGTGTCTCCTGATAGTATGGGGTCTGCGCATCCACTGCCTCGGGGCTACTGGTTACGATCACAATCTGACACGCCCACGTCTTGTAGGCAATAGGCTGACAACCAGATGACCGAGGCTTTTAATAAACGTACTTATTTCTTCTCGTTGACTTCTATGTCCGTGTCTTCCTGGGATTCTTCAGTGACCATCTCGGGGCTTCCGATCTACGTCCTCCTCTTCTTCGCTTGATTTGCATCGTCACTGTCACCCTTTCCTTTTCTATTCCCGTGGCAGTCTTGAATTATCTGCTCCTTCTCTTCCTATTCCACGCTAGAGTGGTAACCTCTTTGTCATCTCCAGCTTTGCCCTTCTGGCAGCAACATGGAGATTTCAATGCCTGTTCTCTTGTTCCTCCGCCTTCTCCTTAATACCAGCATGGGCTGAATGCAAGCTTTCCATTTGCGTTCTGCTTTGATATTCATCCTCTGAGGAGTGGCAAGTGTTTTATTTCGAGTCAAGTCTTGCCCTGGACTTTCGACGCCGCCTTCTTCTGGGCCTGATTCTCTCGGAAAGCGCGCATGCCTGGAATGTATGTGACCATGTTGTGTCTTGTAATAATATAGGTTCTTTTGAAACGTAGAAGACTTCCGTACATTTTAGCATCAAATACCCAATCTTATGTCATGCTAGAGAAAGGGGTGATTGGACGATCTTCCCAGAAAGACGTAAAACCATAGACAAGAGGCACGGCATATGGAGCAAGGCATGGTTGTAGGTTATAGATTTAGATACCTCTATGTACCTACACTTCAATCAAGTATTGGGGAAAGGATGTACTGATATTTGCCCTTACTATGACTCTGATGCCGAAAACTCATGCACCCAGTCCAAACTGTGCGCTTGAAGAGTCTTGAGACACTTATGATCTCTCTTACGACAATGCAGGTTATATTCCATCAGGATTTAGCCGTGGTTTCAACCAAGTGATATCAAAATAGTGGTATAATTGAACATGATTTGCCAAACACATTGGATACCTAAATATTCCATTCTTCATCACAACTCCAAACGTCTAACTATTCTCCCTTTCTCCAGGTGAACTACATTGCGTTGCTGGTATATACATGAGCTAACAATTCAAATGTGAACGCTTTGACTCCCAGTCTTACCTCTTGATGTATGCTCCTGTTCTATTCCAAATCCGTATGTACAAAGCTTTCAAACATTCCGCCTTCACCATCGAACAAAGACATTACCGATCGGGTGACTCGGGGTCAAACAAAGGCAAGTTGAGACAACGGCAAGCCGGGTCGCTTCACGACCATTTGAATTGCCTGTCTCGTCTGTATAGCCGGGCATTCTCAGCGGCGCCATTTTTGTGCTTCCTGGATGTGTGGAAATCTTGGTTAGGGATTTGAATAGGTACTGGGGGTACCGGTAAAAGGGGCCCATTATAGACATACCTTACTTGGGAGCAGTCATAGCTACAAGCTTCTTCCTGGGATACTTTGGCTGCGTCCTCGGCTTCGGACCAGCCCTCCTCCTACCCTGGACAATCTCTCTGCGTTCCTCCTCCTCGGGCATCTCCTCCTCGGGTACATCCTCCATCTCGATGTCATCGGGATCTACGGCCTCAGCGCTGACTTCCTCTTCAGTGCTCGCCCTCCGGGCCCTTCTCTCTTCCCATTCGGCGAGAATCTGTGCTGAAGTGTCTACAACATTTTCTGCCGGCTCCTGTAAACCCAGTAGTATCGTGATTAGTACATTGTATAACGAAAAAAAAAAAAAAAAAAAAAAAAAAAAAAAAAAAAAAAAAAAAAGGACAAGACAGGACAGAGCAGGACAGGGGGTCAGCACATACCCAGGTTGGATCGTATTTCTCACCAGTCTCCGGGTTATCTTCCCAGTCTACCAAGTACTGGAGTTGACCGTCAGAGTCCACTTGTTCCGCAATAATGTCCCGGACTTCCCACAATTGCATTGGATCATAGGCCTCGTCTTCGGACTCCTCTTCGGACTCGTCTTCGGACTCCTTGGCCTTCTTGGCTTTCTTGTTAGACGCCTTCTTCTTGTTCTTCCTTTTCGGAGATTTGGCCTTTCTAGCCGGCTTTTTGTTCGCGGCGGATTTCGCTCTCTTCCTAGGTCTTTCCTCGGGCTCCTCGCTCTCCTCGGCTTCCTCTTCGTCATCCTCGTCATCGTCGTCAGATGCTCTTTTTCTCTTCCCGCCTGCCGCTTTTGTTGTCTTGCGCCTCTTGGCTGCAGGTTCCTCTTCGGCTTCCTCTTCGGCTTCCTCTGCAGGGGCCTCCTCAGGTTCCTCCTCGGATTCATCCCCGGGGGCTGGAGGTTCGTTTTGCGCGGTCATTCTTTGCGGCACGGTACGGATATTCAGCCCTGCGAGACGCTTGTTGGGGTTGATTCCCTGGGCTCTGAGAGCGGCCTTGTCCGAATGTGCCCCACGGGCGGTAGCGAGCGTTCTCTTAGGCATTGTGGTTGAAGGCTAACGGATTGCTGAAGGTGAGAAAGCTAGCAAGGTTTCTAAACTGGATAAAAATGCGGATGACATCTTTCTATGTTCACATTCACTGGAGTTTATATATATTTTAGTGATTGGTAACATGAGGAACATGCTGTTAGAGGGCACAAGGTTCCACGCTGCTACTCGAAGGTGACTCGATGGTAGACGACTCAAAGACAGACGACACAAAGCCGGACGAAACAAAGGCAACCGAAACAAAGGTAGACAACTCGAAAATAGACGATTCGAAGATGTACGACTCAAAGGGGACGACACAAAGCTGAGTAAATCAACTCATTGTCTGACAGGTTGTGGCTCCTGCTTCCTCGGACAATCTCGGTATTGTCACATTTATCTCGAAACAATGCTCACCCTCAGCCAGGTACAACTTGAAAGTTCCAGGCACTTCACCTCCGCCTCCAACAAAGAAATGATCATGTTCTATGGTTATCAAATCTTGTGGACAGTTGGTGACACGAAACTTGTGTGTTATCGAGCGTCAAGCGGCGATATGGCAATGTTTCCCATGAGACTAAGGTATATGTCACTCAACAAGCTATGTATGCCAGAGGTCAAGATGCATGGTTATCGGTTACTAATGACCTGAAATGAAGAGGGAAGATGACTTGGGATCATTGACCCATCGGCTGCTAAACTTATGGGAGAAACCATTTCCACGATCAGCTCGTGACTTTGGCCATGGTCACAAGCCCAGCGTCTATGTTCGAGGTTCAAAGACTTGAATAATCCAGGTATTCACCAGGTGTCCTTCTATGAATGAAGGATGTGGACTGGTAGAGCTTATGTATATTCAACATGAAACGGCTGCGAACATTCAGGATGTAATCGTCGAGAGTAAGCAGGCACCTCGAATACGTAGACGTGGTAAGGGGTACGCTTCACAGAGAAAGTAAAAACGTTCCGAAGAATTCAAAATGACAAGCATGAAGCAAGTAACAACACAAGAACAATGGAAGAGACCAGTCACTCTCCGAGATGGAAAAATTCTTGTTTCAGAGTGTTGTTGGAATTAAAAATATATAAATCGCAACTAGGACTGTCCTTTGGTCGGACGCCCATGCACTTGGCCCCTTGCGATTTGTCAACTTTGACCCTGAACTTTTTCTTGGAAATGACCTTATCAGACTCGCCGGTCTTGCCGCTAGCATACCTGTTACTAGCAGGTAAACGTTAATGCATAGAAGCCACCCAGAGCCAGATACAGTCAAGACTGCCACTTTCCAGTCCTTCTCCCAAAACAAATTGTTCCTGTACCGTTATATACGAATACATATCTTTCCTGCCATACAGCACTGACTGTGGACCCCAGAGGGCGAAACGATGGGCGGAATGGTTGACGTGGCTGTAATGGATAACTTGCCGATGTTAAGTGTAACACGCTTCGACATCGGCCGCGGAGACACTTCTCCACCTCTTCATGTAAATACCATCGCCTCAGCGTCTCAGATTTCCTCTTCATCCTCGACGACATGCAGAGAAGGGTACTCGAAGCCCCAAACGCTACATCTGATACATTTGCGGAGGTCGGTACAGTGGGCTTTGGCCGTGGTCCTTTGGGCCCTTCCAGGCTCGGGCTTAACCTTGGGCCCAGCCTCTTGCTCAGGGTCGTCCTCATGCTCGGCCTCAGGCTGAGGATCGGGCTCGTCATGAGGTTCTGAGCTATTGACAACCATGGTGGAGTCAGAGGCTGAATTGGAAGACGACTTGGAAGACAGCTCGTCCTTGATTTTCTGAATGGCTCTACGGTTAGAGGAAGCGGTGGAGGACCGAAGAGTCGGCCCGGAGTACTGCTCCTTCTTGACATCAGCGGCAGAGGAAATAGTTGAGGAGCGAAGGGTTGGTCCGGAATACGGCTTCTTGGATTTGCCGGCAGCGGAGGTGGTCGACGAGCGAGGAGTCGGTCCGTCAAACGACGCAGAAGACATCTCATCCTTTATTTTCTGAATTTTCTTGATGTTGTTGGCATGGGAAGCGGCAGAAGACCGGAGAGTCGGTCCGGTGTACGGCTCTTTCTTAGGTCCTTTCTTAGCATTACCGGCAGACGAAGTGGTGGGGGAGCGAAGAGTTCTCCCAGGATATGGCTTCTCAGCTTTGACGGCAGCGGAAGCAGTCGAGGAGCGAAGAGTCGGTCCGGAATATGGCTCGGGAGACTTCGGCTCAGCCTTGACTTTGCGAGAGGCTGGCTCAGACTTCTTGGGCGAAGGCGTAACGGACATTCTCGGCGGATCCCAAATGGGACGAGGGGCCCCCTTTGCCTTCAGGGCCATTGCAAGGCGCTTGTTGAGGTTGACACCTGCAGCCTTGGACTCAGCTTTCTCCTCGCGAGAGGCGCGAAGAGCAGACTTTGAACGACCCATGGTGGTTGCGGGGTACATGCGATGTGGCCAGGTAGGTGTAATCCTGAGGAGTGGTGGCTTAGGTTTTTGATACACCTCGTCGCAAAGCAGAGTTGTCTTGCTGCTCCTTGTTGCGAGAAGCTTGGTCCCAGGGTAAACAGTGCTGTAACCACGACTGCACTTGGTAGTAGGCCGGCGCTCAGAGATAAGTTGCCGCGAGTTCTGGGAGACTGAAGAGGGCCTTCATGTCGCGTATGTGGTCTCGAGCTGCGAAGGAGGTTCGCGCTTGTTGGTATTTCACCTGTACTGATCGCTTCAACTCGCAAAAATCGTTCTACTCGAAGAAGGGTTGAGTTCTGAAGGTGCGCGTAGTTGATTGCCAGTGGTTTTTTCTTGAACCTGCGGTCAGTCAGATTGCTAGTTGATATAAGACGAGGAGGGGTCACTCAAGGGATTACTTGCGAGTGCGCGTAACTATTTACAGTGAATGAACGCGAGGAGAGGCTCCAGAGCACCGCGGAGTAACGGAGAAAAGGAAGAAAAAGTAGCAGGTTGGTGGCGGTGTTTGAAACCTTGGATGCGCGTATACGCGTTAATCGTTGCAACCAGGACGGTGAAGTGAAGTGCTCGAGAGAGCGCTCAAGTTCGCGAAGGAAAGGTGCATCAACGGCAGATCCGAGTATGCAAATTTGAATACCAATCCTGAGAAACTGTTGCCGCGGAGTCCAGATTGAGGTGACTGTTCCCGTTCCGGCCTCGAAGGAAAAAAGAAGTTCCCTGATTGGAATCCCGTATGACCTGCCTGTGAACGCAATAGCCCAGAATTGGGCTCCAGGCCACTTCGAAACGACACGAATCTTTGCCTGCCTCTGAAATGTGAAGTGTCCCATGTGCACCCCTCTGTCTAAACCCGTTTCGCCGCAACACTTGTTCACGATTTCAATCTTCGGCCTGTTTCGAGAAGGCGAGAAGGTGGAATCCAGCAGCTGTAACGATCCAAGTTATCGGTCATCTTATTCTGAACACTTGTGCATTTGTCCTTTATTTCGCAGTCACAGAGTCCGGGAAACGATCGCGGAACGAGCTAGAGGAATACAGGCACTGTAAGGAGAGATTGGGCGATCCGACTCGAAAGACTGCTAGAGACCCTGTCCGGCAACCAGACAAGTCCGTAGATAGATTTCGGAGGGTCTCTATAAGACCAAATCCGCCGCCCATGGTAAGACTGTCGGAGCCATGTCCACTATCAAGATACCGGCCTGTCGGTGTCGGTGATGGCATCACTTGTAGACCGGAGATGCTAGGCTTGTCGTAAGAGGATGGAGCAGCCATTCGGCCGGAAGTTAAGGCCTTCTCCTCTCGACACAGAGCAGCCGAAGTTCCATACGCCAGCAAGCCCGTGGCTTCATCCTTCCCAGTATCCGGATCTGTTCTTCGTACTCCTTATCTCTCTGTTCGGCATGCGGGAAGTTGTACCTCGTTCTCGTCGCGGGTGGCTCTCGGACGGCCTCTTTACTTGGTATGCCTCGCGTTAGGCTGCTTCTCTCGATACAATGTCGGGAAACGGCGGAGTATCTAGGGTTGGTTGGCGGCGACGCTATTGTCGATGCCGAAGCGAAGACTTAGATTGGTCGGTCAGCAGAGATTATGGAAAAAGCCAGTTTGTTGTGTACTTCTCAGTTTTGCGGAGAGCTTCAGAATAACTGTTAGATTTGTGGTGTTGTGTTCTTGCTTTCTTTCTATGGGCTGGTTGCAGAGGGAAGTCAGCGGGTAGGCACGATCAGAGGGGGGATGCAACAAAGTGGGATGCATACTGCCACTGAATTAGATGCCATCCTATCCTGATTACTGCTTTCTGCGCTATAGCAGTGTTAGCGCAATAACATCCGCCATGAATTCCTCTTTGGGTTCCTCAAAGTGCCGTGCATCTCGGGTCTTGGCGCATTTCCCATGCAGACTCGATTTCTTTTCCCACCCGTCAGCATCGATGCGGCGTGGAGGAATCATCACACTCTTCTGTCTCTGCTGCTGTGTTTTCTGTCTCTTCACTTTGCCTCGAAAACTCAACACTTGGCCAGCGAAAAATAATTCGCTGTTGTTCTAGGATTGTCTGAACTGAACTGCCTGTCTGACCCGGCTAGTCAGAATACTCACCGAGATCTAGTCCAAAAAAACAAAGTGGTCACAACGAACAGGGGAATAACACAGCGAGAAAGGCAAGGACGGGATGTGAAAGGGAGCAAAATGTGTTCCAAATTTCCTATTATTCAGACATGTCTAAATCCAAACTATGAAGTACAGTCACACTAGCCCCAACATTCCCATGTTTATGTTGCTGCCGTGCCCCAGCAGCTTTTAGTACGTATCATTAATGCTGCATGTGTGGTTGTTGTGGGCAACGGTAGTGGTGATGGAGGGGAGGAAAAGAAAACCAAGAAACCCAAAAGAAGACGACGATGTGGTGCTATGAAGGGGGAAACGGTTCAGTTACGTTCTGTCAGGACGGCTTGTTGCCATCGATGTGGAAGGAAGGCAAGCTTGAGTTCAGGGCACAGAGAACCCAGGCAGGCACACGAAAGTAGCGAGCAGTGGTAAGTACGTGGAAGTACGTACCGGCACCTACCTCTACCACCAGACATACATACCCGGGGCTCCTTCGTTCGGGGTATATGTATTGGATCTGTGTGTGCTACTTTCAACAAAGCGCGGTTGGCGTAGTGGTTTAACGCGTACACTTCAAAAACTTGTGCTGAGGGATCTGGCTCCGAGGACGCACCACACAATTTGTGTGAAGCAGAAGCGGCGTGGCGACCCGCAGTACTAACCAAAAAGTGTAAGACCCCGGGTTTGAATCCCGGACCGCGCACGCATTTCTTTTTTCTTGTTTCGCATTTGTTTTCCTCGGTGTTTCTCCTTCCGCTTGATCTTGGCGTTGGTTGATCATGTTCCTGTCCGCCCTTGTCTGTCGATGGAATACAGTGGATGTCATTTACTCGGAGCTGCCGGGCAGGAAAAAAAAATGGAAAAGAAGATGATTACTTCTTTTGGTCCTTCTTCTGGTCCTTCTCCTTCTTGTCCTGTTGCTTATTGTCCTCATCCTTCTTCTTGTTCGGATCGGGTGCAGTCATCCGCCTCACCGTGAAATTAGGCGTGAGCTTCTTCTCGGGCATTTTGGATCGTGGGTGGAGATAATGGAGAACCGGTTCTAGATAGCTCTGGGTTGTGATGATATTCTTTTTGCTGTCTTGAATGGTTCTCTGTCGAAGCTGGTTTGGAGAGAGAAGCGGGAACATTAGGTTGGGGTGATGGTGCCATTTTTATACTGAAAATGCTCCCTAGTTGTGCGGAATTGAACACGGGTAATGTCCTATAAAGACCGTAAATAATTGTTTGCCAGGGTACGTATGAGAGTTCTAGGACTGATGCTGTTCAGTGGAACAACTTGCCATCCACGGGATGAAGACATCAAGCTTCGAGCTTCGGCGTGGAGCTTCGAGACTAAACATTCTTCCTTTGTCGACGGGATGAGACAGTTTGAATACCGGCTTAATTGAAAGGCGAACAACTGATACCCCTGTTCGCCGTCGTTAGTACCTAGCCATGTTTTGGTTTTTCACCATCCTTTTCGCTCGGATTAAACTGTCAAAGATCCCTTTTCTGTGTCGAGTTCAACGTTTCTGTTCAACACAGCTGTCTTTGTAGACACAGCCCGGCTCCTCGGAATGTACAACAATTTATGCTACTTCCAACCCAGAATTGGCACTTCGGTGCCTAGGTCAAGAGTTACTTTGTTCAAATCCAAAGGCAGCGGGACGACGACTTAATAACACCATAACAAAAAGTGCATGAACTTCGTCTACATGAATACCACCATGCGAACGAGGGCAAATGATGGCATGGGGTTTGATAAAGAATTGAATGAATTGAAGGACTTGAAATTGAAGACCGCGAGGGCGGTTAAAACTATGTGCAAGAATGTCAAAAACGCGGCTGGTCATCCTCCCGACCAACCCGCCGTTGATCGTAGATGAGACCCCAATTAAATATTACTCCCTAGAGGCACTTACCCCATCCCCGTTACTCCGAGTCCTCAGTTCTCCGCCTCCCAGGCCTATTCCTTCCTTTCTTTTTCCCTCCCCTAGGAGGTCTCGTCGACCCTCCTGCACAACTCCCCAAGTCCAAGCCCACGGCACCCCTTAATTCTCCTGGACACCCCCTGGCGCATTCGAGTTTACGGGCCCCTCAGCTTCCACAAGCTCCAAATCCGCAATGTCATAATCCCACGTCGTCAAGTTACCAACATTGGCGTCACTGTGCTTCACCCACCAAGGCACCCACCTCTCGGCACCGGTATACCCAACCTCCCTAACCGCAATCCACCTCCACTCGTTGTACAAATCATTGCCATATCTCAGTAGAAGCCTCGTCTCATTCTTGGCCTGGTTACAAACCTTCTTGACCTTCCAATCCTTATACAGATTCACGGTCCCTTCCTCATCTGGTCTGTACGTCTGCACCAGCCTGTACGCGTCTGGCACGCCCTCGGTGCCGGAAAGGGCGTAGTAGCCGGGCACTGGAGGAGGGTGAGGGTTGGTGGGAACGACGTAGAGGAGAGAGGGGGTAGTATCGTTGATGTAGATGCGCGAGAAGTGGTCGGCAGGATTGTACGGGGCGTGCGAGACGCCGGGGGAGATCCAGGGGATCGAGTTGTTTAGGCGCAGACGCTGGCCGGAGATGACGGAGTTGCCGCCGATGAAGCGGAAGAAGCCATCGAAGTCAGCGAGGGCAGGAGAGACGGCGAGGGCGCTGAGCGCAGTAAGAAGGGTAGCAGTTGATTTCATTTTGGTTGGTGATTTGATGGTGGTGGTGAGAAGGAGGTTCAGTTGACGTTTTGAAGAAACTTTATTCGGTCTGGTCCAACTTTGGGAAAGAACGAAGGCAGACGGTAGAGCTGAGAAAAGTTCCCGCGACGTTCTGCTGTTGATATAAAATGGACCAACTGTTGTGACTTGTTACACAAAATGTTGGTAGGGGTTGACGCAAGCTTCCTGTCGATCTGGCGAGACACAAATCGGCAAGGGAGATGGGGGGAGAAGAAGGACATAACCGTTTGTTCGTCAACCGGCCGGCCCTTCATTTATGCAAACCAACAAGCCCCAGAATCCCCGATCGTCCCCAGCCCGCACAACAGCAAACTTTCTCTCCGGAAGGGGCACTTCCAACTCCGCTTCTTATGGCGCAAATAGGTATGGTGCTGACCGACTTTGGTTTTTCTTTTCCCAGTGTACACTAGGCTTTGATTTTCGTATTCCGAACGCCAACTATCTTAGTCAGCTACAGCTGACGACGGAACGTGATCAGCACCTGGAACCATGAACCTTGGGGCCCTTGGCGTTGGCCCCAAATCCTGGGGTTGGAGGGCCCTTTAGGGACCTTACTACGTACGTTAGAGCTAGTACACAGTACGCCTCAGTTGAAGGGTAGCGCGGTACAGCCAAGGCGCTAGTGGTGCTACAGAGAACTAAATTCTTGATATGTTTGAAATTGCCATTTCTCGTACAGACTGCCACCTTATGACCGAAGAGGTAGAAGGTTGCCACCCCCAGTGATCGCCCAAATTCAAGAAATGGCCTTTTACATCCATACAGAGAGAGGTGTTACAACATACCTCGTATTCCGCTCCCGCATCACCTTTACATATATCAGGTGTGATACCCCAATCACACGTCACATCCGCTACATCCGGGATGCCGGATCGGGTACCTAGAGCTGAACCAAGGCCGCTCTGGCCGCCGTAGCCTCCGCTATTGACATCCACACTATTGAAGGGTTGGCGGTGGTGGGTTGGGTGTGCCGGGACGAAAATAGAGAGGTCCCGACGGGATGGATGGAAAAACATTACATCACCACGCGACGCCGCTACTATCCCGTCATCATTAATCACCACAACTCGTGTTGTGCAATTGTCGAATTCTTGTTTCGTCGTACGCTTCACGCGCGGGCTGAAATGGCGTTCAATACCTGTACTCGTCAGGTCTACAAAATCGACGGCTGACTAGGGGACGACGAGTATGCCTAGGTATGCACGCCATCGGCTGTTCTGCTCCAAAGGACTCGGCCATGAAAGTTCGTGAGTCTTGGCGGCCATGATGGTTGCACCACAGCGTTCGGTAATGCCGAACGCCCTTCGGTTGGTAGTATCTCGTGTCATACAGCTTATCCTACTTGTACCAACAACCGAGGATTTGTTTATATAAAGGATTGCGTTCCCGTCCTTGTATCGACATCACGAGACACTCTGGAACTACTAATCATCCCGAACTGTAAAACTTCCAGTGTTGTTCGCTTTTCATCGATATTAGCTTACCTACCTCTATATACGAAGCCCGAGTAGTCTGACGGGTTGGTTGACTGCTTTATGCACAAAGATGACGAGAGGGACACTCGACTGGTACACTTTATCGTGAATTTCGCGCAAACGTCGCAACGGACCGGCATGTTAGGTTTAGTGGTCTCAACTACTTGGGCAAATACCAACATGAAGTATGCGACATAAACCACCCAGATAACGACATTCTCTTTGTGCAAACAACGACATTGCTTTCAGATCAGAAACGCAATCCCAGGCGGAAGATGACCTCGGTCTTCACCGACAAAGTCCCTAGTGCATCGTACAAGAAAGCCTAAAATCGCACGCACGCTTTCAAGTTCTCTTGCTTGCTTGCATGCCTGACGCTTATTTCAGTCCTGAAGACCGGTGCAGTCCGCGGGAGAAATATGTAGAATTTCAACTATATAGAGGTAAGCGTAGACAATCCAAAGAGAAAGAGAAAGAGAAAAAAAAATGAAAAAAAATAAAAAGATAGAAAAATAAAAAGTAAAGCGGACTGTCGCAAGCAGGTAATCCTCGAGTACAAGGGAATACACCTATAAACATTGCCGAGTTTCCCTCTGTACAACTAGAAATCCTTCAACCCCTCCTCCGTCTCAATCTCCTCCTTCTCAGAGCACCACCGATCCTGTAGTTCCTTATTCAGCGTCTTCCCTATAGTTTCACTTTCCCACCACTCACCCCAGCTCGTCAAAAAGATGCGATTCGGATCTTCGGGGAAATCATCCCGCGTAAAAGCCCGCAGTATGCTCTGCGCCCCTATTTTCCTCTGTTAGTAATCGACACATATGAATCAGAGCCTCCGTGCATCCCCCCTCCACGGCGCCTCTCTAGGTACGTATATGCAGACCATCGGCCACATGTATGCAGAAAGAGCCTAGCCTGTAGCAACACCGATAGAAACATAGAGAACCAAAACTCACCTTCGTCTACACTCTTCGCATCCTTCATTTCCATGCTCAACACGAGTCCACTTCCCCTTCCAATGCCCGTCCCGGGGATCAATCCCGGGCTGACGGCCACCACCTTACACGCCGCATCCTTCAGCTTTCTCCGCCACCAATGCGCCCCGAGCAACTGCACAAACTTGGTCTCGGCATATACAGTGTTTCCGTCCTTGCCCGAGCCGGCCAGCAGATCCTCTTCGAGCGTGCTAGGGTCCGTAACGCGGCGGATGGCGCCCGAGGACACTACGACGATGCGGCTATTGCTGTCGGCGGTGGTATCGGCTGCTATGTCGGATCCAGGTCGGAGAAGCGCAGGGAGGAGAAGGTGGCTCAGGTAATGTTGGGCTGTTTCGGGCCGGCCAAGTTAGACTGTTCTGTCCGACAAGATGAAATAGGTGGAAGCCTCAAGGGAATAATAGTAACCAGACTTACATAAATGATTGACCACCAACGCCTCACACCATTTGCTCCCTCCTGGCCCCGGTTTCTCAGTCCCAGCGCCATTCGTGATCCCAGCATTCAACAACAAATAATCAATCCTTTTACCCTCAAGCTTCTCCAACGTCTGCTTTGCAAAGTGTTTCACAGACTTGAGATCAGACAGCTGCAGCGGCAGGATCTCAAGAGAGTGGGGGTCCAAGGCCGCTCCTTGAAATGCAGATCGATAAGCATCTTGGGTACGGGACACATCGCGGGCGCCGAGGATGAAAAGGTACGGCTGCGAGGTTTGGGAGAGGAGATGCTTGATTACGTGGAAGCCCTGCGTCGGTGTTAAGAGTGTTGGTTCATAGCTTCTTTGACTGAAGAGGGGGGGGGGGATAAGGGTGTATGCCGGAGCAGACATGACATGGACATGGAAGGGTTGATCGGGAGGGACCAAAGGAGGGGTGGGGTAGTGTACTGACCAGGCCGGATGAAGCACCTGTTGCTACTACTGTTTTGGCAGTGGCGGCCATTTTTGCAGTCGGCTGTTTTCAGGATGCTGCGCAGTTCGGAGTTGGTGATGTTTTATAAGTGTAGGTCTGGAAGACTTGGGGAGAGAATACATGAGTTGTTGGGAAAGCTCCATCGATGTCGTTGACGAACCTGCACTGCTGATGTAATCGATGCAGTGCTGTGACTACCTACCTACATATGTGGCCTCGCGGCGGCCTGTACACTAGAGCAACCTGCAGGTGCTACCCTCTGAATCACATATCAGGAACGTCCGAGACGAGCCATTTTGATAAGTATCCCAAGCAGAAGATCCGGGGTTAGGGTAAACTCCGGTCGAAAAGTGCCAAAATCCGGACCATCCAACCACGTGCTTCTTACTCTTAGAAAAGAAAGGCTTCCTGTACTAGCCATATAGAATCACGCTGGTCTGATTTGCAAGTCGCACTATTTTTCCGAGAAGCAGCTCAGCTCGGACTCGTGTTCATTACTACCTGACCCTCTCGGTACTCCCAAACTACCTCTACCTTATATGTTGTATGGGTATCATGTCCATGAATCTCCTAAATACTAAAACAATCGTGCTCAAGCTTGACAACCTATATTCTGCGAAATTCCACATCTAAAACATATCCCTCAGTTGCTGGTACACCCCAGCCCCGTTAGAGGACGCAGGGCTTCCCGTGGATGCTCTCCCAGTCATACCAACATCATGAGAGTTCGTCAAATTGGAAAAGTACCCACCACCTCCAGCGCCACTCATAGCCACGTCGGGTGAGTGAATCCGATTCGCTCGCGCCCTTCCCGAAGGCAGACCACCTTGCATATTCTCAAAGATGCGAGACATCTCATTATGTAGCCTGAGCCCGTTGGTCAGATCATCCGGCGACGAGCCTTGCATCTGGCTCTGATGAGCCGCCGGAGTTGAGGCATCCGAGGCAAGTTCGCCGCTTCTGGTTCCTTGAGAAAGAGTGTCGGAGCGGCCAAACGGCCCTCCTCCAGAGTATGTTGCAGTGCCAGGGCTGTATACACTGCTCGCAGGACTACCGCCGGCAGCATTGTCTTGGAAGCGCCCGAATGGCCTGGCCATAGCGCTGTTGCGGGTCGTCGGGTTCGAAGTTTTCGAGCTGTCTTCTTCCATTCCCAACCGAGCAGCGTACTTCTTTAGGGACCCAATCGTGCGCCATATTCGTCGCGACACCCATGACTTTGCCGACATATCCTTGATCAGTTCAAGGGCCATATAGAATTCCTTGCGACAGGACGCGCTGAATTGGAGTGGTGCGTGGGTGGAAGCGAGGAACAGGACGGCGATGGAGGAGGTGAGAAACTGGTGGCCGAACATTTGCATGCGGCGGTATATGTTCGTGGTATCGTTGAGGTCCGTCAGATAATGAATTGTCTCTTTGGCTAGCTCGACGGCTCTGCGCGCAAACTCCATGTTCTCGGCGATGCTGATGGCGCTGTGCAGTATTGGCGTATACAGCCAGATGCGTATCTAAAAACAGGAGTAAGCAACCGATTTCTTCCGAGAAACACTCTAGGCTACATCAACGCACCTGGTTGAGCCTCAGTCGGGTCCAGATCTGCAAGCGCTGGGTGCCCCCTATGGGCATCTTGACTGGTTCATGCGTACTGATCTTGATTTCTTCAGGCACGCTGTCGTACCAGGCAAGGATCTTATTGTCCAGCTCTTCAAAGTCGCTAGGCTTAAGTTCACGGATGACGGCCGGCTCGAAATAATCTATCAACTTCCAGGTCTTAGCAGCCAGCATGGACCAGGTGATCATCGCCCGCAAGAATGGGTTGTCATCCTGTACCAAAAGTCAGCGCGGGCTCTTGAATGCAGGGAGTCTTCGGTATCTCAAGCTTACCGGGTAGGGCAGCTTTGGGTCAATCTTGGCATCGTCGCACACAAAAGGCAAGCCAGTGGCGAAGCTCCACCTCCTCTCCAGCACGTAGGCGATCCAAAATGTGTTTATGGTGTTCTTCCTGTCCTGAGGGTCGGTGATCTTATCAAGTCCCTCTCGGCGGTGGAGACCCAGTTCGAAGCATAGCCGCATGAGTTGGCCCATCATACGCCAGGCCGCAACCTCGTCGTTGGAAAAGAACTTGTAGCCGGCAACAAGAGCTAGATAGGGTAACTTGAGGACATCGGTAAGCCCACTCATCAACGTCTTCATAGTAACAGCCTCGATGGTTTCGTACAGCCGAGCTGCCATTGCGCTGTGTCCGTGCTCCTGGATAACCAAGGCAGTGCATAGAACAATCTTGAGTAAAAGCGTCTTATCATCGGTGAAAATCTCGGCTTGGTCTGCCGGTGGCACCATGCCTTGTCTTTTCAATTTTTCCATCCACTCCGAGATCTCGATCGCATGCTGAATCGTAGGCTCCATCTTCATAACAGGATACATGACACTGACTTCCTCGTCGTGCAGCTTGCAAAGTCGGATCATTTCATCCTTGTTAAACTCCCACAGTGGATCCATCTGTCTTTGGTAGGAGGATGGCTGCATCGGGGGTAGCGGCGTCGGTGATGTACGCGGTGTCGGTTCGGCCTGTGGGCCGCTGTTGCTGTCGCCACTGTCACCACTGTCGTCGAGGGCCTCGCTGGCACCGGCGTATCCCATGTTGTGCAGGGTGTTTTTGGCCACATCCACGGTAAAGGCAATGCTGGTCGGTCCATTGAACGCCGATGGCGGTCGCAAAGGCGCGAGAGGCTTAGAAAACTGGGGCATGGAGGCTGACGATGGCGAGGGAGTGACCGTCGCGGAAGGCGGTGGCAAGATGCGGTCGTGAATGGGAGCGAGACGTAGGGCTTCCTGGCGCAAGGCACTCATGTTGCTGAAGAGAGTTTCGACCTGATCCTGGAGACGGCTCACTTGGTCGGCCATCTGTTTGAACTCGTCCGAATCCTTGAGACTGTGCGAGCAACAGTTGGGCGCATAGAGACACTGGAGGTTGAGATGGCCGCATCGCTGACAAGGGGTTTGGCCATTGCACTTGATCTTGCGGCGCTTGCACTCGTTACTGCGGATGTTGGTGGCCACGGTCAGCACTTACATAGGTAGCGAGGTATCAAAAGGGAAGGGAGTCGTCTCCAGATCCCTCGAGGGCCCGAAGTCCTTTTGGGGTAGATATGGAAAGTGGAAAAGGAAGGAGGTGACCATACCATGCTATCGAAGTGTACTACGAGCACATTTGAGGTTAGCTAACATGTCCGTGTACAGGCTAATAGTATGCCATATGCTCAAGATGAGAGGAGGTAGGACTGGCTGAGGTTTATGGATGGAGATGCTACACACTCGATTTCTTTTACTCCGCTGTTGCTTGGTAGAGCTTGAAGCGCCATCGTCATCGGCGGCCTTGCGCTTAGCGGCACTGCCCGAGGTAGTTCTGTTGTTCCGAGGTGCTGTTCCGGTAGGGTGATCTTGGGTATATGTATCCGACTGTGTTGCCGGGGACATGGAGCCGTAGTTCATGTCATTTTGAGCGGAATTGTCACCGTGCGGAGAGTACACGGACGAGTTGCGACGGTAGGGATCATGAGGGTTGGCGAGGGAGGCGGTTGTGCTACCAGTGATGGATGGTCGGGGAGCACCATGATTTGTACCTTCAGCCGTCCTCATGGGACCAGACGCGAAGTCGTGAGGCCCAAAGTCTCGCGGGTGACTCTGGAGCGGATGAAGGTGGTGATGACTGTTGTATAGGTTTGATTTGGTGAGTGAGTACCCAGTAGATGGATGCGGCGGCAAGGCGGCACTCGAAGGCATCCCACCCTGGACGACGCCACCACCGCTTCCGCCCGTCAGCCCTGTCGCCGAGATTGAACCCAGACCACCCAAAGCGCCTCCAGAGGCTCCCGGTGTTGAGCCAGACATTCCTTGCTGAGTAGCCGCAGCAGCTGTACCTATGCCATCTGGGGATGAAGCAATGGGAGCGGTAGATGTTGTTGTGTTTGTTGTTGCAGAAGGCAGACCTCCGGCGCCGAGAAAGGAGCGCAGGTCGCTGACCTGTGTCTCGAGAAGATCCATTTTCAGTCAGTCAGTGGTTGGGTTGGGTTTTTGGTCAAATTCCACTTGTCTTCATTGCCGACGTCTCTAGCTGCTCGGTTCCACGTTCCAGCTGTTCCAGGCAGTTCCAATTGCAGCGGGTGCTTCCCACTTTAGCCCCTCCCTTATCTGCCGTCCGTTCCTTCGTATTTAGTGTAGGTCTCGATTTCTGGGTGCTTTGGTCGCCTAGGCTGCCCACCACCCTGGTAATAATTGCGTGGTGACAAACTGCGACCACGTCAAGTGGGACAAGGCGATTTGAGGGCGCCTAGTCCTGTAAATGAACTACCTACATAACAAGGGAACGAACGAAAACCATGGATGTGCTCTCACGTGATCAAGTGTCTTTTTACTTATCCCTTTAACGGTGCGAATTGGTATTGGTCAATTACACCACCAGCTCACGAAATCCCCTGCAATGACGAAAAGAGTGCTTGCTGCAAGTGCTGGTAAAATCAAGGTCTCAGGTCTGCAGGAGCACAGACGTACAGTGTACATGTGGATACAATGAGACGGTACGATTGGCTACCTTTTGATCTTGGCAAAACTGGACAATTTTGCATAGTTGGGAAAGGGATAGGTAATCAGCGTGACTGTAACGGACGGGGAACAGATGGGGACATGGGATGATCCTCCAAAAGGTCTCCGCTACAGCCTGTTAAGGTCGTTGAGCTGAGGTCCCTGGACTCAGCCGGAGTACCTCTTCGTCAATGTCCGAGACCGGGCAGAAAACGAGGCTCTATCGGTAATGAGGCATGAACAAATCATGACCCATTCTGGACCATGTGAAACATTCTGACAGGCATTACTAATTTGCCTTTCTGCAGTGAAGAAGAGCTAAACTAGGTAGCCCCGACAAACTACCGCCAGAGGTGCATTTTCAGATCTGCGTCCACGTCAAATCTTTTCTGCAACCTGACCTCCACTCCCCCACGCTTAGGTTAGCCTTGCACTCGTCCCGTACACTCGCCAAACCCGACCCTTCCGCCCGCCTTTCCCACACAAAAACCACGTAGGGTGACAGTATCTCCGTCCTTCAGGAACATGCGAGTTTCATTGCCGCCATTGAGCTGGAACTCCCGCTTGCCGCCCTCACTCAACTCAAGCAGACTACCACTCTGTTCTGGAACCGGTCCACTGATGGTTCCCGACCCCAAAAGGTCGCCCGGTCGCAGCGGGCATCCTCCCAGTGTATGGTGGGCAATCATTTGCGGGAACGACCACATGAGGTTCTTTCCGCTCGTCTTGGCGACCGTGCTTGTGTTGCCTTCTGGAGCTGAAAAGGGGGATCGGCTATTAGCAACCCGTGTCAAGTAAGTCGAAGAACTGATGGGAACGGGCCTTACTTGTTAGGTCCACCTCCAGATGGATATCATAGACGGTGGCCTCCCTCTTCTCCTTGAGATATTCCTGCACCGGAGTCGGATTCTCGATTCCCTTGGTCCTAAACGGCTCTAGCGCATCCGCAAGCACCACCCAGGGGCTGATTGTCGTGGCAAAGTTTTTGCCATTGAACGGGCCCAGCGGGACGTACTCCCACGCTTGAATGTCCCTCGCGCTCCAATCGTTCAAGAGGACGTAGCCAAAGACGTGCTCTTCCGCCTCGTCAATACCAACTGGCTGGCCCAGGGGGTTTGACTTGCTGATGAAGCAGCCCAGTTCAAGTTCAATGTCTAGCCTTTGGGTGGGTGCCACAGTCGGCCGCTTGGGATCTGCTTTGGGGTCCTGTAGGATCTGGCCGACGGGGCGACGCACTGGTGTGCCTGACACGACGATACTGGAGGCTCTCCCATGGTATCCAACCGGAAAGTGAGTGTAGTTTGGTTGCAGAGCGTTTTCCGGACCGCGGAACATGACACCTACGGCGTAGGCATGGTGATAACCGGCGTAAAAGTCGGTATAATCGCCAATGACCATCGGAAGGTGCATTTGGACGCTTTGTTGAGGCACAAGGGCCCTTTCTCGCAGTTCGGCATTGTTCTTCAGGAGGTCCGGGCGAGTTGTGTCTTCTGATAGGAGATCCTGGATTCTTTCTCGGACATGGCGATGGACGGATCTTCCAAGCTGCGCGAAGGCATTGAGTGTAGGTTGTGCAAAGACTGCTAGGCTGGATGCCCCACCAGACGGCAATAGGTTTTCTGGCCCGATCTGAAGAGCCAACACTTTGAGGTCCAGGACGTAGGTGCCAATGGCTATGCCGACATGGGGCGACGAGTCGTCGGGGGTGCTGATGATGCCAAAGGGGATGTTGGCCAGCGAGAAGTCGCTAGAAGGGTCGATATCAAGCCACGAACGCGCCATTGTCGTGTGAAGTTTCTGGGGCAGCAAAAGCGTCAAACAGGAATCTCATGAAGTCATCATGACAGACTTCCGATTATAAGTGAGAGTGTTCGCCAGCTCGTCACCAACTCTCCGTGGAGTAAAGTCCGACGCAAGCCGCCCGCCCCGCCCAGCTCCTCCGCGTCTTTACCCCACATTGGCCGGCATAGCGGTTCCCCACCCCCGCGGGCCGTAGAACCAACTCCAATTCCGCTGTTGACGGGAAGGGCGCCATCCCTTATCACCTGCATCCTGGATCCCGTTCTTCCGAAACATGGACATTGATGGTTGGGAATACCTTGCCAAATCTTGCATCATCGAACGTCGGGTACACTGCAACCATATCAATTCACTACAGTCGTCCATCAAGTTCGCCAATTTTTCCAACCTTGGCAATCTGAGAACTTGTAAACACCTTGTCCCAGATGCTCATCTGCATTGCGTGCAAGTGCCTTGCATGAACATGTGGACGGGCTGATATTCAAATTGACGTTGTAACAGACAAGTATGACACCGACTGCTGATATATATATATATATATATATATATATAAAAAAAAAAAAAAAAAAAAAAAAAAAAAAAAAAAAAAGGAGGAAGAAAAAGGAAAACCCCTAACA